TTCTCTAGAATGTATCAGTCATTACACTGGGATTGCATTAAGTCCCAACCCTCTAGCTCTGAAGACCTTGAATTATATTGCAGTTTTGATACTGATAATATCAAAATGATATCATTAGTACACGGGGGTAAAGCAGACCCGATGATGCAATGAGCTTGCTCGGCGGTATCATGACTGTGTAATGGGGCTTAATGTAAGTGAGGTAGGTTCAAACAACGCGGGTCCTCAAAGCATGTGCTCATGGTATCATCGTGGCTTAACACCCGTGTAGAAACTATGATGCCATTTAAGACATTCAACATGAAGTGAACGTTAGATATGAACATGACATTAACATGGAAAATATCACCACCTGCCATTTGTTACAGATGTGTAACACTGACCACTGCCAATGTCAAATACCAACTGCCAAACACTGTCCACAAAAAAGATGGAGGCTATAAATATGTTCCCACTTCTGACATAATAGGTGAATGACCGTGTAGTTATTAACCAATCATATCATGTTCTAGTGATTTTAGTACAACATGAATTCTAAGGCTTCAGATTAGAAACACTACGACAAGCAATTATTTCTCTTTGAAAAGAGAATAACAAAAGCTTTCACAGGATCAGATGCTATGAGAGTCCTTATAGGGCAATCAAGCAGAAAATGTTAAATCAAAATTCATCATCTACGATTGATTTTTTGATTGAATACCATATCAGCCATAGATCAAGCTACATTTCCATATCTCTGAGTCTTCCATGACTCATGAAATTGGAACATTGCATGGTAAGCTGTGTTTAGACTTACAGTATGATGGTAAGCAATATCAGGATATATGTCATGATGACAGAATTAAACATGTCACATCTGACCTTTTGTTCTTGTTTTCATATTACGCACAATAGATATTAAGTGAAAAAGGAGCATGTGAAGATGTTGATAGATGAATCAATTTGAATATTTTGAGATGCCACATCGCATACAATCACTGAAATTATTAACTTGATTCCTTTGTAACCTTGAAAATGAGATCATTTGTACCAGTACATTTAATATCAGTATCAGATATTAGTGAACAACCCTTCTATTATGTGAGTAAATTGGGCAGGATGACTTCTTAAGGGTTACATTTATATAAATTCTGTACAAGTGTCACAATAGACAACTTGACTGAAGATGTTCATTTTGGAATCTGACCGGCGACCCTCTCCATATAAAAAGCCCCCACATCAAATTATGATATGATATGATAGAAACCTCCCATCTAATACACTTCTCCCCATTTCACTGCTTCCATGCCTACATATTGCTTCATCAGGCTTTAGATCTGTGATTGAGCATGGGAACCGACGATGTTCAGCTTAAAGAAACTCTTCTTTCTTATGATCCTTTCCCTTATATGAACCCAGATAGACCAAGAAACCCCTCCTAAAGGAGCCATGTGTTCTTTTATGTGCACCATACTTAGACATAGAAGTATACACCACAGCCTTTTGTACGAGTTGTGGACCACTCAAGCAAACACCCTGAAGTACTTCACACAAACAAGCAAATTAAGTCTAAGGCCTGAACGGGGGATCGAATCCGGGACCTATTGCGTAAGAGGTAGCTGTGCTACCGCTGACGCTGAGCTATATGCATAGGTAGGCTGTTGAGCTATACTGGGTGGACCATATCATGGAATGGTGACACGATTAACAGAATGCAATATCAATTGCGACATTGGTATAATCATTCTCGAGAAAACATCGAAATGCTACCATATTAGGAGAAGTTTATTGGATTTACTTGTATCCCACAAGGCTCTTTGACCCAATAATCCAGTAATCATTGAATCTAATAAGTACTGATAATCCAATTAGATCTTATGTAGTCACAATGAATTACATTATTGCAAATTTTCTCGGATCAGAGATGATACTATTACAGAAAGGAGATTAGATAGCTGGATATAATACAATGAGATAAAAATAGTTTTTAAGATTTGTACTTTATCTGGAACAAAAAATTCTTAAAGACATAATAAGGTTATGATTAGAAGAGCTTCAGCTTCACTCTTTCAGTTTACAATAGTCTCTGAACTCACCCAGCTGTTAATCAACGAAATACAGCTGATTCATGGTTGAGAAAAGTTAAGCATGGTAGGTTTCAAATGATTTATGACCCAGGCTGTCTCGGGCACAGGTCATGGGGCCGGGGCTACTAAACCGTAATTTAGTCTATACTTGGTAGAGGATAACTAGACTGCGGGGTAAAAGTTATCAGTTATGGATAAATGTAATTAATATTATTCTGGTTTCTCCCTACTATAAGACAAGAGGTTAAGAGCATTACTACAAATCAAACTATGTGAAAAGGTTAATCGATTTATTTTTCTCCCAGAAAATTTTTGATTAAAAGTATAATTTATTAAAGAGAAATCATGGTGACAATGATGAGATGATACTTCAGAATCTTTACAACCAAAACAAAATCGCCTTTAGACATTCCGAAAAATATCACTTATTTTTCCGCAACTATCGATATTTAGAAATGCTTCCTTACATACCGATAAATCAACTATTCAATATTCTTTGACTTGTCCCTCGCGTCAATCCAGCCTGTCAAGTTGTAAATCAGTCGATAATTCCCAAAACAATAGAATTATTGCTTTTAGTCAATTAAATTTACCACAAGAACCAGTTGATGTCCAGGTTCAGACCCCTCGGGATATTCAGTTCACAAATTAATTTCCCGTTACCTATTCAAGTAGCCGTCTTATGGGCTGTTATATCCCAGTACCCAAATCAGGAATGTTATTTGATGATTTGAAGCTTTACCCCAGATATTTAAAATTATTGGGCTAATACTGCCCCTATTTTATCATGTATATATTCACCTAAAGATCAACCAGAATTTGTAGGATATTGGTTGTCAAATGAAGCGAAATAGAGCAATCCAAACTAGCAAATCAATAATTCCATTTTGTGAGCGTAAACACAGTTTGCTTTGATAGCATAACAAATAAGTTCCATAATTATTTCTTGAGATGTAAATATGGAGCCTTATAAATAATTTCAAATATGAGGAACTTTAGTCAAACTATTTCTCCCCTCTCTTCACAAGTTCATTTTGACCTCATCTCTCCTCCACCAGTCTATCTTTCCTCAATCAGTCAATCTCTCCTCCATCAGTCTATCTTTCCTCAATCAGTCAATCTCTCCTCCATCAGTCCATCCCCCTCCTCCATCAGTCTATTCCTCACCTCAACCTACATCAGTCCATCTTCCCTTTTGCCATCATCGGTTCATTTTACTATATAATCATTCATTTAGTAAAAGCATATGCCCATCTGCCCTCACTCCCTCTGACAGTCTGAGTCCATCCCTAATGCATCCTCCCTGTAATCTCCTTTATATGACAGTTGGGCAGTTGTGAGTTTGGAGAGTTAAAGAACACATGTCTTAATAAAGACATGGGCCATGATAAAGATAAAAATTGATAGAAAAAGATATATTGCAAATTATTAGTATCAATCACATGCCAATCAAAAATTCATAAAAAGAGTCTCATTGCAAATTATGTACATGTACCAATTATGTGGCAATCTGGAAGGAATTTATCAAAAATGAACCATACTGTACAGTGGAAAGTTCCCAATTTCTCTTGTGAAACACATCTTAGAGAGTCACAATTGGTCTGGTTCCCTATAATTGGTTTCTCTAACACAGGCTAATTAGTTGAGTTACCCATGTGTGATATAAGTACTTGTTTAAGGGGACCTTTGGGAAATGTACCGATTCTTTCCCTGATAGATACACCGGATTCATCTTCTATAACTCACAGGCCTGATATTGCTCTAGCATGACATTTAGGCACCCTGTTTCCTTGTTTATGGTCTAACTATCAACAGTGACTTTCATAGGATTAAAACAACCAATGTTCAGATCAATGTCGTTCTGTAACGAATGGAGAGTTTGAAGATACACCAGACCTAATTGAAAACCTATTTGCTGCCAGATTAGACAGAATACTGTACCAGTTCAAAACATATTCTTGAGATTCTGATCAGATTATTGAATTACTGCCATGCTTGTCATTTTACATTTTATTTTTAAATGGTCAAGACCCAGTGGTATTCACTTGAGACCTAGTGGTATTCCTGGAGACCCAGTATTATGTACTGGTCAAGCAAATCAAAAGATGTATACGCAACTTCAGGAAATAAAACGTTCATATGATTGTCCTTTTACAAACTTGGCATTTATTACCTTGTAAATACATTGTTTATGTGAAATATCCCTGGAAATATCTTCAAATGCTTCTATCATTAGCTTTTGTGGATCTGATGCTCAAACTGGCTTTAGGAATAAACCACAAGATCATTGGGAGGAAACTTACTTTTAATATTGAATTGGTGCAAAATTCAAGATAACTTTTTGATAGCATCTGATTATTACCCCAACTATGAATTATAGTTCATATCCTGCTCTTGTAGAACTAATTCAAATAAAACTAAGAACTCACTTCCTTGATCTAATAACTTCAAGCTAAATCCTAGAGCGTTCTGACATTAATATCAGGGTATATTTTTCTAGGAGTGTCATTGCCAGGTGCTGTAGATACATTTCAAATAATAACACTGCTGTGCTCAATCAGTAGTTCTCAACTATATTGTAAACTGCAATTTGTAGTCCATTTGTCTCAGGGAAAGTAATATCAACAGAGGTGTTTGGAGGAAATGAGCTCGCTATTGGCATGCTTTTGTAAATTGGTAATTGAAAAATAAATATTGATAAACAATAAAATATATCAAAAAAGGCTTTTTGAAAATAATAATGTTTGTTTTGCTTGTATAAACACTTTTTATGGTGAATATCTAATGATAGGATGATAAAATAGCAAAGACAGACATATTATTTCATGACATGTTTTCGTACATCGATGAATATGATATCTCTCCTATGGTAATCTATCAACCACAAAGAAGGACTACTGATATATTCAGACAACTCATATTCTTCAGACTTACCAACTTCCTTTTGATAGCTTCAGAGTCCACATCATGACCAGATTTGACAGTCTGCAGTTCAATCTGGCAGCTGTGCAGCTGTAGAATCAAATTCTGCAGCTCCTTTTCTACAACAGTTTTGGTAGCCCTGACCTCACATAGGTCTGATCTGTGATCTATAAGCTGGGCCTGAAAGAATTGGGAGAATGATGAATAACTTTCTGTTCATTAAGTGGGAATGGATTGTTTTACAAAATATACAGCATTACTGCTCTTAAAAATAAATGTCATGAATTGTTAATTATAAGTAGGAAGAATTGCACAAGAGGACATGGAGGCAATGTCGTCCATGTAGGTAATTGTCAGACACTCAATGCAGGTCTTTCTCCGACAATTACCTACATGAACAACATTGCCTCCTTGTCCTCTAAAATAAGCAATTATATAAAGCAATCAATTTACAATATTATAAGACAATTACCTGAGATGACAAACACATAACTACAGAGTGATATAATAATTTAGACATTTTCCTTCTGATTACAGAATGCAGGATGTGCATGTAATCATACAGATTACAGACATGTCATATAATCAATAATAATTAAATGTGATATACATGTATACTGCATAACCTACAGTCATATATGGTTATAATACACTATATATATTCTGCCATATTATATTCATAGCATAATGGCCTTTTCTCTTATTATGGGCGTGGTTAGAATTTTCCTTGTAAATACTGATAATCTAATTCTAAGTCTTAAAGTCTTTCGAGCATTCACTCAACGGCAAAAAAGATGCGACTGTCCCAAATTGCGGTAATAAACACTTCAATCTTTAAATCAACCAGTATTTCATAATTTCTAAATGTAAGGTTTAAACTATTATATTCAAATTCCATCACTGTTAAATCATATATCTGTTTTATATATTTGCTATGTAATCCTGGAACCAGAAAACTCCAAATGATCTAACTGTTACATGGAGTTGAAAATCTCAGTAGAAAATATCAGCTCGAGAAGTCCTGATAGCCACACAAGCAGCTAATAATTTACAGACTTTCGCAAATGGAGGATAGAGATATATGAAACATTTTAAGATATAAAGCAAGCTACTGATTTCACTTTTCACTTTCAGCAAGGAAGAAATTTTAGTTTTTGATCGCAATATTTGCGTGTAATCACGCCCGGTGATCGTGAAAATGGGACGGAGGGGGAGCAGGCAATTTTCGCTAGAAAATTCAACAAATCTGGTAAAATAATTTTTCAAGACAGAGTTTACGATTGAATTGCAAATTGAATAAGCACACGGTATGATAAAATATGTTAGGTATTCTAGGATTATTTTTCAACCGATACTCTTTTAAGATATAAGATCTATTAAAAAAGGCGCAACGCAACCAACGTGCAAAAGTCAAAGTTTTTGCTATAAATCAAGCAACAATGGACTACACGACCTGTAATAAATACTTGTAAGTGATGTTATCATAACTATAGTAATGTCATTGCTGAATTTATAAAATAAGTTTCCATACGTAAAATAAAAAATAATCGAAAATAATTAAAATGGGACGGAGGGGGGGAGGGGAATCTTAATGAAACCATATCACCTTTGTTGTGTCGATGATGATGCATAAACATAGCATTTGATAGAAATTAGTGTAAATGCTTTTCCGACTTTTTCATTTTTCATCAATGTTGACTTCCAGGAAGGCATTGTAGTTATCACGAAATAACGCATTGACCCTTGAACTTTACTTTGTTGACATGTCAACCAAGCATGTCTGGTGTGAAAATTAAAAGAATATTAAGCAATGTTCTACATCCGCCAAGCTAAGTGAAGTAGCCAATATTTAAAATTACCAATTTCAAGTGAAGTACGCAACGAACGAAACTGCGTGATCTACAGTCCCACTATTGGTCTGAACGAAATGCTACGTAGAAATATGAGCCGTCTGCTGTATTAGTCGATTAATAGAGTAAGACCTGTTGGTGATGCTTTATAATTTAGACCAAAACATTGAAGAACATACGAACCTGTAAATCGTGAAAACAACGAACAAATATTCGGTTTTCATATATGTTCGGTAATTTTTCGTATTGAAACTTCCGGAACTTACAAGGAAATCATTCATTTTCTCGGTCCATGATTTACCTCTTGGATGTTGTGGCAAATTCTCCATGGTTGACGGAACAAAGGTGATATGGTTTCATTAAGATTCGGGTTCTAACCTTTAGAAGGTAAGTCAGACTCCCAAACGTCAGCTAACTCTTATATTTAGCATGTTAGCGACGAAGTTTGGCCTTGAAAAAAGTAGTAGGTGCAATAAGAAAAACTCAAGATGAGTCTCCGAATTGAAAAATCACTGGAAATTAAAATTGACCACACTTTAGAACCTCCCATACTCAAACAAAGTGATGCCTTTCTTTTCTGCAAAAGAGCTTACATAGCCATAACCTCATCTTACTATTGCAATTTGTTTGGTTCTATAGTATAAGATTACGTATGAACGCTGTAGTTGAACTTTTACTGCGGCAAATGTATTTTTTGTGTGCTCCGGGATTGAATATGCCAGTAAGTATGCCTACAAACTCATCATTCCTCTGACGTTACAATTCCATGCAATGATCAAAACAATGTAAACATCTTCAGATTTCGCACGCTTTCTATTTAATCACTACATCACATTCTGGGAGGTTTCGGAAATCCACAAATTATGTCAAATGGAAATTTGGCATACTCAGTCCAGGAGGATAAAATTATTTTATTTTTGACTCTATTATTAACGCAGGAATGTTTGAATAATCTTTATTCATGATTTCGGAAATATGGAATAACAAGACGCTTCGAATGAGGTATGATTTGTCACAAACACTCTAGGCTAAGCTTAAATGTGATGGCTGTATCGTGAAAAATTGAAAAATAAGTTGGTGACTTCATAATATATTTTTTTTTATACCACTCTAAGTCCAATTATGGTTGTATAACATGGGTCTATAACAACGATATACATTGGAGAGTGGTATATCGACATCGTATACAACTCCTCCGTATACACTCCAGCGTATACCACTGTAGAAGTGCATTCTGGGAACTAATGAATAAAAAAATCATGAAAATTTTCACGGTTTCCTAGAATCAAGTGACGTCATAAATGGTTCCGGCATGATTTGCTAGAATCAAGCCACGTCATAAATGGTTCGAGATCAACATCGGCATTATTGAGTTGGCTATGGGATATTTTTATGGTTTTTAATTGTTATGATTGTGTTCGAATCAACTTAGAGTGGCATAATAAGATTATATAATGGTTCATTCTGTATATCGTGGATTTTATACTCTCGTGAGTATATAATATATTCACTCGTTCGCTACGCTCACTTGTGAATATATTATACTCACTCGAGTATAAACACGATATACAGAAAAAACCATTATATAACCTCATATTATACGATCGTGCCGGTATCTGTGAACTCAAATTGCAAATAAGTAAGCTTACAGAAAACAACAATTGGCCTTTCCAGATTAGGCTTGTAAGATAGCACATTACTTTTCATTTTATAAAAACTCACCTCCAATTTTGCACTGCTTTGGAAAATAGTTTGTGCTTTATGGCACAGCTGAGCAAAGGCTGCAGATAAGGCGGTCATTTTTTGTCTTCCATCATATGTAATTTCACACTGTTCAGGATCTATTTCACCTAATAGCAGATCCAAATCTACAAAGGCTTTGTCAAATTCCTTCTCTAAAAGTTCTAGCCATCGAAAGGCAACAGTCGCCATTTTTGCAGATGTGTAGTGTTGTCACTAAAAGTGGGAATAATTTATTACAGTAATTTCGTTTTAATCAAAATAAAATGGTGCTGCCATCTTTTTAATGGTTGGAAAATAAAATCATTCAATTTACCAAGAAATGTTTAATTATTACAGATTTGCAATTGGCTTTGTTTGAAACTATAAAACTTAGTAAATGTGGTATGATATGTCACACCATCTATCCTATACCCACACTTCATATTATTAGTAAGACAGATGGTGCTGACTAGTGTTGTCGCGATTAATCGATACATCGCGATATACATCGCCAAAGCTGATTCTGGCGATGCATCGATGTCTGAAACAAAACATCGATGTTTTTGAAAAAATTTTAATTCGCTAAAAATCACCCCTTCTTATCTTATTTTGACGCAAATCGCTTACCTTTCTCATGAGTTATTTCATTTTCCAATGTTTTCTGATATTCTTTCGCTCCAAAACTGCTTTAGCTAGTCCATGGGCTTTCATCTAGTTGAAAGCCCATGGCTAGTCTAAATGAACCATTATCTAAAAAAATTACTTTTACTTTCATTTCACCGTTACTAGAAGTTCCCGGATGTACCAGCGTACTCTTATTAATTTGTTCCGTTCGGTATTTTAGTGTATTAGCGTTCGGTATTTCAGTGCACTTTTCTCAGACTTTTTCTCGATGTACATCGCGATGTGCATCGATGTTTACTCCTGAAAATTGCCGATGCATCGATGTACGATTATGGCACATCGCGACAACACTAGTGCTGACTAATGACTTGATAGATCTCTATTTTGACTGTTTTATAGGCTCTTGAGAAATGATGTTCCCTGCAAGTCCATGTAGCCACTCTCTTATTGCTGAAGTCAACTATTCGATGAGCTGTATACATGAATTTACCCCCTAAACCCATGGACTTATAAATAGAAGTCCATAATTTAGCATAGCCATTATATATATTTCATTTATAGTGAGTGATTTGGTATCTGGTTATTGTCACAAGGTTTAGTAGCTGAATACATATATTCTTCTTTAAGTGGAGAGGGAAGGGGGAAAATACTTTTTCATTAAAATTAAATATTCTGGATTATAAACAAAATCGTATTTCACTTTGCAAAATGTGTTGGAAATGGGAAATTGGAAATAGGTCTATGAAATGAAAATAAGCAACTATTGCTATTGCATTGAAGTGACAGAAGAGAGATTGATAAGGCTGTTTAATTAGTCATAACAATCATATCAAACTCTTTTGTCTATGTCAATAATCTGCAAAAGGCTAATAAGCCCATATAAAGCAGATATATAATTTAACAGTGATAGAATTTGAATAGAATATGATTTAAAACCTTAACATTTAAAAATAGATCTATGGTTTACAACTCATTTTAAAATTTAAACTAAAGGAACATTCCTGGTTGGCCCCTGTACCCCCCTAGGAAGTCCCTTAATGTTGAAATACCCTGGGGCGACTGTCAGGCTACCGCGTTGACATCACCCCTCTTTACCAGTAGTGCAAGGGGATTTAGATTCAAAAGAAACAACAATACATTTTATTTTCTATTTACTACATGCTTTTTATTTTCCTTTACAACATGTACATAATTATAATTTAAAACAGGATATAGGCCAAGCCTAATTAGAATCTGTTTCAAAGGCATGTTATTGTATAACAAAAGCATTATAATAAATTCATAATTTCAATATTCCTATCACCAAACTGTGACATCTTACAAGGGCACTGTTTCTTTAGTCTACCAATAAATGATGACTTTAAAACAAAGCATTAATGTGACATAATGTCACCACACCTGTAAAAGATTACAAATGTGACACAACAGCAGACTGTTACGCCAATGCCAAATTCCCAACATCACCTCAATACACTTCTTAGTGATGACTAAAAACGAAGTCTTGTTTTGTTTCTCAGAACTAAACATTATATCAAATACATAATAATCACATTTCACTTGCATAATAGATGCATCAAATAAACCTGGTATACTAAACAACCAGGGCCCTTGGTTATGATTACATAACATTGTGTTTCAAAAAACTGTGATATCACTAAGACAAATTCAAACTATTTGTTTCTAAACTACAAAAAAACTGGTGAAAAGGGTGAAAGGGTACAAAGATGAGTATATCTACATTGTCACATTGGCACATAAAGCCCTATTTCACCATTTCAAGTATAACACATCAAATGATGCACAAACTGGGAGTTCCTGTTCTCTCATTTTCATAATGCCTCAATTTTTGAAGAAATGGGTCCAAATGTTCTAAAGCAAGAGACCCAAAATGTTTTACCACACCAGGGCAGGAGAGATCTTCCTGTGTTGAGTGAAAAGTGAAAAAAAAATCCCCCCCCCACCCCACTCCCCTAAAAAATATTGTAAAGGGATGATGAAGGGCTCTATTGCATAATTCATCAGAAGCAACATAAAGCATAAATACCATTAAAGCATACATACATGAATAAATATATGATTGAATGACGAGATTACATTCTCTTAAAAATTACAGACTAGTCTCATTCCCCTTTCACCATGTAGTTTAGCTGCCACAATGCCTTTGATTTGTTAGCTACTCATAGTATCACATACATTGTACTTGATATAAAGTTAAAATTGGGAAAATCTTAATCAATTAATTTCCAGATTCATAAATATACCCACTTCTCAATTATATGCCCACTGCAATAGATAGATAGCAAAGGAATCAAAGGCATATAATTTAGAGGTAGGATATCATAATAAATCAACATAACTATACATGAATGTTTGATGCAGGATTTCTGTAAATGCCTTATAACCAGTGCTTGCGTTAAGGGCCAGTCCACTGGTCATTGCCAGGTTAATTTTGAAATGGACCAGTTGGTTCTTCCACTTTGTATAGGAAAATAACACGGCAACTGGTCCGTAATGCCATTTTGACTAGTTGCTCTCAGAACCTTAGCTTAACACCTGCTTATAACATACGAATTTCAAATCCTCCAAATATCATCCATTAAGCCGCTTAACAAATCCATGAAATAAAACAAACACAGATAAGCTAGGCCTTAGATATATAACTAAAGGCCTATACAAAACAAAAGATGTAAAAGCATAACAAAAAGTACCGACTTAACAGATAGAGATTACAAACAGTATATATCAGTCTGTACAACACACATTTAATTCAACTAAAAAACATAATTTATTTGGTATGCTCATAGGCTTCCAATAGAATGCCCATGGGCTTCCAACAGAATGCCCATGGGCTTCCAATAGAATGCCCATGGGCTTCCAACAGAATGTCCATGGGCTTCCAATAGAATGCCCATGGGCTTCCAACAGAATGTCCATGGGCTTCCAATAGAATGCCCATGGGCTTCCAATAGAATGCCCATGGGCTTCCAATAGAATGCCCATGGGCTTCAAATAGAATGCCCATGGGCTTCAAATAGAATGCCCATGGGCTTCCAATAGAATGCCCATGGGCTTCCAATAGAATGCCCATGGTATGCTATATTAACTACAAGGTAAATATAAAACTGAATCACTTAAATTGTGTAGTGCCACTTTCAGTGGTATATAAACATGATTTTATCATATAAGGAATACTTTCATACCTAAATGATATGTTTTATCTCCTAAAGATTAGTACTATAAACACTTTATAATATGGAAAACACTTTTTACTGTAAATAGTCAACTTCTGAGGTCTAGCAAACATTTAACAGTTTTTATACACAGCATGATTATAATTTTAGCAGTTAGAGTCTTAGATCAAGTTTTAACTTTTACACAATAGAAAGTAAAAATAGTCAGACTAGAGCTCATTCTTAGAATCAGAGTTCAATAATAATCATAATCATAATGTAAACATGTATCTAGCTGTACATGTATATGTATTTAGCTGTACACATGTGCAGCTGTACACATTATTAGCTGCATATGTATTCAACTATACATATGTGCAGCTGAACAAGTTATCAGCTGTATATGTATTTAGCTGAACATGTATGCAGCTGCACATGCATTCAGCTGTGCTTTTAGCCAGTTGTACAAACTATTCCTTAATCATTCAGTAAGGCCAATAGTACAAGCAATCAAATAAAAAGCAAAGCAACAATCAATAATGGCCACAAGACTACTACCCAATATACAATAAATACTTTTTATATAATGTACAACTCTTAATTTACATAGATACAGAGAGACATCAACTATGCCATTGTTAACAGTATAATACTCCTAGTTTCTGTGCTTCAATAATACTTCTCTGGTTTTCATCATCTCTCCCATTTTCCCCATCTTTCAATCCTCTCAAATATAATGTAATGTACATGATTGCTTATACATGTGCATTTACAATTTATCAACTCATGTAAAAGCAATATCATGTACAATACAACAATCTTCTTCATGATTAACTTATTACATCTTACAATTTGGCAGTATTTCTAAACCACTATATTCACATAACATGGCACAAAATGCACAATTAAAGCTAATGAACTGATTAAACCCTATTTCACTGTGTTGGCATGGCAACAAGACCTGATGCCAACCTTATCTACAATCTTACTTACAGTCCACCAGTATATGGTCCTTATCTAGTACTTATAGTCCACCAATAAATGGTCCTTATCTAGAACTTACAGTCCACCTGTATATGGTCCTTAAATGTTATGTGCGTTAACAATTTGAATGTTTACACGCATAAATTCCCAACCCTGAGTCCCATCATCACCATCCACACTCCCCTCTGAGTATTCCAGATGATTTTACAGCTTCCATACTGAGATCTTAATGATCAAAAATGCATCATTCAAGGGTCCTTTATGGTAGTTTGAATGTAAAATGATTAAATGAATGTTATCGGTGGAAAAGGTAGTGTCTTGACTTTCTGAAAAACATATTCAGATTGGATAATGGCTTGATTTGAAAATGTTTGGATTTTTAAAGAGTGAAGACAAGAAAGTCAAGATCTTACAGAGAAAAGAGACCCTCGTTTTGTGGAAGTCTTTAGAAAGTTCAATCTCCAACTAGTTGATGTAATGTTCAGTTTATAACACATTCTAACATTTATATCCATAGCTTCAATATGTGCGTATGTGTTTGAATGTCTTGTTGATTAGTTTAAGATCTCGCATGTAACACGCCACCAGGCCCAGCAAGAGCTGTTTTGCCCATAAGGTCAAGGTCAACCTGTCTGGCAGCTTGACGGCCCTCGTTGATTGCATGGACAACCAGAGACTGACCTCGATGACAATCTGCAACAGAGAAACAACACAAAAAATGAGTGAATAAATGGAGAGATAAATAAACAAAAAAATGTGAAAATGACAAGGAAGAAAATACAAATACATAATCACATGATGAAATAACATTCCATTAAACCTATTGCGACATGGAATGATCTTCTTTTCAACAGAATATTTACCAGAACATATTTTCCATGCCATCTTAAAATACAATTCTTTATCAAGAAATGGTAAGTTATACCTTGTAAGAGAATTTATTGTAATTTAATGTACTTTTTCATTTTTTAAATTTTTTACTGGTTAATTGTTTTTATTTCGATAATATAAATTATATATAAATTTAAACATGATTGAGCAATGTTCTTACCTCCTGCTGTGTATACTTTAGGTACACTCGTGCTATATTTTCCATTGGACGTTGCAATGTTAGACCTGGGGTCTTGGTCTAGTTCTAGCTCTTTAATAATATAGCTCTCCGGTCCTAGGAAGCCCATGGCGAGCATAATGATGTCAGCTTTGAATACATGCTCTGAACCTGCAACAAAATTTGATGTCAGCCTTGAATGCATGATCTGAACTAAGTAAATGTCAGCACTGAACCCACAATATCTGATGTCAGTACTGAATGTGCTAAAAATTCATAATATTTGCCAAGAAATTGTACTTTAATAATAATGTCAGCTTTGAATACTTGATCAAAATGTCTGAAAAATATTTTTGCAATATGAAATTTTAAATCACTAAAATTTTCAGATTTGTGAAAATTTGAAATAACTTTTGACATGTGTGAAATAAAAAACATCTCTATCATATTGAATTTTACTGCACTAATAATGACTATGTGTACTTTAAAATGGGGACCTTACTCACAATGATCATGGGAAATGTAATAGTAATAATGATACACAGTTCTATGATTGTATCAATTAGCCTCAAATCAGCTTTATTTGTGTTTCATTTATATACCTTCAACCTCCTTCATCTGCCAGCGTCCGGTGTCATCTTTGGTCCACTCAACTTTGACAGTTTTGACACCACTTACATTTCCATTGCCATCATCTAGGAACTCCTGCAAAATATAATAGCCATTGAGCAATTCATACTTGTATTTTGTTAAAACCTTGGTTTGGAGACAGTTTGGACTACCAGTGATTTTCCAAGTTTATTGCTACACTTTAAAAATGTGAAAATCTCATCCCATGCTTTTGAAAATCAACATCCAGTCTGAAAAGGCTGAAATATTGAGATAATTTGATCAAAATAGGTAAAATTGGCATTTAGCACCACCCTGTAAAGCTAAACACTGGAGAGATCAGTGGTTGCTATTGTTACTTGCTGCAAGGGAACATGTCAATGGATTTAAACATAATGGCAACAAATCTCAGCTCATTTGTTCCATACTCGTGGAATGTTTACGTACCAGACCAACAATTATACATGAAAATTCTTAAATTGAAGCACAATTAGCACTTTAAGAATAACATATTAGATTACATAATAATTGGACATGTTTAAAATGAGATATGATTATTGGCCAAAGAGATGTTAACTTAATTATAATGTGAATGAAACTATAGGCACATGTCACTTACCTTGCTCATGATATCAAAGTGTCGTGGGTCACGACCCCACTTGACCTTGACCTCCTCATGTCCATAATCTACTCTCCAGATCTTGGGCCAAGTAGGCCAGGGGTTGCCTGCAACTCGGTTGGGAGGGGGCTTGGAGAGAATCTCAAATGATGTGATGCTCTTTGCACCCTGCAAGAGCAAATTGTCAACATTAATGAACATTAATCGTGTGCTGTCTGGTCAAAGAGAGAATTTTTACCAAACCTTTTATTCGTATCACCCTCAATAACTACATCTATACTTATTTGAAATATTTTGGGTTTTAAATGAAGATTAATTTTTGCAATAAATACCCAATCTATTCCATAATTAATGGCCACCTCTGTTACTCTACTTTTGTCATCTATTTTAAAATTAAATTAATTTGGCGAATAAGGCAATTTGTAAAAACTTGCCAATTCATGTCTTCCAAATTTTTCAGAAAAAACAGAGAAGAATTTTCATCCAGTGCATCTGTCAAATTAAACAGCGTCAAATAAAATAGAATAACAGTACATATTGTTTCCATTTATTCAAGACCATAGTACAGTGCTATGTACATGTGCATGTATCTACATGTATTCTTAATGAAAAAACTAAAACTCATTACCCACAGACAATAGACCCCAGTAAAGAGTGAAGAATCCTTACTTGTCTTAATGACGTTGCTATGCAATCACAGCCAGTATCGCCTCCACCTATGATCACAACATCCTTATCTTTAGCGTGTGTCTTCAAATAGTCAATTCCCTCGTTCCCAGCATGTTTCTTTTGCCAGTTTGTTAGGAAGCTCATTGCGAAGTGGATATTCTTCAAGTTGCGTCCTGCAAAAACCAAAGTTTGAATTTGGATTTTCTGACATGAGTTCAACAAATCTGACAAGAACATTGCATATTATTAACTTATTTTTAATCCCCTTGATATCTATTCTGTTATAACCTTATTTACATATCAAAGATACAAGTACTGGCCCATAGCCAAGGGGATCAATGGGTTTGGGTAAATTTCTTTCAAAATCATGCAGTTTTTCACGATTCTGAGCATTTTTTCATGTGATTTTGGGCCAAATTTGTCAAAGTGAATTTTTCTGAAAAGGGAACCCCACTTGGCAAAAGCTGGCTACGGGCCTGTAGTGAATGCATTGTTTCAACAAACTGCACTGAAACAAGAAACTGCATTGATTTATTAACTAAGTTAGGCAGGGGTTTGAGAGAATCTCAAATGATGTGATGCTCTTTGCACCCTGCAAGAGGAAATTATGAAAATCAATGAATAAACTGCACTGATAAAAACCTTGATCAAAGATTACAATTTTTTTCAGAGCAGGGTGATAAATTGTATGTGTGTGTTAAGTAAAGTGTATATTATAACATACCAGGTATAGGGAGATCCCTTGGCCAAGTTGCTCCCATACACAGACAAACTGCATCATTGTTATTCACCAGGTCTTTGGCCTTAATGTCCTTCCCTACATCCACATTAGTCTTGAATTCAATCCCCTCAGCTGCCATCAGGTCAACCCGTCTTTGGACCACCTATGATTATGACAAGGCATTAACATGCAAAATGTCACTACCTGCCATTTGTTAGACACTGACAGCAGAACATCAAACACAAACCTCCAACCACCATCCACAAAAATTTTGGAAACTATAACAATATGTCAACACTTTAGGTGGTGACATGTAAAATAGATTGAATATTAATAAACGATGAAAGTGAGATGTGAATAACTTCCTACCCTGGTGTAATTATCTTTTAAACTTTAATTCTTTTGGATATACATGTAATGTCAATATAATTTGGAGAGGATTTTCCTCCCTTTAGTTACTTATTTGCCCAACTTACATCTTTGCCTAGTTTCATTGTTGGAATGCCATATCTGAGTAGTCCTCCTATGTTGTCATTTCTCTCATAGACGGTCACCCAATGGCCAGCCTGGAAAATCACAGTTGAAAAGATAGCAGATTATATTTAATTTGCACACCAAAAGTGCTACAATACGCTCTACACAATTATGCAAGCTGGGCTGAAAACAACTGGGCAGAAACATGACATGATCTTAATATGTAGCCATCCCGATGTAACATAATATCAGTATGTGAATGGAATTTAAGATGCTTTTAGAATTCCTTCATACGCATGTAACATCACAAGGTGACCTAGATACATGAATGTGGACTCCTTTTACATGTATATAACAAGGTAATAATCATAAAGGGTTATTACATAAATAAATCAAAAATGTATGGCATGATCCTCTGAAAGATATCATGAATGGCACTAATTTATTCATCTAGCTATCTATCTATCTATCTATGGTAGAAACAGGTGTGGCCCTTTATTTTCCTGCTAATGGAGTTTTATAGTTATCGATGATAAATCTAATAGCATCCCAGGTAAGAAGATAACACAAACAGCTGACGAGTTCTAAAAATTTTCTCCAGCAAAAAAATGAAATAGAAAGTCTCAGTCTGAATGAATAAATGTGCAGTGGGACGGGTCAAAGTTGAACGACTCGGATCGGGTTCAGGTCAGGTCACAGAAAGTCGGGTGTATACATTATTCATAGCAGTTCTTTAAAAAAAGGTCCCACGGTCCTGTGCTCACACAGTTTGGAACCTTCAGAGGAATGTATATCCGGACTTTTAAACAAAAATATTGATTTGGATTTGTAGTCTCGAACTTTGAGAAACTTAGATAGCACAGTTGTGTGACCTAGTTTGATGATCTTTGACCTTGAAAATCTTACTTATTCAGAGCTTAGTAAGGTCTTTTGTGATTAAGCTGACCAAAATTTACATCCAAAAATCAATTTGAAAAATCGCATCTAGACTATTCATTGAATTCATTCAATTCCTATGACAGAGAACATTAATCAAATTTATTTCCTAATATAAAGGATTGCATATAAATTGTTAAACTAGCCATTCCTTCAAATGGTTCATTATTGAAGTAATTCCCCGAGAAAATGATCATTGGTTTTCGTCCAGTGTACTTTTTTAAAATGGCTGACTTCTAAATATAAAAACATGTGTGATTTGTCTGCAATTTACACTGTTTTTAGCCAATAAATGAAGCATATTGATGGCTTTTTAGATTATTGTAGATCGTTTTCATTTATAAATTTGTATTTAAATCCATAAACTCGAACAAACAAATGATAATATTACATTCAGAACTCCTTAGATATATCTTATTTGTAATCTTGACACTTAAAATTGTCAAGTTCATGGAAGAAGGCATGTATTTTAAAGTTTTTAAAATAGAATTTATTGACCGGAAGTTGTTTTTTTCAACCAGAGAATGCTGTAGCTATAAAACTTATGTGGTAAAAATGTAAAATGTATTTGCAGAGAAAAAGCAATGAATTTCATGCCATTTTGTCTCCTGACCATATCTAATATAATTTCTATGACATCAGACCATATGGACAAAATTTTTATAAAAATGTAAAATTTTTATGAAAACGGTAAATCCGCCAACCATTCATATTGCCATTGTCGTATTTCACTCGTTCAAATCTTTAAAAATGTGATTCTAAAAAAATCAGAAATCTGCATCTTGAAAACTACCTTGTTTAGCTGTGCTGCACATGCCAGCCCCGAGGGTCCGGAGCCAATGACTGCAATACGTTTCCCCGTCCTTTGTGGAGGAGGGTGGGGTTTCATCCAGCCCATATCCCAGGCATGGTCTATTATGGCATTCTCTATATTCTTTATTGTAACAGCGGGAGAGTGGATTCCCAGCACACATGCTCCCTATGAAGAAAACAACAATGCACGAGTGTGAAAACTTTCATAGATTGATTTAAAATTATAGAATGACATCTTATAATATCCTTGTTTGATATCCTTGAGTTGTCATGAGTAAAGAAATATTTCCAAACAAATGAAATAAAATCAACTGTATTAAATCATGGAATAAATTACCATTAACTAAACCCCATAAATTACCATTTATATACATATATGTACATAGAAACTTATTAAAGGTGAGAGTAGCTGAGACTAGCTATTAAGTGCAATGAAAAAACCAACAAGATGACAACAGTGTGACTGTGGCACCATAGGATCTCAATGCCAACAAGTCATAAGTATTTGTCTAGAATCAGTGACATTACCTGTACCAGCAGGCAATTTTCACCAATTCTTTATTGTTTCGAGTAATTTTGCAACTGTTTTAATGTTAAAATTATAATTTCCGATAATTTAAATTTTTCATTTAGTTTTTATTCAATTTACCTGCTGCTAAATGAGAGTGTTTTAAAGATCAATTCAATGTAGTTACTTCATGACCCAACAACAGTTGTCTTGACATAAAAATGTTTTTTGTATGGCACACATAACAATGCTAATGATGACTGTACTTCAATAAGGATGAACTTATTCAAATGATTTTATGAAATAATTTGATAGATGCTTTTGTAAAGAATTATCAATAATTCATTAAAATTTGATAAAAGACAATAGAAGTATTTGTACCTGAATTGGAAAGTTATTACGACCATCAATTGTGCTTAACTTCCTATCTTTTTCATAAAAACTGCATTTAATCATCAATGATGCATAGCGAATAGATAAGCTCACAATTATGAAAAACATATTTTACATTATTTGCAATTAAAAAGTTGTTTGTCTGACTTATAAAAATTGATAATCCGAGAATATTTGCAAACTATGATTTGATATAACTGTTATTAGAATAACAATGATGCAATTAAAACCTAATTAAAACCTAATCTACCATACACTTATGCGTCATATCATAAAAAAAATAACTTGATAACTTTAGATTCAGAAACCAGCCAACCAAGCTCAATTGAAAGTCCCAGGTAGCAAGCTATAAACGTTAACCTTACTTCATTGACAAGACTATAAAGAGACCAATATTTCTTGATATGACTTCCACCAAGTAGACAAAGCTTTAAAAAGCTGACTCAGATTTCTTGAAATTGACCAAACTTAGAAAAGTTGACCTAGTTTTGAAAAGTTGACCTAGATTGCTTGGTATTAATCTCTAGAGACTGACCTCAATTCCAAAACATGACCTCTAAGACAGGCCATTTCTTTTTATATGAGACCATTATTTAAAATACTGTGGGTTTGTTCGGATTCCTGGTTGTTCTTTACTGCAAAATTGCTAAATTATTATGATGGATAAAAAAATAAAATTATCAATAGAAAGACAAATGTTTTAAATATGTTGTCTCTACACCATAAATTGTACCAAAATGGCACTTTTGTTGATGAGCCATGCCTTTTTACTTATAGTGTATCTTCAATTTTTGATTGACTCCCTATCATAAACTTTGAGACTGGATTTAAACTGTCCCGTTTCATATGAAACTGATTTGTGTGAGACCTAATACCTCCAACTTTCTCTTTGAAAAAAGGATTGTTTCTTCTTCTTCTTCGTCTTCTTCTTCAATGTGTCAAGCAAAATTGTGATGGAATAGGTTTGTTTTACTTATGACTGAACTATAGACATTGTTGTCAAGTGTAATGACAGGGGAAGGATAAGGGTATGTTAATTAAGCTGTTTTACACCTGTTTAGTCAATTTACTCATGAAAAATAAAAGGTGGAAATATGGCATAAAATAGAAAAGTCACATGAAAAATGTTATTTTTTCATACATATGCAAGATTGTCTATTGTTGATTTATTTCAAAAACCTCGATACAAGAACCTTTTTATCTAAATGTGGAAAAGTAACAATTTTGAAATAAAAACACCTGACTTCTTATATTCAATTTGTGCAATAAGGTCTATTATGTTTATCCGAAAGCTCAAGACAAGGAGCGTTGTAATTAGATTTGATATTATATTTAAGCTCTCATTTAGTGGGATAGGTAATTTAGACAGGTGTAATTTGTTTGTGGATAAAATAATGGCATAACAGACTCCTAAACATGCATGATTATGGAAGCTTATTATTGTTATAGGTTTATTAGAGGTATACCTCATCAGATTTAAAAACCTGATTGTTGTTCAAGTTGTGTATTGGAGGTACCCCAAAATACCCCCAAAAAGGTTGTATGAAGTTGGCGAGACAAATAGTCTAATGTTTACAGAATGTATCATCTCTAGATGTATGGCTTCAATATTGTTAGCTATTCCTTGAAAACAAACAAAACATATTTTAAAGTTGAAAAAATTCTATAAGCCTAAATGAGTAATAGATTGTTATATTCGGGCAAGATAAATAGTTCTCTTGTTGCTACCACTGCAAGTTCTGGGTGCAGAACCAATGGTGTTCCACTTCTACAGGTTACACTGTATTTAAAGAGTATCTGGTGGGAACTGGGTGCCTTTGAATTCCAGAGCCCTGTATGTCTATGGTAAAACACATTATATAAATACATAAAACGAGGCAGTTGATGCACTCTTACAACTGGCACAAAAAGGTATGGAACTTAAATTTGATATCAAAATCATAATAAATATAAAGTTTAATAACATATTTTTTAATCCCAGGCTTTAATGTTTCAAATAGTTACATAATCTACATTAATCACATTATTTATATAATGATTATGATGATGATTTTTTCATTTCTGAAATTTTTCAAATGCAACAAATAATCTTTTCAAATGCAACAAATCACTATTAAACGTTTATAGACAATGTTTGCATTGACTAATAAAAAGATATTTGTTCAACTTTTATCAAATTCTCTCCTTTATCAATCTAATTATTCTAGGTATGTTTCACTTTGTAGGACAATACTGGGAACAATGTACATCCTACATATAGCACTGCTCGCTTGTTTTGGTGCATTCTCAACAAGTGGTCTTGAAATATATGACTATGAAAGATTGTTTGGACTCAGCGATAAAGTGGAAGAGGAAAAATGTAAGATATTTGTACATGTATTCACCTCTATTTATACATGATTGCAATGTTATATGAGGATTCTTACATTGATGGGATTAATTTTTCATCGATTTGGATATCCACATTATTATTTTGAAAAAATTAGTCAGCACATATTTTTTTCAACTTTGAATCTGAACTAACTTAATCATCTTTATAAGATATATCACAGATATATGTTTCTGAGATGATAGAAAATACTTTGATTTGTCTTAAGCTTATATCATCCATCAGTTAATTCAAAAAAAATAAAATGGTTGACTGAAACTTCATTGAAAGTAAAACTAAAAGAAACAAGGCATTAACATGACAAAATGTCACCACCTAAAACAATTTGGTCAATTTAAAGCAAGTTGAAAACATACCTTTTTGACTTTTTTTTTACCTTGAGAAGGTCATTAAAGGTCAAATGTCAAATCTAAAGTCAAATTTGAATTTCTGAGAACATGTAGATGATTTTGAAAAAAAAAATTGTCAATTTGAAGCAAGTTGAAAAAAGACCTTTTTGACCCTTGAGAAGGTCATTGAAGGTCAAATGTCAAATCTTAAGTCATATTTGAATTTCTGAGAACATGTAGATGATTTTGAAAAAAAAATTTAGTCAATTTGAAGCTAGGTGCATTCATGCACCCTCTGGGTCTCTGAGGATCGTGTTGGCCCCAGGGGTGCATAACGTGCAATGTAAATTTATCAAATTTAAGAAATGCTGAAAAGTCCGGATCTGATGTTTTTGACTTTTCTCCCAAGATCTTACCTCAATCTTGAAAATTCTTTCATCACTGGATAGCGGGACCAAAAATCTTCAAAATGAACCCATAAATGCCTCGCTTAATTACAGTAATTATGTGTAATCGTTGCAGATAAGACGAAAATGCATTTCTGACCGGTCTTCTTGACATTTTCGCTGACCTAATTTCAAGTGCGCATGCGTTGCATAAATCAGTGTGATGATCATGTGACGTGACGTAATTTGATGATCACGTGTTGTAATGTTTTCCAATACCCAGTTGGTAAAACTGCTATAGTGGATTCTTGATTCAATATGTTTGTTATCACGTCTTGTAACTGTTCTGGCTTCAAATCAAATCCAAACTTTGGTTTTATGTTATGCGAATAGAGATCATTGATTTCTTCCATCGAATACATGATGGTCGAATGAATGATATAAACTCTGTATAGTTAAATAGATGGCAGCAATATTCAATGGCTACTCTCGTCAAATCTCGTGAGAATAGAAGCCGCCATAAAGATTTTGTGAACAGTAGCGACAAACGGCGATTTTGCTACAAAATTAGCACAATTCAACCTTCTACAACCACAAAGCTATGGTAATTTTTTGTATAAATCATCAATGTATCCATTTTGTTTATATTTCTCTGTAAATGACGCAGAGATTCTAAGCAGAAGATTAAAATAAAGTGAACCGTCAAAAATAATCAAGCAAAACTTAGATTGGCATGAATTTACAAGGATAAACACCGCCTCTAATGCAAGTCCTTACGACAATCCAACGCATTAGAGGCGGTGTTCACCGTCTATTTGAAGCAAGATGAAAAAATACCTTTTTGACCTTTTTTGACATTGAGAAGGTCATTGAAGGTCAAATGTCAAATCTAAAGTCAGATTTGAATTTCTGAGAACATGTAGATGATTTTGAAAAAACAAATTAGTCAATTTGAAGCAAGTTGAAAAAAGACCTTTTTGACCTTTTTTGACTTTGAGAAGGTCATTGAAGGTCAAATGTCAAATCTAAAGTCAAATTTAAAGTCATATTTGAATTTCTGAGAACATGTAGATGATTTTGAAAAAAAATTTTAGTCAATTTAAAGCAAGATGAAAAAATACCTTTTTGACCTTTTTTGACATTGAGAAGGTCATTGAAGGTCAAATGTCAAATCTAAAGTCAGATTTGAATTTCTGAGAACATGTAGCTGATTTTGAAAAAAAAATTTAGTCAATTTGAAGCAAGTTGAAAAAAGACCTTTTTGACCTTTTTTGACTTTGAGAAGGTCATTGCAGGTCAAATGTCAAATCTTAAGTCAAATCTAAAGTCAGATTTGAATTTCTGAGAACACGTAGATGATTTTGAAAAAAAAATTTAGTCAATTTGAAGCAAGTTGAAAACAGACCTTTTTGACCTTTTTTGACCTTGAGAAGGTCATTGAAGGTCAAATGTCAAATCTTAAGTCAGATTTGAAGGTCAAATGTCAAATCTAAAGTCAGATTTGAATTTCTGAGAACATGTAGATGATTTTGAAAAAAATTTAGCCAATGTGAAGCAAGTTGAAAAAAGACCTTTTTGACCTTGAGAAGGTCATTGAAGGTCAAATGTCAAATCTAAAGTCAGATTTGAACTTCTGAGAACATGTAGATGATTTAGAAAAAAATTGAAGTCAGTCTAAACAGTATTTGTTAAGTTATAGGAAGTTGTAAGAAATTGTTACAGACGCCAACCTCCAACCGCCGGACGCCAACCGCCGTCGCAAAAAAAAGGACATAATAAAACCAATGGAGTCGTCAATATACTCATTTATGTTACAGATATCTGTGCAGATATTGTGTTTGCCTTAGACTGTTCATGCAGCATAAAATCAGACGATAGACTCAAGATGATCACTATAGTAGAAAGTGTAGTGAAAGGCTCTAAAACAAGTGAAGGCACCAGGGTATGTAATCACACATATTATATTTTTGTATATTTGTCCATGTAAGAGGGCATCTTCCCCTAACATTAAACAATCAATTCAGAACTTATCACTAAAAAATAGACTATCACTTCAGAATATTATACACGTTAGATCATTAGACTTTCACCTCAGAATATTGGGCAATGACATTAGAATATTACAATACTATTTTTCAGTAAATAGATGCACTTCGAAGCATGAGCCATTCACCTCAGAATATTAGTCTATGACATTGGAACATTACATACAAAACTATTTCAGTAAATTAGACTCACTCACTTAGACAGAATTTTAGAGCATTGCACAATCATTTCAGCATATTAGAGAATCACTTCAGAACATTAGACACTTTAGAACATGAGACTAATATTTCAGTAAATAAAAAAAATACTTCAGAACATTAGATACTTTACAACATTAGACTTCCACATATGACAAGGTACATGGACATTACATTTCTGTTACAGTTTGCTTTGCTGACATTTGGCTATCATGCAAAGCTTGAATTCAGCTTTGGTGAATTTTCAACAAGGGCTGAGCTTTTAGCAAGACTTGATACGTTAAAAGAAACGATCGTTGAGAAACCAGAGAGATGTAAAACCTACACCTGGGAAGCTTTGGAGATGGTTCGTAACACCTCATCGCTACTCGGCACTGAACCTAGATTTGATGAGAAGACTAGACACGAACGAGGAAGGGTTTTGATTCTGATGACAGATGGTGTCCCTTTCAGTGATGAAGAGGTTGGTTATGAATCAATATGGTGAAAAAGAACCAGGAATAGAGCCCATCACAGTTTTTTAAGTCATGTAATTAAGTCTCTCTTGAGTACTTTATGTGAGCTGCCTTGTGGATACAGGATTATGATTACAAATACATGGGTTCCAAAAGTTTCAAAATTAGTAAAATGTCAATAAAAAGAAAATTATATTAAAATAGAAATTTCAAATATAAATTTCCTCGATGACTTCTTAAATTTGTAACATGGCAAATATAGAGGATATCCTATGATTTATGAGTGATATGATTTTTATCCACGAATGGATATGATATCTGCACGAGCGAGCGTAGCGAGAGAGTGCAGATATCAATATCCATGAGTGGATTAAAATCATATCACGAGTAAATCATAGGATGTTCTTTTTATTCCATAGTTAAAGTCATCATCAGAATTGTCGGAAATTAAGTCATTTAATTCGAATTTTCCAAATGATCCGGCGATGTTGACACTTAGCCTCGTTTTGAGTCTGAAGTAGCAAAAATCCATTAACCATCGCATACGACGTCGTATGTCATGGCTAAAAAACAGTATGCTATGGTTAAGTGAAAATTTGTCAAAAATATCATATTTTACCACTGATTACAAAAATACCGTTTTTATTTTCACATGTTATCCAATGAATATCATGCTAACTATGGCAAATATAAATGTATTAAATCATTCAGTTTTAAGGTAATTGTGCTTTGTCATTTTAAAGTCAAGAGAAGAGAAGAAACAGCTGACAATCGACCAAGGAGAGAAGAACCATGCTGTTGGCATAACAACTTTGGTTGTTCAGGTGCGGAATAAAATAGAAAAGAATGATCTTTTACTGGATACAGCCTTCCATGATATATTTGAAAAATTGGTTTCAAAAGAGGCATGGTACATCAGGGTTTCCGCAGAAACAGAAATTGAAGAAGTTGGCATATTTTTCTTTGGTGATCTGGTTAAAAAATTCCCATGTTCCTGTAAGTATAACCGCTCAGTAGTGTTTAAAAATGACTTGCATATATCTTTAAGATTAGATTTAGATAAGATTAGCTCAATGTGATCTGAACCATGAATGATGTGCTATTCACCGGAATTAGACTACTGATGAATATATCTGCCTGACAACATATCTGTAACAACGATCTGATTATTTAGAAAAATAATTTGGACAATGAGTTTCATTTGAATTTGCTTCTTGATTGTGACACAGTACTTTATGTCTATCAACATAGAACTCAGCATACAACTAATGTGTAAATGTGTAAGTCAAGAACTGTACTATTGAAAGCTTTAACAATTTTGACACCAACTCATTTTATTTTACCCAAGCATTTTATTGAGTTACTACTACTATTCTATAGATCGGTGCACAAAAAAGATTGACCTCTGCTTAGTGTTGGACAGAAGCATTAGTATCAAAAGCGAAGACATTGCTAAAGCAAAGGACTTTTTAAAAGAACTATCCGATTCGTTTCTGATCACCTATGATGAAAATTCTGCAATTCACTGGCAGGCAGCTATGATTGGTGTAAGCAGCTACAATACAAGAGTCTACCAGCATGTATTGGGACATGAATGTCGTGATAATGCCTGTGTTCGTGATGAAATCGATGCCATCCCAAACACAAATGCTGACTTTACCGAGACTGATGATGCACTCGAAAATGTGCTAGCTCAATGCTTATCATTAGATAATACCCGTGGTGGTGGAATCCCAAGAGTGACAATGTTGGCTAATGACGGTAATACTTGGGAGACAGGAACTACCTACATCAATTCTAAAAAGACTATCAAAGTTGCTGATAAGCTGAAGAAGAATGGCATTGATACAGACGTGGCAGGATTGCCAAATCATGAAGACAATGTTGGGATCGATGAATGGAAGGCTATCGCGAGTAATTTCATCTTTGATCTGCGAGTGAAGCCTGACTCTGACTTCAAACCTGACTTTGATGACCTGAAGCCTATTGTTGGAAGAGTGGCAAGATTATTATGTGAAAAATACGGAGTTGAATAAATTGAAAAACATACTTTTAAAATATGCTCATCGTTAATATAATCATTTTCTTTGTGATTCTTTGAGGGATAAAGATCGAGATTCTATGATTTATGGTGCATTATATGACTTATGATTTTTTTATGATCACTGAACTTTTTTCTTGGCAAAAAAAATGTTCAATACATACAGGTTTTACAGTAGATTAAATTACAAAAGTAGGTCTTCTTAGAAATATAACATGCATAATACGTATAACCTGTAGAATTATAACACGTTCCTCAATATGATCTATAGAATTGGCTCATAATGCATAGTGAATTTGCAATGGTTTCTGATAAATGTATTAAGCGCCTTGCAAAACCCATAAAAGCTCCAAAGCTGACTCACAGTGATACTTCAAAACAACAATTACAAAAAAATATTTCACTTAATTTTTCAGATTGATTCAAGTTTACACATATAGAGGAAGTGTATATCAATAAGAGATTTTCCAGTCATTTTTGAGCGTTGTGTTTCCAGCACTGAAATATCTCTCTTTTCAATGATATGTGGAAAGGTCACAGCTTACATTAGTGTTAGGTAACTGTCTTACAAAGAGCACAAATGAAATGCATGCGTTTATACATGCATTAATTTCTCATCTATTCAAAATATCTATGCTCTGTACAATAAACCAAACAATATAATAGTCCATTTGTCATTTTCTAAACTTATGAAAAGTACAATGTTTTACTGAGTAATCACTATCGTTAGGGATTTATGAAGTGATTTAGCTGGATTGCCAAAAAATCAACTTTTGGGAAAAAATTAAATATGCAACTATACGTATGTATCCCCATTCATGCATTGTGACATACATGATGGTATCTGGATGCTAAGTCAATAGTCAACCCCATGTTAGCCAATGCACCCTTGCTGAATTAGCCTATATAATTTTCCCCAAACAAACTTTTTTGGCAACCCAGTTAAATCACTTCAAAAAACCCTTATTATCATAAATTGACCATAAAACATTGTACTTTTGACTTCAAAGGTTCACTATATGAGGTATGGGGATAACAAATGGACTATAACAGCAAACACAGCCCATTATTTCACAGATTCATTTATAATACCCAAACAGGACAACATTTCAAAGAACAAAAAAAATTAACACAGAACAAGATCTGATCACAAAAACTGATCGTTTTGATAATACAAACTTATAGATGAATATTAAACTTTTATTACTGTCCCTTTGTATGTTGTTAACGGAACTTGCATATCTCAGTGCATATTTGATTTGAGATTGTGTAGGATACACACACCTTCCGCAGAGTGCATTCATTTAACCTCATCAACATCACAAATAAAACAAAGATTAGCAATAGAATTCCATATCCTACTAATATTATTCATTTAATGACTTGTAATAACAATAAATGTATATAAAAAATCATCAGGTGGTAACTGGTTGATTTTTAATTACATTGTTCTGTCTGATGTGAACATCTATAAAACCACATTAAATGAGGCAGCCAATACACAACTGCATTTGACGAAGAAAGGTAAGGAATTTTATCTGAATATTTCAAGTTAAAGACTTTATTTTTTTAAAAAGGAATTAAATTATTTACATCACTAATAATCATAAAATTAACATGGTGATTAAACTATATTTTTCTATATTTCGTTTTTTCAATCACACTACTGAACAATTATGTAACATATTAGATAGATCTATATATTACTTTGAAACTTAATCATCAATAAAAAAAATTCTACTTACTGAATAGATATCATTGTGGAAATTTTTACATATAATAGAGTATTGATGGATTGTCATTTTATCATTTCAAATTGGAAGAAAGCTCAATATTTTATTCTGTGTAGGTCAGGAAATTTATCATTTTGACAGAATGCAAATAGATTTTCAAATTTTCATTAATTTGCATGGAGAACACCATCCATATTTTAGAGTTTTACACAAAATAATAATACCAAGTCTTTAATTTCAATGTGTTGATTCAATGTTAGTATTCATTCTACTGCAGCGGCAATAAAAAGGAATGCAGATATCTTCATTTGTAAGAATAATTTAGACCTCATTGAATACACCAGAAGAGAGGGTAGAGGAATACAAAAGTTAGCCATTAGTTTAAAATCAAATCTAAAACCAAGATCTCCAACTAGTGTGATACGAACAATTTTTCCTCATTTCCAGTGGCATCTCTTGGGCAATCATTTTTGTCAGAGTTGACCTACACCTAATTAATACTTAAAAACTGGTATTATTTCACTTTGTAGGACAATACTGGGAACAATGTACATTCTACATCTAGCACTGCTCGCTTGTTTTGGAGCATTCCAGACAAATGGTCTTGAAATATATGACTATGAAAGATTGTTTGGACTCAGCGATAAAGTAGAAGAGGAAAAATGTAAGATCTTTGCATTAATTTCTATAACATGACAGAAACAAAACCATCCTTACTTTTTAGGCTAGAATCAGAAAAAGGCAATTGCAACTCTCACATTCATAAGGAAAATTCAAAAGTTTTACTTAAATTCAATTTTGATCAAGGAAAAAACAAGAGACAAAAGAGACTTATTACAACCAATTAAACAAGGCATTCGCATACAAAATATCATCACCTGCAACAAATTAAAGGACTCCAAACTCAAAATGCTAATTGTTGAATGCCAACTATCAAACATCATCCAGAAAAAAGTTGCAGACTATTACAATGGAACCATTGCTGTAACTTTTTTATTTTTCAGACATCTGCGCAGATATTGTGTTTGCTTTGGACAGGTCATGCAGCATAACACCAGAAGACAGACTCAAGATGATCACTATAGTAGAAAATGTAGTGAAAGGCTCTAAAACAAGTGATGGCACCAGGGTATGTAATCACATATATTACATTTTCATGTATTTCTCCTTGTAAGGGAAAGGGTACCTTTCTCTAACATTAGGCTATCACTTCAGAACATTATACTATGTTGCCAAATGTTTTCAAAATATGATACATGAAATATATCACTTAGGATCATTAGACTAGGTACATGGACATTACATATCTGTTACAGTTTGCTTTGCTGACATTTGGCTATCATGCAAAGCTTGAATTCAGCTTTGGTGAATTTTCAACGAGGGCTGAGCTTTTAGCAAGACTTGATACGTTAAAAGAAACGATCATTGAGAAACAAGAGAAATGTAAGACCTACACCTGGGAGGTTTTGGAGATGGTTCGTAACACCTCATCGCTACTCGGCACTGAACCAAGATTTGATGAAAGGACTAAAAAGGAGCGAGGAAGGATCTTGATTCTCATGACAGATGGTGTCCCTTTCAGTGATGAAAAGGTTGGTTTAGAATCAGTCAGAATATTGAAATAGATTCAGAAAGAAAAACTAGTATTCTTACATCCACGGGATGTCATCGCCTGATTTGGTCAATGTTAGGGAGCAGGTCGTTTTTACAATAAATTTCAATATTTTCACACAAAATATTTTTTTACTGAAAAACTGCTCATTCGCAGAGAAAATGTACTAGCACATGCAATGACAATGTCAATCACGCTTCTGTACGAAATTCGGCGGAAGTCTTTTATAATCTAATACGAAGTTACTAAAAAAGGCGCGAACGCCCTACACTCAAAATGATCGTTTTTCCATTATAACTTTTTAACGTAATTTAACGAAGGCTTCTAATTATTATCCAAGATAGTCTAAATACCGATTAAAATATTTCTTACTTCAAACAGATACGCCGTCTTTTATTCAATTTTTTAAAAAATAATAAAAAATAACTCTTGTCAATGTTAGGGAGCAGTCAATGTTAGGGAGCAAAATGATTTTATCAGAATATTAAAAATGTAGCAAATGGCCATTTAAAATATGTATGGCATTTATAAACTGAACAATTTTGTTTGTATGATTATTGCCCTATCGAATCCGAACTTGCCCCAATGAGTCCAACGGAGTCCCATGGTTGATGACTTTGCCCCATCAAGTCCCAACGTGCCCCATCGAGCCCCATGGAGTCCCATCAAATCCCACCTTGCCCCATTGGTGTATGTTGGGCTTCACATAACATGTGACCTGATCGGAAATCCCACGATGCCCCATGGAAAGAATGAACATGTTCATTCTCGATGGGGCAAGATGGGACTCCGTGGGATTTTGCCCCATCCTGCCCCATCGAATCCCATCGAGTCCAACGTGGGACCTCATGGGACTCGATGGGGCAAGATTATATGCAAGTTGGGGCAAAATCCGACGGAGTCCCATTGATTCCCACGGACTTCATGGGGCAAAATCCCAAAAGGTCCCACTAGGTCCCACGCCATGTTAAGTCTATGGAGGTCCCAACTTGTCCCACTGGTGTATACCGGGCTTTAGAGTATCATTAGCAAGTGGTACACATATAACAGAGATCGGTTATATACTGCATTGTCTGAGTATTGACAAATTGAAGTATACGTGTAAAAATCTACTATCATACATGTAACTGCGCAATGAGCCCTTCATAGCGTTTGTGCCAGCTATCAGGTGATACCCGGTCGTAAAGATAAGTGCGAGACTAACTCTCTTACTTTAATACTAGGAAAATATCAAATCATAGAACTGAAGGATGTCGGAGATTTCTCAAGCCTATATATCAGTTCAGATAATTTATCATCCACAATTTAGGATTGTGAACTGATGACATCATCAAAAAGTGTATATAACGATACATCCATTCATTTAGTTAGAGGTCAACGAATAAAGAAGGAATGGTTCGCATCTAAATATTTCTAAAACGAACGTAAACAGGATTTAGCTGAAAATAAAAAATGCAAAATAACCTTTTCAATGATTTTCTTACAATTTTAACGCTTTCCTCCCCAAAGGGTATCAAATAATCATACAAACAAAATTGTTCAGTTTATAAATGCCATACATATTTTAAATGGCCATTTGCTACATTTTTAATATTCTGATAAAATCATTTTGCTCCCTAACATTGACTGCTCCCTAACATTGACAAGAGTTATTTTTTATTATTTTTTAAAAAATTGAATAAAAGACGGCGTATCTGTTTGAAGTAAGAAATATTTTAATCGGTATTTAGACTATCTTGGATAATAATTAGAAGCCTTCGTTAAATTACGTTAAAAAGTTATAATGGAAAAACGATCATTTTGAGTGTAGGGCGTTCGCGCCTTTTTTAGTAACTTCGTATTAGATTATAAAAGACTTCCGCCGAATTTAGTACAGAAGCGTGATTGACATTGTCATTGCATGTGCTAGTACATTTTCTCTGCGAATGAGCAGTTTTTCAGTAAAAAAATATTTTGTGTGAAAATATTGAAATTTATTGTAAAAACGACCTGCTCCCTAACATTGACCAAATCAGGCGATGACATCCCGTGACATCAAGTCATTTATAGTTTAAGGTATGATCTACATTTTGGGAATAAGAGAGAAATATGTCAATGAAGAGAATGTTATATCAAAATAGAATTCACACTTAGCTAGGCAAGGTGTGTCTGATTCCAACCAATTCAAACACTATATTTCAAATAACTGCACTGCATTATATAACCAATAACTTCACTTTACAGATTGAAAATGATGCTTTGCTAACTTGATCCTTGCAAAATGTTTCACTGAAAACATGTTATTTTAGTGATTTTGTATCTTTTGGGTTATTTCGTAGAAAAAATTTTGCAAGATGTGAAAGAATTAAAGCCTAAGACTTGATGCATTGGGCTGATATATTCCAGACGGGCGTTATTTCCTGAACTTCACACTCGATGCTGCGAATCTCTCGCATAGGTTGAAATAAAACTTTTTTGAGGGATAATTCAGTTCACATTGCACTGAGTTTATGGCTTAAATCATCCTTAAATCATGCATTTCTGGTGATTTATGAATTCCTGGAGATTTTATTGATGTCATTGCCAAATAACAATGTGTACCCATTCCATGGTGAGTCAATAATGATTATCTTTTTAAGTCAAGAGAAGAGAAGAAAGAGCTGACAATTGAAGAAGGCAAGAAGAACCATGCTGTTGGCATAACAACCTTGGTTGTTCAGGTGGCGAACAAAAAAGAAAAGAATGATCCTACACAGGATGAAGAGTTCAAAGATTTTTTTGAAAAACTGGTAACAAAACTGAGATGGTATATTCCCGTTGGTAAAGAAACAAACCTGGAAGGAGTTGGCATCTTTTTCTTTTATGATTTGGTTAAAGAATTTCCATGTTCCTGTAAGTATGACTTGTCCCAACTGTATCAAAAAGTATCTCTGTAATTAAAACTTGAATGAGACTGGTTCAAGTCATCTGTACTATGGATTACAACTGACACTACTTCCATTTCAAAATTCTTGCATTTATGTATATCATAAAAGAAATTATAACACAAGTCATTGTTACAATATCTAAGTCAAGTACTGATGAAAACATAGTCTAGTCTGTCTAAAATTTCATTACATTTTCAGCTTTACCATACCAGACTCTTTTTTAACGTCACCTCATATGTTTCATTAACCCCTAGGCCCTACATGTAATTACTGTTCTATAGATCGATGCATGAAGAAAATTGACCTCTGCTTTGTGATGGACAGAAGCATTAGTATCAAAATTGAAGATATCGCTAAAACAAAGGATTTTTTCAAGGACCTATCCGATTCATTCCTGATAACATATGATGAGAATTCTGCAAAACACTGGCAGACAGCTATGATTGGCGTAAGCAGCTACAATAGAGAGGTCTACCAGCATGTATTGGGACGTGAATGTCGTGATAATGCCTGTGTTCGTGATAAAATCGATGCCATTCCAGAAACACATGACAACTTCACTGAGACTGATGATGCCCTTGAAAATGTGTTAGCTCAATGCCTATCATTAGATAACACCCGTGGAAATGGAATACCAAGGGTGGCGCTGATTGGTACAGATGGCAATACCTGGGAGACAGGAACTAACTTCATCAATTCTAAAAAGACTATCAAAATGGCTGATAAGCTGAAGAAGAATGGCATTGATATAGATGTAGCAGGAGTGCCAAATTATCAAGATCGTGTAGGAATTGATGAATGGAGGGCAATCGCAAGTAATTTCATCTTTGATCTGCGACTAAACCAGGACTCTCCCTTCAAACCCGATTTTGATGACCTGAAGCCTATTGTTGGAACAGTGGCAAGATTATTTTGTGAAAAATATGGGGTTGAATAAATTGAAAAACATGCTTTCAAAATTAATTGATAAGCTTTTTCTGTGATTCCTTTAGATGCGATATATATGCCAAAGTGAGAAAAAAACATTTAAAATATAGGAAGTAAATACTTAATGGTTACCGATTGGTCAAAATGTTACACATATTCACTATCAGGACTTTGTACCCTATGCAACTCTCCTTTGCAACTGATCAATTTCTCTGCTGACAACCCTTATAATAAATCTAGGCAAGGGAAAATAAGGGGAACAAAATAAAAAACCAAATTCTTTATGAATCTGTTCAGAGTTATGATGATGATGGAAAAAATAAAATAAAAAATATAACTTGGACATAAAATTACCATTTTTAAGCACTTAATGAATTGGGGGTGATTGAGTGCATTCATGTCTTGTATCCTATTCTTTGAATTCAGGCCCCACCCTCATTCAGTCAAGACATTCTTGATTAAAAAAATCATCATGTAGCACTGAGCCTAAATTCTTTAACCATTATCATGAAAATTATCCATGGATAAAACCTCTGCTTCATGATTTAAAATTTCAACAGAAAATGTCACTTGTCTGTACTATTTTATTCATCTCTTTATCTTCAAACCCTGAGTCTATATTACTATACTACATGTACTCATCACAGCAGTATCTTAAACCATGGAGGGCCATTTTTGTGAGATGGTGTTAAACATTTTGTGTAAGACATTTGTGGATCGTGTAAGACATTTTGTTGAACCTGCATAATCTCTTTGTTCCCATCATTACTTAGAAGAACTGTGTTTTATTAAGTAGAGTACGTTATTAATTTAGTAATTTTTGAATATTTAAACCAGGTATAATGTAAAAACATTTGACCTGGTCAAAGGGGGCAACTTTGCTCCCCTCTATCCATTTGTGTAGGTAACATGCCCCTTTACTATTTAATAGTTAAAACTGCTTCAAAATAATCAATGAAAGTGTGAAATGTGTTTTCTGCTCAAATAGTATTCCATTTGTCATATGGTAGGGTTTTAAACTTGTATCTCTAACTGAAAGCTGTTTTAAGAATACCTATCGTGTTTCAACAATTTCCATGAATTACATAATTAAAATTTTGCACAATCTAATTTTCCTGTTGCAGGGGTTCACTTCTTTGGACCACCCTGTACATTAGTTATGACTAATAAAATCATTCAATGACACTTATATGATGTCAATGAAAGTTCTATTTTATGCCTTTGTCATTAACTCAGCTGAGTGAGGCAACACCAGTGGGAGGATGAAAATTCCCATTGAGTATAAACAAGACCATTATGAACCATAAAAATATTTCTAAATTGCAATCCACTGACATGTGTGCAAACATTGATGTAATGAAGTTCTCACCATGTTTATATCTCAGCATGGTAAAAAATTATAATTGGACTCATTGCCACTCGGGAAATGTCCAAATGTATCCTCATTTGTTCTGATGTGTCATTTCAATGAGAGATTTTAGGTGATTTGCATATTGGCCAATTTTTAGCCTGATGAAATATATTGATTGTTATTATATCAGATGTTCATTCCAGGAAACCTTGAATATCTCAAACAAATCTGTCTAGTAGAGTTTCTGGAAATGTCCAGACAAGACGAAACTGGACTCAGTGGACTGTCTGATCCAGAATGATCAAGAATGACTCAGTCAGTGCAACAAAAATCTCCATATGGCATGAATATAATGAATGAAATTAAAGGTGACACTGACATTGCGAAAACATCCATTTATAATAATTCAATAGGGAGAAGACAGTAACAATGCAATGCTTTGAAAGAAATGTATATTTAAAAATAAACAAAATAAAACTGCAATAAAAATTCTGTTCCATCGTTAATGTTTGATAGTAATTAATGTGTCAAGAGTGGTAAACTTTTAATTATTGTTTGATTAGTCTTTAATATCTCTCTTATGCTTAATAATAATGTTATAACAGGAAACAAATAGTATAACCAGAACAACGGCAACGCCAAAGCGTAGTGAATCCCATCGAACAGAAATAGCTGGCATTTTTACAAACGAAGCGCAAATATCATAAAGCAACACACCAGAAAGGCCACCATTTTTCAAAATGGTAAAATGGCCGACTACTCCCCAAAGTTTTATTAGACAATGTGCCAGGCTTAAAGTATTCACATACCAAATATGAACAAAATCGCTCCACTACTTTTCGAGTTATAGTAAAATATTTTAAAATGGCGGCCATTTTTCAAAATTTTTTTCAAAATGGCCGCCTTCTACCAAAAGTGTCATAGGACAGTGTGCCATGCTTATAGTATTCACATACCAAATATGAACAAAATCGCTCCACTACTTTTCGAGTTATAGTAAAATATTTTAAAATGGCGGCCATTTTTCAAAATTTTTTTCAAAATTGCCACCTTCTACCAAAAGTGTCATAGGACAGTGTGCCATGCTTATAGTATTCACATACCAAATATGAACAAAATCGCTACACTACTTTTCGAGTTATAGTAAAATGCGTTAAAATGGCGGCCATTTTGAAAAATGGCCGTCTTCTACCAAAAGTGTCATAGGACAGTGTGCCATGCTTATAGTATTCACATACCAAATATGAACAAAATTGCTCCACTACTTTTCGAGTTATAGTAAAATGCGTTAAAATGGCGGCCATTTTTTTAAATGGCGGCCATTTTGAAAAATGGCCGCCTTCTACCAAAAGTGTCTTTAGACAGTGTGCAATGCTTATAGTATTCACATACCAAATATGAACAAAATCGCTCCACTATTTTTTGAGTTACAGCCAAAATCATAAAATGACGAGTAAAGGCCGCCATTTTTCAAGATGGCTGCCATGTGCTTCTTTAATATCTACATTTGTAGCATTATTAATGTCCTTTATAATTTTTTTACATTTAAAACATATTGCTATTACAGTTTTACATATTGCACCTAAATTACTGTAAAATCGTCACTAAAGTGGCCGCCATTTTGAAACGAGCGGCCATTTTGAAAATCGGCTTTCAACAGAACTTCTACCCCCATAGGGTATATGTGTACAAAATATGAACAAAATCGGTCCAATGGTATTTGAGTTATTGCCCGGACGGACGGACGGACGGACGGACGGACGTACGTACGGATGGACGTACGTACGGACGGAGGCGTTCCCTATATCCCTCCGAACTTCGTTCGATGGGATAAAAAATAATAAAGATAAAAATGCAATAAAAAGCACTGCTATACTGATTAATTAGCGTGTCAGCATGGATAGTTACTATCTAATATTATTTTCTGTATAAAAAATGTTAACACGTACTTGTAAAATAATTCTTAGTTACAGGAAACTATGAAATGAAATATCAGCATTTTTATCTGGATACATCAGACAAAAATAGAATTTGACATTTTGCTCAGTAGGCAGACTTTTAAAAAACGTTTTCCTTTCAATCTGCACATCCTTTAGTGAATGTCAAACAGTTTGATTTGTAAATAACTTATAAAACCAAGATAAGATGGTTAGATAGATAACCATAATGTAACAGGTTGGAAGAAGTTTTGGAATAACACTTATTTACATATATTGATTGCTTGTTTAGATGGATTGTTACATGTGGTATTACACATGTTTGGATGCAGTGAACCGATTAAAGTGATTGAAAATTAGTTCATGTACAATTTCAGATCCAAGGATTTTGAATAAGGTTCTTAAGGTTGATTTAGAATAAGTGGGGCAGTAGATGATGATCATTATTTTTGCAGAATTTAAGCATTAATTTTTGCAGAAATAAAGACATCAAAAGACCCTAGATTTCTCACCGACCCGCGCAACTATTTGTTATATATAAAGTTTTTATTTTTCACAATATAGTGGTGTCGTTTAAGTTCAAATATGAGTTGAAAAGGGAATCAAATGGTTTAAAAAGTACCTTTAAATAGATTTAAAGGCTGTGATAAAAAACAAACTGTACATCAAGGTTTCAAAATTGCATGAGTAGAGTTCTACAACATACAAGGGATACGGGTCACAAGACGAATTCCATTTCGAATACATATCAACTTGTCAATATACCTCAGTTTAAAAATGGAGTTTATCATCATATTATATCAGAAAATATGCTGTCTAGAATCTGTAGCATTATAAAGTTACCTTTTAATTACATACACTGTATATAACATACAGGTGTACAATATTTTATTTTATCCTACACTTAGTGTACTAAATGTATAATAACATGAAAAAATAAATTTGATATTTATTGGCAAAATGAATATCCGGAGGATATCGTTACGATATACTCCGGGCGGAGGATATCGTGACGATATACTCCGGAAAACCCAATATGTGGAGGATATTGTGACGATATACTCCGCTTGTTGATTTCCCGCCAAATTGACTATATTTGGCATGAAATTCATTTTACAATGATATTATACATTCAGTACACTCCTTGTAAGTGTAGGATAATAAGAACATCCTATGATTTTTTTCAGAATATCATTTTAATCTACTCGGTGATATTGATATATGCACTCGTTCGCTTCGCTCTCTCGTGCAGATATCAATATCACCTCGTAGATAAAAATGATATTCCTCAAAATCATAGGATATCCTATAAATCTTTTACAATATCACCATAGCAACATTGCAAAAGACAATTCTTAGAAATTGTAATTGATGCTTTTTTGACTCTCAAAAACATTGCAACTTACAATTCATTTACTTTGATTATCTTTTACAACATCGCCATAGCTACATTGTGTAAGATAATTGATCATAATCTGTAACAAGAACACAAATGTGTACAAAATGTCCCCACCAAGTGGTGATCCCGTGAAATGGTTATCCTGAAAATGAGTAGACAAGACTTTACCAACACAATTTGAGGACGGAAAATCCAAAGTGGCCACCTTAAAATTTACCCAGAATGCCAAAAATTTAGTCAGTTCTAGATTTTCATACTAAGAACCACCCCTGAAAATTTGAAATTGATCCGTCACACAGTTAACCAGAAAACATGTAAACAAGACTTTACAGACAAGATTTCAGGATGGAAAATCCAAAATGGCTGCCTTGACATTTACCCAGAATGTCAAAAAACTAATCTGTTTGTAGATTTTCATACTAAGAATCATCCCTGAAAATATGAAATTGATCTACCAAACGGTTCACCTGAAAACGGGTAGACAAGACTTTACAGACAAGATTTTAGGACAGAAAATCCAAAATGGCTGCCTTAACATTTACGCAGAATGCAAAAAAAGTAATCAGATGTAGATTTTCATACAAAGAATCATCCCTGAAAATTTGAAATTGATCTATCAAACCGTTCTCCTAAAAACGCGTAGACAAGACTTTACAGGCAAGATTTTAAGACGGAAAATCCAAAATGGCTGCCTTGACATTTACCCAGAATGCAAAAAAACTAATCAGTTCTAGATTTTCATACTAAGAATCATTCCTGAAAATTTGAAATTGATCTACGAAACGGTTCACCTGAAAACGAGTAGACAAGACTTTACAGACAAGATTTTAGGACGGAAAATCCAAAATGGCTGCCTTGACATTTACCCAGAATGCCAAAAAACTAATGAGATCTAGATTTTTATACTAAGAATCATCCCTGAAAATTTGAAATTAATCCACCAAACGGTTCACCTGAAAACGCGCAGACAAGACTTCACAGACAAGATTTTAGGACCGAAAAATCCAAAATGGCCGACAATAAAAAAGTCCTTATGAGTTTTTGCTGATTTCTTTTTACAAAATTATCACATATAACTACTGTTAACAATAAAGTAGGCTTTTACAGCAAAGTACATCTGAAATTATTTATAAAGCTACTAAATAGTTAAAGTATGAAAACTCAAAAACACCATTCAATATGATACAAAGTATTATCGCGCGCGAACTTTTCTTAAGACATTCAAAATGGCTGACATGACTGAGCTAGCAGGTCCAAAACCTAATCAGATCTAGAATGAAGTGAGCTGAACAAGATGTTAAAGTTTTAAAAGCAACTGTGAAGCAGTTTTTCTTAAAGTTTGCAGACAAGGATTTTAGCATTTGACTTCAAAATGGCCGACAGGAAGTAGGTATCGAGTTAATTTTTTTTCATCCACATCTGTATGCACTCATAAGTTATCCCTGAAAATTTGAAGGTGATATCTGTAGCGGTTTTGGAGAAAACTGCCGGACGTACGGACAGACAGACGGACAGACAGACGGACAGACGGACGCGCCTAGGCCGACAATATGGCCCCACACTATGTGGTGGGGACATAAAAAAAGAAAGTCTCGGTTTGGAGAACAAAGTTCATCAGTCTCCTGGGCTAATAATTTTTTATGAAAAATATAGAAATAACACTCAAATTAAAAAATTATGGATATTCAAAAGAGGACATCTAAATCTACAGTATGTAAAAATATCAAAATTGTCCAAAGCAGGTGTTGCGTGTAGTAGACTGATAAACTCCGTTCTCCTAACTGAGACTCGTATCTTCAAGGAACAGGTTTCCAAGTGACAAAGCATGACTGAAAATCCAAAATTCATACCTCACATGGGGCGGGACAAGCTCTGCCTGTGAATTCTGGGAAGTTGTTGGTTTGGGAGAGAACCTCCAGGGCTTGCTTCCAATCATCATTGAAGACCAGGTCATTGAAGCGTGGTATGATATTGCCCAGTGGACACCCATGGTTGGACTGGCAGAATGGAACTCCACACTCCATGCATCTAGCAGCCTATAACACAACACAGAGACATGAAATCACTCATGCATGACACAGAAATATAGATTGTCTCATGTACTTGCAGACATAGATACATTAATCAACTCGTGATTCTGAAACACAGATTTATTCATGCATGGCAAAAAAGAAAAATCATAAACTTTTCTCCATCTTTAGAATGCCAAACTACAAGTATAATAGTAATTGTTAAGATTACCTGTGTTTTCAGATTCTTCTTGACACCTTTGTGGTTGTATATTTCTCCCCAATCGTCCATACGTTTTTTAGCATCTCTGTACTGACCTGTTCCCCTCTCATACTTTATGAACCCCCTGAAATAAGGAATTATATTCATTGTTTTTATTTCACTTTAAAAACAATTACACAACTATTATTGGCGATGTAAAGCATTATACAGTTACCATTGAATCAGTGTGATCACAATTACATGTGAGAATTTGTGTCATTTTAAACCTCTTAATTTGAACAAAAGCTTCTTTTGGGCTTTGAGAATATTTCTTGTAAAAGTTCAGCAGGAATTCACCTCAACAGAATGAAATTCTTCTAAAGTGTGAACAAAGATATCGCCTAATACCGCCTATACAACAAAAACTCACCGCATGAGCTAAAAAGCACGAAATGGCGGCAACTGAAGTTTCTTTATAAATCTTACCTGATTTTATCCAACTTTTCAATCTTCCTGTTCTCTATGACAACATCAGGAATGGTCTCCTCAATATCTACCACAGCAGCATTCTGCAAGTTATAGACAAACAAGGTTACCCTTTGATCATATCAACTAGAGCTCTACCCTCTGAATACAACCAATCATTTCAAAGTATGGAGACCAGCCAATCAGAGAGCACTGTGGGGTCATGCTTATGTTTACATATATCAAGAACCATGGATGACAGGCTTTGATTGGCTAGGTGAATTCAGAGGTTCATCAGTTTTGTAGAGTATCAAGGTCTGTCATATTGGAAAGGGTATAAAACAGTCACGTTAATTGTAGTGTTATTAATGCATTCAAAAATAATGTAAGAACAGCTAACAGGTCATGCTAACAATTTTCTGAAAATCTTACAACAGGTCCATACATAATAAACACCACCTCCCCTATTCTGTATATCTCCCAACTCATGATTGACTGATGAAATAATAAATCACAGGGCATGATGGTCCTGCAATACTTAAGGTGGAGGAGAATAGAGAGTAGGGGTGAGTTGTAAGATTTACTCAGGCTAAAAATCTCTAATACTTTCTAAAGAAAAAATCATCGCTGAAACAGTTATCACAAAAATATTGCATTGACACATACTAAAACCAATAAAATACTAAATTCTGCAGAATTTTGAAATTTACAGAGCAGAAAATTAGCATGAATTGATTTCTACCCAACTGTAATATTGTGTGATTCCCAGGATTTTTCCAAACTGTATGCAGAATCTTAACGATGATGTCTAAAACTAGCCAAAATATTTCAATTTTCCTAATTTTCCTAATTCTCAACCAACTCCAAATTGATCAGTGGAAGGAGATCACTACAAGTATAAGTACAGTTGGGTATTTAAAATCAAACACTGCAAAATGAGGAAAGCAGTCACGTCTATAACAATAAATCATTAGCACGTAACACAAAATGATAGAAATATAGATGGCAGTAGTTATACGAGGGGCGATCCATATATTCTGATAAAAATGCTCTCATTTCGTGATTTTTTCACACATTCCCCTCATGTTTTCAGAAAATGTAGATTATGTAATTACACATTTAATGCTAAAATATTATAGCTATATCCTAAATTAATTAAGAGATATGGTTGCTATGGTAACCTGTATTAAGGGTTGACAGGTCAAATCAATTATAACGTATAAAATGTCATAATAACTTGTTATTTTGATTACTTTAAAGCATGCGGAAATCATATATTATTTCAGAACAAGTTTGGTATTTTTGCTAGTTGTTGTTTGTTGCTAAACAAATGTTAATTTGTGCTCAATATAACATCACAACAACTCACAATAGCAATGTATGACATAATGGGCCAATTGGCATTACATGTCATGAGACACAACAAAAATCAAAAATGAAATATCAGATAAAGTTAGTTTGGCTGATGCAGAGTGTGACATTAACAGATACATTAGGAGTACCATTATATTTTATGTACTATCAAGAATAGGACACCGTCAGAGACAAACATGGATTTGTCGAGTGTATCGGCAAGGTGTTATATCTGCTCCAAGAATCTATAAGTAGTATTGTAAATTTGAGAAAGGCATGGTCACTGTTGACGATCATCCATAATCTGGTTGCAAGAGGAGCTTGCGGACAGAGAATAACACTACAATAATTTGAAATGCAATTTATGAAGAGAGAACTATAAGACTGTGGAAATATGCAAACAAGGGCAACAGGGGTATGGAACAGTTCAAGGAATAGTTGGCAATGACCCGAGGATGCCTTTGATCTGCTTAAAATAGGTACCAAAGAATGATTGACTTAACAAATTTATTTATTTTATATGTTACAGTTTAACTGACCTGCCTACCCTAAATACAGGTTACCATGGCAACCTTATCTCAAAATTAATTTCAGGTATAGCTATAATATTTTAGCATTGCACGTGTAATTACATAATCTACATATTCTGAAAAAATGAAAGGGATATGTGAAAAAATCACAAAATGAGAGCATTTTTATCAGAATATATGGATCGCCCTTGTATAAGAGTTTTGTGTAATACTGGCTGCAACAATTTCATTGCCTAATTAATGTGCTGTACAAAAAAAGAACAGAGGCCTTAGTAATGAGTGGAATTCTAAATAAAGATGAGCTAACAACTGAGAATATAGCTATGCAGACTCTGACGAGGTGCTTATTATGCCCATAGACAAGCGACCAACTACAGAAACTACGACCTACTTTCCAATATTGCAATTCAAATTCACTGCTCAAAAGTGGCCAAATAAGAAGCCTAATTGGTAGTGTGTATTGTAGTAATATTCATTGGATGGCCAAATTGATTAAATCCTTCTCCTTCCAAAGTAACCATTAGAACTAAGATTTTTCTCATGAACTGTTCAGAGCGTGATTGTAGTTAAGTACAGTATATAGGGTATGACAAAACTGTATGAATTTAAAAATGGAAAACCAACAGCTAACAAAGTATCCTGATCAATTGCAACTAAGATCAGTCAAAATGTTATGAATGTAGGGAATATAACCATATATACTCACAAGTGGGCATATGTTCACAAAATTCTACACTCATTGTTTTGAAAGAGTTGGAAGAGTACAGGCAGTCAATGTAAAATGAATAATCTGAAAGTTCCGAATTTGTATATGAACAATGGATATAATGTGATCATAGGAAGAGAACGATGACCTAAGAATTCTGAACTTCATGAAACGTTTCCATTACCCCAGGACTATTTATGCATTTAAACGCAGAACTTTGACATTCTGACATGCACTTACAAACTAACACTCATTCCACTCTAGCCACCTTAAGGAAGCCTGCATCCTTACTTCGGTATTAGTTAGCAAAAGCATGGCAATTGTAATTATATGCCCTACTCTCTTGAACATTATGCTGGTTCAAATACAAGGTCATCCAATAAATATTGCCGTAGTGCTGTAGCATTATAGTGCAATTTTATTGAACAAGTCTCGTCAGCATGCAATAATTGATATTTTCAAAATTGGTTTGCAACAGATAGAGAGGTGAAGTAATGATAGGATGGCAAGATCCTGGACCTATTCTTCAGTTAAGATCTGATCGATCGATCGATTGATCCGTTATGATTTGATCGATCATGAATCCAGTTGGTGCAGATTTCAACTACCAGTAGACATACAGGCTGAATAAAGCAGTGTGAATCTACAGGTAAATACAATGTTTTGATTTTAAAATTATAAAAAACATCATGCCAACCATATGTCTCCTCCAATAAAATAGATAGTGTAAATTCCAATCCAGCATTTGACTGTTCAACACTAAATCAAATCTTTAATAACAAGGCATTAACATGCAAAATGTCACCACCTGCCATTTATTACAGTCACCGAATGCCAGATGCCTACAGCCGTCACAAAAATGGAGACCATAACAATATGTCACCACTTTTGGTGGTGCCATAATAATTAGCTAACATATAAAACAAAATATTAAAATGATGTCAATTAACAGTCAAATGTAAGACTGAAATTAAAAAGGTGTACATAAGGATTATGTAATATCTAATTTAATGTACTGGTTCTTTTACCTTGGATGTCAATCCATCAGTTTGATGCTACAAAATACAGCACAACCTTACGTTAGTAAATAACTTTGTTATGTGTCAAGATCGCATGCCACAAGCACTGTTAAAGTGTAGACTACTGTATGTCATTTACAGTTAACTTATTGGCTGACTATATGGATAGAATTATCAATATTCACTGAAAGATGGTTTCATATTAGGGGGGTCATATTTTGTGCTCATATGAAGTCTACAACATATGCATACCTTTGGTTTCTCCTGTAGTCGTTCATGCTGTTGTAAATCATCACCTCCATGTCCATAATTTTCATTTTCAAGGTCCACATCTCCATTAGCTTCACCATTAATGTGACCATTAATGTCAGCAATCCTCTTTGCCTCGGCCTCAGCTTCTTCTTCTTTGGCTTTTTCCTCTAAGGCTCTACGATACTCCTTGGGGAACACCTTGAAAACCCAAACAATGAAGAGTTTAATTTGCTTGCCTGCCAACTTCACCTATCGTTAGCCAATAATAAGATATAATGCTGGTCATTTTACAAGGTACAATGCACACATATGTATATTTATTATTTAAAGTGGTTATTGTACATGTTATCATACATACTTTAACGAAAGATTTAGCAGACTCTGGCCAATCTTTCAAGACTCTCTCGCCTACTTCAGATCCAGTTTTATCAACAAACTCTTGAATGGTTGTCTTGACAAAGTCCATATCATCTGCAAGGTCTAGAGCCTCTAAGTCAACCATAGCCATGTTGCAGCGAGTCTCAAACAGCTTGCAGCTAAAATAAATGGAAATATTACATGTATAACTAACTAACTTAGACTAACTGAGGTGAGATCAAAAATGTTAAATATCATGATGCAAAATTGATTTTGAAAATATCTTAATCTTAAATTTCAAAAAATTAAATGCAAATATCCAATTCATAAATTTCAATTACTTTCTCCAATGAAGAAATCTGTTTATATACTTATATAACATATGGAGCATTATCTGGTACCTGTTCAAGACATAAGCTATTCCGCCTGACATTCCTGCAGCAAAGTTACGTCCTGTTTCTCCAAGTACGATGACACGCCCACCTGTCATGTACTCGCAACCATGGTCACCAACTCCCTGGAAATTTGAATAACTACTCATGAATAAAATGAAACAATGCAAGCAAAATCTTGTTTGTTACCTCTATGTGTAACGAACTGCTCCATAAATTGGACAATTATTTTTGAAAATATTTTTCCATACACGAGAATACTTAATATACAGGGTGTTCATAAGGTTATGACGATAGGTCTCCCTTTCTGTCAAACTGAAGTAAACACGTTGCAATGCTCAGTATACAAAATCAAGGGAAATCAGTCCAAATGTGTTAAAATGTGAGACTCTGTTGGTGAACACCCTGTACAATTCCTTTAATGGATCATACACATACCTCACATACTGCAATGGCTCCAGAGTTACGCACACAGAATCTCTCAGCTGTGACACCCCTGAATAAGGCCTTGCCCTGGGTAGCCCCATACAGACAGACATTACCGACGAGGATGTTGTCCTCTGACTTGAAATCCTGGGGAAGATCTTTGGGAGGATAGATCGTCACCTCACCTCCTGAGAGACCCTACAATTATTACAAAATGGAACATGAGTCTCGCTTTAAACTATTGTGACCCCAACCCCCTCACACATCATCTCTTCAAAGATGTGAATTAGATAAGAGGGTCTAGAAACTTAATGCAAGACTAATAAAAAAAAAAAGTGATAAAAGTTAATGTAATTGAGATATATGCCATTTTTATTATTATGTATCATGCAAAATGTCTCCACCTGCCATTTGCCACCCCTGCATGGATACTTACTTTGGCAACATAGTCATTTGAATCTCCTTCTAGCTCTACATGTATTCCTTTGGCTAGGAAAGCACAGAAACTTTGCCCAGCAGACCCCCTCAGTCTAATGTTAATGCTGTTTGGTGGTAGACCTTTCTCTCCATGTAACCTACAAGCAAATAACACAAGGATTATACAATAAGCATGCAATATTATGTAATTATAGCATAATCATAAAATTAAAAATGCATCATGTTTTGAGAAAGGTAAAAACCTAGTTGTTTTTCTGGGCATTAACATTTACTTTTTGCATTTGTTTAAACATATTAAAGTGGGATTTCAATGTGAAATTAAATGCTCATTATTTTCTTAAATAATAAATCATGTGTGCTGGATTTCAATGAGGTATTGCCTGAGAGGTATTGTAAGTGGTCACATTTTGATAAATAACGCAGTTGCTTCAATGAATGTGTTGTTAAATAGACTTGTTACCTCATTGGATTTTCCTTGGAGTGCTACCTACTAAAATCAACTCTTCTCTATTGCGATTCTCTCCCTAAGATTGAACTTTAAGAAGCAATGTTTATCCGAGGAAACAATTTTGCTTGTATCTATTGGTATCTTGATCCTAAATGGAATACATTAGTCCTATATTATATAGAATTAAGCAGGATGGCTCCTAAACTACATGTTGTATATACACATGAACGTAAACTTACTTTGAGACATGGTAACTTAAAGTTGCCCCAAAAGTTCTGTCCTCATTGGTGATCTTCCTCACTATGTCTATGGAGGGTGACGTCCCATTTAAGACCCCTTGGCACTTTTCAATCAGATCAAGATCCTACAATATTAATTATACAGTAATAAACTCACATCATTTTGCTGTATGATTGATATAAGCCCTCATAAAGGGAGTACATTCTGTAGTGAGAGTAAGATTAGAGACGACAGGAAGGTATAAGTACATGTACATCTGCAAGTGTAGTTGAAAAACTAAAAGTTCATAATAATAGAGAAAGTAAAGGTCAATTTCTATTTAATTTCAATTTGAAATTATGAAATGAACATTCTTCACTTTTATTATATTAACAAAGAAAGAAGGTGGGGAGGGTTGGTAAATTACTGAAGCTATCCAATTGAGACTTTTTCACTTACAATTCTTTTCTTGAATTCAAAGTCTTGTTTTACACTTCCACCAACTGTATTAATGCCTGGCCTTAAAGTCAGCGCATTCTTCAATATAGGATCAAAGTCTAACAGTTTTCCTTTGAAGTTCAGATGCTCCTTAGCAACCCTTAGTTTGTTTGTTTTTCCAATCATTTCTTGGAATGTCCTAAAGCCCATTTTAGCCATATATCCACGGACCTATAAAATAGAGATATGCAGCGTTTTAAAAGGCAATTTTCAGAATCTAATATTCACTTCTTTTAAAAAAAAATGAGTAGATTCAACACTGGGACTTTAATACATCCATTTAAAATATTACTCAGTTAAGGCTTCTGCGTAAGTAATAAAAATATCTTGCACTCTATTATTCCTAACAATTTTGAATAAAACTTCATTCTTGTTTACTTGAACACACAGCTTCTTCTCTGTTATGCACAAATTTGACCATCGCTAGAAAATAGGAAGGAATCTTACTTCTTCTGCCAGCATAAACAGATAGTTGATAACATGCTCTGGGGAACCATCAAATTTCTTCCTTAAGACTGGGTCCTGAAGTTAAATAAAAATCATCTATATTTATATGTTGTATTGTATTGTATTCTGCATTTGTGATGCTGAAAAAACAAATCGATAAATAATACAACTCAGTGCACCCTATCACCCAGGTAACCACCCTAATAACCATCCTTCTTTCCCATCCCTGGGTGCCAAGAATTAACCCCCACCCAAGAATGAAGTGTTAAGACAAAGGAATTCTGATTGATTATACTTTTTCTTCTTTAATTAACATAGTGACATCATAGTTCAACTCTCTCAGTCACAAAAGCAAGCGTGTATTGGTCAGTACCTGTGTTGCTATGCCAACAGGGCATGTGTTCAGATGACACTTCCTCATCATTGTACATCCCATGACAATCAAAGGAGCAGTGGAGAATCCAAACTCATCTGCCCCCAGAAGTGCAGCTACCACAACATCATGGCCTGCAAACAAATTAAGCTCTAAAGTGTATTTCACTGGGGAAGTTAATTGGGTAGGATATGAAATAGTTCTGAAGATACCATCTTAGCTGTCGGAATATCAATAATATAAGTCTTTCAGGTAATGTAGGGACAATTAATTAGTTTATGAATCTTTAGTATATTCTAGTATAACATTAGAAATATTATATTTCAATCTATTTCAAATGTTGAATAGACTATACAATAGCCTCTTCATACTTAGTACCACATTTGAGCATAAGATAGAAAAGATATTTGTCCAATTTAATATGATTCTTGTCCTATGTACAAAAAAAAAGTATTGATTGTATTATTATACTCAATTCCTTACCAGTACGTATCTGGCCATCAGCCTGTAGGACGACCCTAGAACGCAGGTCATTCAGTACCAGTGTCTGATGCGTCTCTGCAATTCCTAACTCCCATGGTAATCCAGCGTGTTTGATTCCTGTCCAGCTGCTCGCACCAGTACCACCATCATGTCCTGAGATGGTGATATGCTCTGCTTTGCCCTGAAATTTGCAAAATCATTTCTCTTTTATATTTTAATGGTTCAGCAGTTAAGTAAATAAATGGATTATAAGAGACAATGCCAGTGCATTAGTTTACCTGTGTAAAAAGTGTCAATGAAAAATATTTAAATTTTTATTAGTAAGTATCCATAATTAAAGTCTATAAAAATATGTATACTATACTGTTAAACCACTTAAAGATTTTAGTAAGTACTTTCAGAATACTGACCTTTGCAACGCCTGATGCCACAGTACCCACTCCAATCTCAGACACCAACTTGACACTGATGCGAGCTTTAGGGTTGGCAGATTTCAGATCATAGATCAGCTCAGCCAGATCCTCGATGGAGTAGATGTCATGATGGGGAGGGGGACTGATCAATCCTACCCCAGGAACAGAATGACGGGTCTTTGCAATCTCCTTGGAAACCTAAATATAAAACATTTTCAGTCTCTATACATGCGGAGTATTATCAATATAACTATTATGCCTTTAAATTACACGGATGTATGAATTGCTTGTGGCCATAAATTAGAAATAAGATGTTTTAAATTCAAAAACCAATCAAATTGCTGCATTTGTAATTATACAGTAACCAAGAATCTTTTTCTCATTCCTAAATATCAAAGGGTGTGTACCAAATTAAGCGTGACAGTCGAATGCAAGGGATAAGGTACAACAAGGAGATAATGCATTTTGTGCATCGTTTCAGAAAGATTTGGTCTAGTTTCTAGATATTTTTTTCCAAATGTAGTACAGTATAATGCAAATTCACATTCTTTGTGTTGTACCTTACCATTACCGCACGTTATATCATATACTACATTGAGAGTTTGTGTAGGTTTAATTATGAAATTCACAGTCAAGTTTACTCTCTAGGATGTTGTTGCAGACATTTACACAAAAAAATATCTAGAGACCAGATAGACCAGATCTTTCTGAAAAGATCTTTCTGCTCAAATATCATCACCCTTGTGTTGTACCTTACCCCGCGCATTAATTTTGGTACACATCCTGTGATTATGATACTTAGTTGGTAGTGTTAGTTAGTGTGTTCTCAGGAATCAAAATTCAGCCATGTGTGAAATATGATCGACTTGTCCAATTTTTGAATCTCACTTGCCTTGTATCCTGGGAGTTCACCTCCTTCTCCTGGCTTAGCTCCTTGCGCCATCTTTATTTGTATCTCATCTGAATTTGCCAAATAAGTACTTGTCACTCCAAACCTACCAGAAGCAACCTGTTAAAATACATGTATAAAAACACAAATAAATTCCCTGATATCAAAAACAAGCAGTTCTGAAATATTGAGAATTACATAAAACTTTTTTTCAAATTAACAAATCCCATGAAAAACAGAATACACAGAGAATGATTTTTAATGACATGTGATGTGATAGAGAAGAATGTTACATAGTGTATACAATACGCTATTAAATCACAGAATAGAATATGTGTTATCAATAAAATAATAATTAATGAGTATTTGTATTTTATACTATATATAGCCTAATATGTTCTTAGAAGCTTTGTTAAAATCTGAAGTAAAATAATAGACGCTATATTAGTGATTTTATTACTGTTTTTAAAAATTCCACAAGATGGCAGCACCGAGTGCTATGTTATAGTTTCTATGGCACGTGGTGGAAACCTCTGGATTGCCATAGCGACGGCAAGTGACCCTTGGCCTGCAGGCAAAGAAATAATGCAAACAAGCAAGACTGACTCAGGTGTCAGCAAAACAATCAATCAATCAATCAATCATTTGAGATAAACAAACAATAGCTTTATCTAAATTTGTCTTCCTAATAAATGAACAGTCATATTGAAAAGTTGCATGAATCATAATCCTTAATAAGGAATAAAGACAGAGAATTTATGATTTATGGCGTAATATATGACCAAAAATTTTATTCTGTTCATTGTTAATAGACCGAAATCACGTAGCGCTTGAGGTCTTTGGCAATGGCCAGAACAAAATTTGAGGTCATATATTTTACATAAATCATAAAATCGAGGTCTTTGTTACGATTCTAATATGATAAACAGACAAGAAACACAACTATTTGCATTTATGAATTTTATCGGTCATACATACTCCAATATAGACCAGTAAATCAGTTGTGCTAGCTATTGTGATGTCACGTATCATATTAGAATGTTCAATACATCTCGTAACATTCAATATGACATCATTTATTAGCAACTGGTCTTAAAGATATCAAAAAATTCCAGTTTTCATAATTCTCAAATTTCATACTATTTTTAATATAACGAACGCCATGCGAGAACACTAACTCTTACGCATAATTTATTACATTGTACTTATAGAGATTAATCCACACTATTATCCAAAATATTAGAACGGATGCCCCACCTGTTTGATTGCTGACCGTTCACTATATTCTCCTTCTGTGTTCAGGTATCTATTGGGATCCTCTCCACCCTCTCCAGTATTGGACTTTCCCCCAGCTTTGTTCATAGCTTTAGCCAGGGTTGTGTGTGCCTCAAGGGATATACTACCAAAGCTCATGGCACCTTGAAATAAATATGGGTTATCTTATGGGAGGTTTTAGATATGGGGTATATTCCGAGGTGAATGTAGATATTTTTTCAAAGGCCAGGAAGAAATAGTTACACTTCTTAACATATGAATTGTTTTTACACATTTGGCATATAGAATTGGTTAGTTTACAACTCTCAGTTAATTGGTCAATTATTTCAACTTCAGCACCTCTTAAGATTGATCCTTGTCTTGCACACAGCCCAAAAACTGAACAAATAGCAGGATAATATAACAGAGAACTACGAGTAAGGTAACCCATATTGTGAATATTTGCTTGGGGCAGTACAATTCAGCTGAAATTCCCCTTGCTTGGTAGTTTGCATCCAACCACATCGACCAACCATTGACAATAATACTGATATGCTCCCTGGAGCATGTTTTATTTCATTATCACATTATCCCCTAAGTACCTACCTGTACAGAATCTCTTCACAATATTTGAGGCTGGCTCTACCTCTGCTATATCCAAGGGGGTCTCTGAACCGACAAAGTCGAACTGTCCTCTAAGAGTACATTGACGGGAACTCTTCAGAGCGGACTCTGTAAACTTCTCATAAGCATTCTTGTTCTTGTTTCTAGCTGCATCCTGAAATAACACAATCAAAATAAATGTTTGTCTTGGCATATGTAAGAGTCACACGAATGAAACAAATATTAATTATCTATTCATCAAACCTTGAACTAATTATTGGCCAAGGCACAAAACCACTAGACAAGTCCTGATGTTCTTTCATTTTGATACAATTATTAAAGACCTTTTACATGTACTTTATTCCTTGTTATTGATTTCATGCAGTCTTTACCTCTCTTTGAAAACACAACTTTTTTTTAATTGTTATCAATATGTATTTTTACAAACGGTTAATTAAATACATCTCCATTCGCCAAAAGCATTATAGGTGAATATACTGTACGACCACCGATTTTTGTCAGCCTGATATACAAGAATCCAAGCATGATATTAACATATCTGTACCTGTAGATTTGCCACTGAGAGGGGGTCATTCATATGTTCCTCTCCACCAGCTCTCCAATGGAAGAAGCCTGGGTTGTTGGCGTTGAAATCTCCCTGGCGCTTTGTGTAGGCAAAGAAATGACGTGCCAAAGCCTGAAAATATTCATTCATTTTTCTTAATCTATCCAATCGTTTTTTTTAATTTATCATCAATTTTTGCTGCATTGTTTCACTGTACACATATTGTCTTGTTTATTAACTGTTCTTTCAACCTGGGCATATTTATAGTCTGACCTTAGCAATTATAATCCATTATATAATATAATCATTGTCATGTTCAATTACCAGTTCCTTATATTATATTAAGTATTTTAGGTTTTTGTACGAATCAGATTTTTAAGTGTTTGATTTGATTATGGGTAGTATTAAGTCAACCAAAAATCACATAATCTTAAGGACTTTATTTCTAAAATCACTTACCTCTTGAGCTAGAATCTCAAACGTGGCGCCACCTAGTCTAGATGCTGTGCCAGCAAAGCATTTATCAATGACATCTTGACTTAGTCCTACTGCCTCAAATATCTGAGCTCCCTGCAATTCAAAAAGATTTTTTAATATAAACAAATGTATTCAAGTAGTATGAGGTGAGGACAATCTGTTTTGTTTTATAAAAGTTATTGAAAGGTAGGTGAAAAACATTGCAACACATTGCTGCCAAGACCATCATATAATAGAATACTACACTGTTAAAGAGCTAATTTCAAAATAAAACCAGTCCCCTAATTCATGGAATGTCATTTCTAATGTTTTTGATAAACATTTTTATACTTTATGATTCAAATGTAGTAAAACAGCAATGTTTTACCTTGTAACTATGCAAGGTTGATATTCCCATCTTAGCCATGACTTTAGAGATGCCTCTTTCAACAGCCGCAACGTAGTTCTCAAATATGACATCATCAGTGAGTGTTGGCTCTAATACACCCTGTTGACGTAACTTTGCCATGGTTTCAAAAACCATATATGGACATATGGCATCACAACCATATCCAACCAAAACACAGAATTGATGGACTTCCCTGAAAATGAAAAGGAAAAATTGCTGTTGTGCTCAATGTAAATGGTTTACCATAATAATATACTTAAATTTGAATTGCATGTATATTGTCATCTATTTGCTATGTTGCATTATGGGATATATTCATGTTATAATACATGATCTACACTATGAGAAAATACAGTTTAACCATATTTTAATTCTTTTAGTCACATGCTCTGTATACATTTTACCATCTGCTTCCTAGACTGTTGCATTATGGTATGGATGTACCTACCTTGCTTCTCCAGTCTCCACTATGAGGCCAACCTTCATCCTGAGCTTCTCTCTGATCAGGTAATGATGCACAGCACCCAGTGCTAACAAAGAACTGAAACATTCAAAACAGGCTTTTATCATTATTTCTTGTCTCATGGTGTAAGATAAGACCAAAATACAAGTTCCCAATCTACAGAATATATAGTATATGATGCTTATGATTCAAGCAAACCTATTGAGCTAAGCTCTGAAAATGGGGTGAAAATGAAGTCTAAAAATAATTATATTTACTTCTATGTGATCAGTTAAGTAGCATACATTGTACATTTACATTGCAAATCTCAAAGGGATGGTGTCTTTGCTACTTACCTTATCGGTACAAAATCAGGTCCAGCTTTTCTATCGGAAAGTGTAATAAGCGTGTACCCCTGCTGTGCTGCATTAGCCGCCTCATGGCAGATCCTATCAAGCGCTGGGAGCAAACCATTTTGGTCATCCTCAATGCGATATACAGTATCAATGACAAAAGTCTTCCAGCCTTTATATGTGGTGGATTTGATTACGTCAAGATCTTTGAGTGAAAGGATGGGCTGATGGAGCCACAGCCGACGGCATTGCTCAAGAGTTGGCTCGAGAATGTTGGTTTCTGGGCCAACGGGGCATGCCTGAAACATCAACAACATGTGATATAATACATGTTCTACACTATGAGAAAATACAGTTTAACCATATTTTAATTCTTTCAGTCACATGCTCTGTATACATTTTACCATGAACTCATTGGCTTGTACATTACTCTTAGAGGCTCAATCGTTGAACAGTTACGTAAAGACTGAGGTCAAGCCACTTACTCTTGTTCAGGGTTTAAGAGTGTTGAATTATGGGATACATACATATTGTCGTCTGCTTTCTCGACTGTTGCATTATGGTATATTTGTACACATGACTAAAATATCAAGCAAAACTTACCAATGACATGACTATTTTCTCCCTGAATGGATCAATGGGTGGGTTGGTGACCTGGGCAAACAGCTGCTTGAAGTAGTCATACACAAGAGGATTGTACCCAGACAGACAAGCAAGAGGGGCGTCATTACCCATAGATCCCAGTGCTTCCTTCCTAGAAAACAAAAAAAATGCAAGTGGTACACAAGAATATTCTATCCTTTTGTGGTTTGGCAGAAATTATATTCAAGGCAGTTAACTAGCATATAAATGTACTTGATCAATGTCTTACACTCAACAGTAAAACCTCACACAGCGAAGATACCTCAAAAGTGTTTAAAATACACAAGTTAATGCTAACACACAAGCTGAACTTACTGTGTTTTAACCATGGGAAGGACCAGCAAGTTAATGGTCTCAACTGTGTAGCCGTAGAGTTGCAATCTCCTGTCTTCCTCAACGACATATTTCTCTACAATGGCACTCTCTATACGTTCATTGCTGATGAATGGGTTGTGCGCCTTGTATAGCTGGTCTAGTTTAATTGTCTGGAAATTAAGGTTTTAAGAATCAATACATTGTGACAACTCAACTCCTTAAGGTGGTGACGTAGACAGGGAGATAGGGGAAATCCAGAAACAACAGATTTGTTGCAAGAGCAATCAGAATGTACATTGATGTTGCCAGGCTTCCAAAATTTTACAGAAAAATATTGATTCAGATGTTTTCTTCCATATAAACTTTGATAATGAAGTAAAATTATAATTCCACTTTTAACTGAAACTTGTCTCGCCAAATACAATTGCCTCGGAATATTCTACATCCTGGCTACACCCCTGTACCCTCATAAGATTTGACAATACAGAAAAAGTTAATTTTACATGAAACTTAACAAAATATTTGGTTGCATAATTATGGATTCTCTTTAACCATGAGAAGTATAGGTTCATAATTATGTTGTTTCCAAGGAATGTATATATGCTTTCTACGACAAGGTATCCAAAGTGAGGGTCAGAATGGAAATTAAAGTTCAGGGGCCAGCCCACTGATAACTTTGGTGACATCTTATGCTATATCTAAAAATATTAACCTCATTTAACCAATCAGCATAAGGTCTTTGAGTCGCAAGTTCATGTTTGATGTCATTGTCTTTTGTGAATGATTGTTTCACTGTGTCAACTAGCAGCATACGACCAGGTCTTAATCGTCCCTAAAACATGTATATTAAATATGAAATATGTTGATAACATCAACAATTAATCCTTCAAGGGGTACATTTTTAGTTATAAACTATAAAACTATCAGTACTTTCACTCATAAAGGCAGGGTATGAAAACAAGCAAAGGCATCAAGTGGTTATCATGAAGAGCAAGCAGATTATCACCCGATCAATCTCATTATTGATTTAACATGAAACAGACATTACAGCAATTATGGAATGCCAGTCAGTGGCCATGAAAATATAAACACTATTAACACTTTGAACTTTTTAAAAAGCAAACTTTTAAACAAGACACCTAACTTTCCAATTCAGTAACTTTTTGGCCATTCAATTCCCTGATTATTGAAGTTTACAAGTTATTATGTTCTTACTAATTATAGTAATTAATTATAGTTTACCTTTTGGTTAACCTTTCCATGCTCCAAGTCTGTGACTCCAACCTCACTAGCACAATACATGATGTTGTCATCCGTTACGTAATACCTAGAAGGACGTAAACCATTCCGATCCAAGATGGCGCCAATGTATCGTCCATCAGAGAATGTCAACAAGGCAGGTCCATCCCAGGGTTCCATAGCGAAGGCATTCGCTCTGTAAAATGCTTTTTTCTCTGGTGTCATATATTTGTCATTCTGCCAGGCTTCTGGTACCATAGTCATTATTGCCTGAAAAGTGTAAAATGTAAAGAATCAAATTAACTGCAAGTACAGTTCAAGGTTTTTCCAATTTTCTTTAATTCTCATTTTGTATTCAAAGGATTAATCAAGCCATTGAGTACATCACACAAATGATCTTTTGGTGTCTACTGATGAGTATTCTCATCCAAAACACATATTGATAGACAATCAAATGTGCAAATCAAGTGAAATGGCCCCTATGCATTAAAAAGATGTCTCTTCAATCAATTTTCCAATACTGTTGATGAAAGCAACCTAATTAGAACAATATTAGATCTCTCACATTGATAATATTACAATCAGTCTGACACAGAAGATTATAAGGTTTCACAACAACAAATCTTGAAGGATTATATCATTATTTCCACTTCTGAATAATTGGAATTTGCTATTTCAAACATCAATGATAGTACGCTCTTGCATAAGTTGTATCCATATGCCATACAAAGAAATTCCACTTTGGACCACTTCGGTTTTTTCCTATCTCTGTTGTTAACAACCCCACCTCTGATTACACTTTCATGAAGATAACTCAACAGATGCACCCATCTCTGTTCTAATTTTACATTTCTAATATTTATAAAATACACAAATTGATAAATATCACATGTTTTAATCAAAAATTCAAAATGGCCACCAAGTTATTTACCAAAGCATGCCCAAAACCTATTCATATCTTGGAACTTGGCATCTGTAAAAATGTGAATTTAAACAGTACAGATACGCTGACAAGATATTTGATTTATGTGGCGCCCATCATCCATGCAAACACCCGGCAACACAAGACTATGACAATATAGCACCTTTTATATAAATTTGAATTTGATATGTTACCTCAGGAAGGGTCCTCCCTCCTGCCATACAGAGGAACTCTAGTACATTATCCACACAGCCAGAGTCAGGCATCTCAGGCTCTACTACTGGGTACATCTTCTTGAGCTGGTCCCCATACACTTCACTCTTCATGACACCCTCCCTTGCACTCATCAAATTCACATTTCCTCTAAGTGTGTTGATCTCTCCATTATGGGCCAGAAGCCTGAAGTATGTTTAAGTATGTTTATAAAAATACAGCGTAGCATAGTGTAGTGTAGTGTAGTGTAGTGTAGTGCAATACAATGTAGTAGGATTTGTTTTAAATACAATTATTTTGATTGGTTTTATTGGTGTATAATTGATAGGGTTGGCGCAAGTCTTATGAAATTAAGGGAACATCTGACGTAAAAAGTCTCCTTTATTCAAACAGATTCTCACCTATGAGGATGTGATCTCTCCCAACTGGGAAATGTATTGGTGGAGAACCGACTGTGTACAAGGGCAATATGTGTCAAAAATGTTGGATCCCCAAGGTCGGCATAGTACCCCCATAGCTGATCTGTCGTCAACTGACCCTAGTATTAAAAAGTTAGAATAAAATATCAAAAACCTGTTTCAGACAATTAGCTTTTTACAATACAACAATATGTTCTTAATCTAAACCTACTTATCTTTAATCTTGTCTAAAATTCCCAAAATTGCAATGTATGGTATGGTTAATTGAAAAACAAATTTGTATGATATGGAATGGTATGTAGCTTTTTCTCCTACCTTATAGACAATTGTCTCTGTGTTCAGACTGCAGATGTAGAATCTCAGGTCATGTTTAGGTACAATGTGGGTAGCTTGTTTCCTCAACAAGTACACCTGAAACACATATATTATATAAGTTAAAATATAGTAAAAATGCATGACTGTATACAAATTTTAATTGAGAATTAAATACATGTACTTCATCTATTATAGTATGTTTGGTGTCTATGATTCTCTGAGTTTCTATCATTTGGTGAAGAAGCAGATCTGTTGTGATGATAGAAAAAATCTTATATAATTTTCATAACCAACCCTCTCTCACAGTTCCTATGTGTCTAATCTCCCATATCACGAAAAAATATTAGATGTAAGGTACAAGATGAAAGACCTGAGACTGACCCTGTACCCCCCCCTGCCCTCCTCTCAAAATAAAAACACAGCTGGTTAATAATTAGTGTTGGAATGATATACAAGACAAGACGGGCCTATAGAATCACTTGTCTGCATTTTAATGGTGTTGGAACATTAATTGGGATTCAGGGAAGAAAACTGGCAAGACTAACTGAATATTGAATCTCGCCTAAAGCCCCTGGGTCTCTACATCAAGGAGGTTAAGCTCCATACAGTACTTAATAATCATTTACCCTATTAAGTATAAAGGTACATCTAGAAGAAAGGGTTGTTATATTTGTTCCCTGGAAAAACCAATTGCAAGGGGAAGTAATCCCTTAGGGTCATAATATTATACAGTTCTCTTAAAATGTGGCTTAACCTCCCTATTATCAAATCTACCAGTACATCAAGCCCCTGTTTTCCCTTTTACTATTGTCTGCCTAATTGAGTTCCAAAAAATGGGGTAGAGAGGTATGATATAAGACTACAAATGCATACAGTCAGACATCATGTCTTCATGTAGCCGTCCTGATAATAAAATGCCTGAGTAGGTTAATGTGTACTGCACTAAGGTTGTATCTATAGATACATGGGAAACAAGAGTAATACTGCCAGCTCTGTAAGGTTGAATCTATGGTAATGATGGGAAACAAGAGTACATAGAATACTGCCAGCTCTGTTACATTATTACTTACCTAAGCTGGGTTATATAAAAGTAAAGTAAACTCTGCTGCTTTCATAATTTAATTGTAACATGTTTGAAAAGCAATGGACATACTTTGCGTGTACAAAATGGATTAAGGGTTATGTTGTTAGGTATGCCATTATGCAATCTGAAACCTTGACACATGTGTACCTGTTTTATTGAATTTACCAGGGTCCCATTTCACAAAAGTGCCTTTTATAATGTCAATCTAAGTAACTGTTCTTATGATTTCTTTGGTCTTACAATGGAAAAAACAATTGAATTTAAAAAGTGCACATTACAATATTTTGAGTCCTTTTGATAAGAAGACTCTTGGCTTTAAATGACTAACATACATCTGCACACTGCACTGGAAACCTGGTATGAAATTTCAGCCATGATTATTATTAGGCATAATAGTTTTCCCTTCAACAATCTTTTCCTTAAATAACCAAAATAAGGGGGGTCATTTTTCAAGAAATTCCAGGCTTTGGCCCAAAATCGTTCGCTCAGAATGGTGATAAACTGCATAATTTTGAAATAATTTTTGCCCCCCCCCCAAAAAAAAAATCCTCTATGGGCTTGATGGGAGGAAGGAATGCATAAGTGATTTATGAATTGGTTGAATTAGGTGAAACCATATGTGATGCCAGGGTTATAAACACATTTACAAGTAGCCAAACTGAATATATCCCATTCTCTCTCGAAGATGGTGAGCCTTTCTTTTTTCAACAATGGGACACTATTCAGACTTATTTCTACATTTACATCACACGCAACTGAGTCGTGATAGGTTATGATTTCACTCAAATTCAGTTTCATTTTTCATTTTCTAAAAGGCAAAGTTGCTTTTGATTTGTTAGAGATGATAGAGATGAAGAAGGGGAAAGGCTGATAAAATAGTAATAAAAGAGACAATTTTAATATTTGACTTTTCAGAATATGTTGACCTCAAATTGATTTTTCTGGACAATATTCTTAATACTAGCTACAATACAGGGAACAATCCATCAATTGTCTCATAATAACTCTGTCAACTAAATGTCAACTAAATAAGAGTCAGTCTAACTTTACAGTTGACATGTACATGTATATAATATGTAAATAAGTGTCAATCATCATGATCAACTTGTCTGGAACCCTGTCTGATTTAAACATGTGTTCACGTCAATCACATTATTTTTGTCTCAATCTAAATACCTAAATTTAATTTTTCCACAATCTAGAATATGATCTTCTTCAAATATGATCAATTTATAATATATTGTGCTAATTTCACTATTTTACCACAATTTTTATTGTTTTGCACGATTTTTATTATTTTGCATCTTGCCATGAATGAGACTTTATCTAAGGGTGCCCTCAGGATAGTATGGTATTAATGACATGTTAGACAACTAACCTGTCATTATGCTGATATATGATTACATATAACAGCTTTAAATGACAGGCCTATGTGTGAAAATACATGTATGCAGTATAATACATAATGTACTTACATCTGATATTATATAATATTAATTATAATTATTGTTATTAAAATTTCATAAATTATAACAATTACAATTATATATTAGAAGTTGTCAGATGAGTGGAAAAGATAAGCGATTTTGTGTTTCTCCAATGGTGGTTCAGTACATGGACTTTCTTGTAAATATCTACAGATCAATACGCAGTGGTGGATATTACAAATCTGTGTAGGTTGAAACAATTAGGAAAAGCTTTTTAGATTGTCTCAAACACTCGAGACATTCTATTGATAAAATGATACGACAGAAGTGAATTATAGGATTAAGAAGTATTATGGAAAGATTTGTCAATGAGCAAAAATATTTCTTCTCAACGGCACAGAATGACGTTATTCCTGTTAATGATCTAAATCAACCAATTAAAGTCAACAAAAATCGACTTTAGCACCAGTGTACTTAGACTGAATAAATGACACCATTTATTTAAAGTCAGAAAGGCATTTAAGTTCATTTATTTATGAAAGGAGTGTGATATAGAATATCATGAACATAAAAAGAGTACAAAATAGTATTTTAATGACACTGCCATTGAGACTGATATAAAGAGACTATTTATTACGAACATGTTTCTTCCTCATGCCAAAAGCATGCCTGTAAATCCTCTACCTTGAAACAGTAGACCTTGAATTATATATAAATCTAAATATATAGGTAAGTTATGTGTCTGCGAATAAAGAGCTAGCACTATATATATATATCATACTTTTTTTGTTTGTTTATTGCAGTAATTCAGAAATGAACCTCTGATAACCTTATCGAACTGTGGTGAAAATAAAAGTATAAATCCACAAGAACCTTAATTAATCATAAAATACCAATTAGTTAGACCTTAATGAACTTTAGAATTTAAAAATAACATGGTAGTTTGATTGTAATTATTATGACTGGAAGGGTGAAGTGCATGCACCCAAGCCTCATGGGATATAATACCAAGAATCAGTTTTACGTCATCCCCAAAGATCTTTTATAAATTATGGATGAGGATCGCGTTCTAACTCAATATATCTGCCAATAAGCTAAGTATAATGGGATTTATTGAGATCTGGCGGAGGAGAATTCATTAATTAGAGGGGAAAGGCATGTCTTCAAATATTGAGTGGTTCTGCCAGTTCAACACACTGGCCTGATGTAACTTTTTTGGCAAGTGGAAAATTACAGAAATTATGGCAAATTTCTAAATGCGACGTATCATTTGTAGATATAGCTTTACTATGTTTATGTAGTTTATCAGTGATTAATTTCATCTTTATATCAAAATGTAATTAATAAAATATATTTAGATTGAGGAGGCATATCAAGAAACTATGTTTGGTAATTTAGAGCTCCAAATACCATAAAAAAATGTTGCACTTTTTCTAAGGTATTAGAATTCATAATATTCAACTCAATGTTGGACCTTTCAAAATGAGGCTTGATGATGATTTACACTTCCCCCAAATATAAGGTATAAGGGCACTTTAAAATAAGGTATAAAACTAAAGAGATCTTCCATCCCCCACCATAAAGTATGAAAAAGACATACCTGTTTTCTCAATTCTTGTCCTTCATAGGGTCCTGTCACAAACACCTGTAAAATACAAAAAAATAATTTGAGCAAATTATAAGGCCCATTCAAAAAGTTATTTTTCAACAGGATGAAAGATCATTGTTGAGAGAGATGTTGCTACAGTTATCAACTAGAAAATGGCAACTCCACGGAGTAGCAAATCCCAACGAACACTATATAAATCATCAATCTGTACAGTCACAATGTAATATTTACCATCTACTCTTACCTTCAATAAATATTTTAAATCATTGAAGTATCATGTAACCATACTTTCAAGATAACTCTAAGTAATGACGAATTTCTGCTCTAGTCAGCCATTTTGAATTTTCAGAGGCGCAAATCAGAAAAACAATGCCATAATTGTGATCTACTCTGAAATACCTTCAATTTGAGTATAATATAGCCATACTTTTAAGAGATCAGAAAACAATTGCGAAATCCCGCATTAGGCGACCATTTTTGAATTTTTTGAGGCCCGAATCAGAAAAACATTACAATTTTTGCAATCTACTCTAAATTTCCTTTCATTTGAGTATAATAAAGCTATACTTCAAAAACATCTCAAAATTAACGCAAATTCCTGTTTTCCCGATCCCCCATTTACGGCCCCTGGGGGTCAGGGTGAAAAACCCGGGATATATGTGAAATAGATAGATGTTGTTAATATACTACCAAAATTTCAAATAAAAATATTTATTATTTTGGTTTAAAATGAAAAACATAAGATTTTTGCGAAAAATTCCCGCCATTTTTAAACTGGCAACCATCTTGAAAAATATTTTTTTGCGTAAAACTGTTCACCAATATACATCTTTCCACCAAACATGAAGAAAATCTGTTGACTAGTATTCGAGTTATCTTCCGGACAGACAGACGGACTGACTGACGGACTGACAGACTGACGAACTGACAGACTGACAGACTGACGGACGGATGGAGGGCTTCACTATATCCCTACAGAACTTCGTTCGTTGGGATAACTAAATCAACGCTGGCAGTTGATCATCCCTCAAGACTCATATAAGTGATAATATTGGAATGGGTTACCATGGTAACAGACAATAAAAATAATATTCTATTGTACAATGCCATTGTAACTTATCTCTAATGATACAATAAACAGTAAAGCATTTATGAACGACACAATTTAGAATATTGGAATTATTTTAAGACCTGTTAGTTCCATCAGTGTATTACATGGCCATATAAACATTAAACATCACTGGCAGGCCTGTAGCCAGGGGGGTTCGCAGGGTTCGGGCAACCCCCCCCCCCCCCCGCCAAAAATTATTTCACAATCATGCAGTTTTTCACCTTTTTGAGCACTTCTCAAGTGATTTTAGCCATATTTGGGCCAAAATTGTCAAATGAGAACCCCCCAGGAAATTTCTGAAAAATGACCCCCCCCCCCACTTGGCAAATCCTGGCTACGGGCCTGACTGGGTCTGGTAAAAGAAGGTGTTTAACTTTAAATACAGGTTTTTTTTTACTAAAAAAGGGATTTCTTTATAAATTTTTTCACCTTAACATGATTTTTTAGTTTTTACACAGCATTTACGGACACATTCTGACCTTTATTTGAACTTCGTAGTTTACTGGTATTTTGAATGTCAGGTAACCAGGGCAACCAGTTATTGCATCTCCCACCAAGAGTAATCATAATCTTACACTTGGAGATTAATGACTATAAACCAAACCAAAATTTGGATAACAAATCAGGAAAATTAATTAACATGTCATTTACATTATAATTTCCTCCAAAATGATTTTTTATCACAAACAGTAACATGAGATTTTTAACATGGGAGGAATTAGCAAACAATGGAAAGGCAAAATGATAAACGAGTTTAACATAACGTAGTGGTTTCATCTTGAACTCATAAAAAACAGTTAAAATAGATTGACATTTTCAACATTGTTAGATAGTACTCTTGATAACAGGTGGTCCAGGAAGTAGAATAATGAATATACAGGTAAATGCAACGCATATAATAAACTACATGCTAGCTAGAGGTGATGATTACAACACTGTATACATAATATACATTCCATTGCACATTGAGTGTATTTACATTTTCCTTGTGAAAGAACATCACACTTTTATTCAAATAATGATTGCCTATTAATACTTAATGAAAACGCAGAATTAAATCATGTTCCCTTATAACCCTCATAAAATCAAAATTGATGGGAGAGATGATAAGGGCACTAGCTAATAACATAATCTCTTCAGTAAATTAATTCACTTAATACAATATATGGGTTGATACTGGCAAGATGGCAAGTTGCTCCCTCTATCTCCTGGGGGAGAAGAATGATTTAGCTGTGCAGGTTCTAGTCCTCCCAAGTAAGATATGGTAGAGTGTTTGTAGTTTTTTCAGTATTCATAAAAAGTAGACATTAATCAATCTAGATTCATGATGACACGACAGATTTGTGAATTTTCTTTTTTGAAGTGAATTCTCTGTAGATTTGTAATTTGGAGGAATTTTTATAAGAACTTCTGCAAAGGCTTATTCGTTTCAAGGTCACCTTCACTGGCTGTATTGATAAAGTACAGATTTTCTTTGCTAATCCCAATACACAAACAACTAACAGAATACATAAATATAATTTGTATCATCGCTATAGCATTTCTCAGAGATAATGTCTGGGACTTAATAATTTCAAATCAGGAAGATCATTTTCACAATAATGTTACTTTAGGTTTAATTAGGGGAAGGAGCAATCTTATTCAGTATCATTTTGTCTCATTTCATCGCTTCCTATTTTCTAAAATAAAAATCCCTAAATTCATCAAATACAGACATTTAAAAAAAAACTTTGAATAGTAAAAGGCACATTGGTTGGAAAATCTTAAACATTGCTGGCTTTGCCATTCTCTGTATAATAGCTTTAATATTGTAAAACGCAGTTGATTTGGACAAGACTACAAACACAACACTACAGTTCACTTCAGAAAGAATGGCTAGTGTGCAGCTAGCAGATAATATAAAATGAGGAAAGAAAAACCAAATTCCAAGTCTGATACATCAGCTGAATATTATTCCGACAGTTCAGTGAGCAATTTTACAAATCATTGACAGTTTAATCATTGGATGAAGAATATATTAAATTATCCCATACTTATCCAAGTGGCAGGGAGATAATTATAACATAAGTACAGTAAAACATGTAAGGGGGAACACCTCTATAGGTAAAACCAATGATACAGGTTTCAATGTAAATAAATACTTAATATCTGATTTTTTCAATTATGGTCCTTCAGGTATATATATTTCCTTTGGGATATTTTCTATATCCAAAACCCCCATAACATAATGTCCAGTCATTTGTTTACACAGTGGTTTAACAGTACTATTTTGATCCATCAAGCTATTTCTGAAGGACAGACTGAAGGAATACACTGGTTTAACAGTATGGAGAAATACAACATGTTAATGTTAGCGTATCTCTAAGAATGCTGTTACTATTACAGGTTAAATATGGGCTTGGGGCAATACTAATAGGAAACTCTAAGAAAATTATTTCCAAGTCTTTAATCAACAACCCCAATTTCTTCCCCAACCCTAGGGATTGATGGATCTGTAATAGAACTCTCAAAGAAAGCTTTTAGACCATCTTTCATTCAAAGGACTTCATTTATTACTCAATTCAATATGGAAAGAAGTGAAATACCCTTGGACCAAGGATGCTTTTAGACTTGATTGGTACAAGAGTATAATTTGCTTGGGACTGTCTGAAAATTACATCTCTTGAAAACCATCAATACCCATCAATACAATTTTTAAAGTTCAACTATGAAGACATTCTATGTAAAACCACAGGTGAAAAAATAGATGGTGCCTTTACTAGTTCATGCCCTATACACATACATATACCTGTACATTGCCTAGTAAATGTATGACAAAATTTTCTATCATAAATTTTGATATCATAAGGGACACTATTAGTGATTGATTGGAACTGATATGTAAAGACAAGTTGCGGTAAGTGATAAACGATGCCATGATTGCCAATAACTCTAAGATATCTTCGGGATATTATATCAGGAAGTTACATCTCTGATCTACCCACGCTTTATCAAACAGAGGTTCACCATGATGAGAGGCAGATAACGGGTTGCATCATACATTGACTTCTGTCACAAGACACGATTAGGCTTATTTGAGGATAAGGGTAAAACTAGACAAGGCATTAACATGCAAAATGTCACCACCTGCCATTTGTTACAGATACCGACTGCCAAACACTAACCCCCAAAACACTGACTGCCAAACACAATCCACAAAAAGTTGGAGACTATAATACTTCTGGTGGTGACATAAAAAGACATTTTAAAAATGATACCGATATGTAATTATAAAAATATAACCATTCCTTTCAAATGCCAGACACTGAACAATGATAAAAATGGTGACTGTAGTGTAAATTGACATAAAAACCAATTTCATTTTGTACTGCCATTGATTTCTTGTATCCATGGGGTTTATGTTTGAATTTGAATTGGGTTTATATTTAGAAACAACAATGAAAGTTTCCTACTCAGGGAGATGTTAGGAATTAAGAAAAAACAAATGGGCGATAACAATAGCTCACCCATGCCGATGTAATCTAAAAATCATTACGAGTTGATCTACTGACCTGACCCCTAGATATGCAATTGAAAAGTACAATGAAAAACACATGTAAAACACTGCCCCCCCCTCCCCCCCCTCCCCCACCAACCCGCCCCCTCCCATTCTCCCTGTCCTACTCAGAGTGACTAAAGTGGCTTTGAACAAGACAATTCCATATCTAAACAATATTATAAAACATACAAATAAGATCAGTGACACTATCAGTAGAATTGCAACAGTATATTGAAATATCTGCAATATCCAGGCAGATGTATTGATTCTCCTAGTCTGAGGCCAAGGTGATCTTAACTTTTGAAGTTATCATAAATTCTTCATTCGATAAACACCTATTAAAAAGAGTGAATGCCTTTAGGGAAACTATCAAAGCTTAATGCCCCAGGGGAATGTCTTATATATGTTGTTGTGATTGTAAAAACCTCTCACTTGTGGACACTTGCCTATTGGGAACAAGTTTGTTTATGTATCTGTATGGAACACATCTATATCTAAGAACACTTCCATCTGAACATTTCTCTGTAGAGAATACAACTCTGCTCTAAAATGAACACATCTAAATACTTCATCTCTAGAAAACAATACTCTATACTGAATTCACCTCTAGTGAACACATGTATTGATCATGCAAGTAAGTCTGATGAACACATCTACATACTTCATCTCTAGAAAACAATACTCTATACTGAATTCACCTCTAGTGAACACATGTATTGATCATGCAAGTAAGTCTGATGAACACATCTACATACTTCATCTCTAGTAAACAATACTCTATACTGAATCCACCTCTAGTGAACACATGTATTGATCATGCAAGTAAGTCTGATGAACACATCTACATACTTCATCTCTAGAAAACAATACTCTATACTGAATTCACCTCTAGTGAACACATGTATTGATCATGCAAGTAAGTCTGATGAACACATCTACATACTTCATCTCTAGAAAACAATACTCTATACTGAATTCACCTCTAGTGAACACATGTATTGATCATGCAAGTAAGTCTGATGAACACATCTACATACTTCACTACTCTACAAAACAATACTCTATACTGAATTCACCTCTAGTGAACACATGTATTGATCATGCAAGTAAGTCTGATGAACACATCTACATACTTCATCTCTAGTAAACAATACTCTATACTGAATCCACCTCTAGTGAACACATGTATTGATCATGCAAGTAAGTCTGATGAACACATCTACATACTTCATCTCTAGTAAACAATACTCTATACTGAATCCACCTCTAGTGAACACATGTATTGATCATGCAAGTAAGTCTGATGAACACATCTACATACTTCATCTCTAGTAAACAATACTCTATACTGAATCCACCTCTAGTGAACACATGTATTGATCATGCAAGTAAGTCTGATGAACACATCTACATACTTCACTACTCTACAAAACAATACTCTATACTGAATCCACCTCTAGTGAACACATGTATTGATCATGCAAGTAAGTCTGATGAACACATCTACATACTTCACTACTCTACAAAACAATACTCTATACTGAATCCACCTCTAGTGAACACATGTATTGATCATGCAAGTAAGTCTGATGAACACATCTACATACTTCATCTCTAGTAAACAATACTCTATACTGAATCCACCTCTAGTGAACACATGTATTGATCATGCAAGTAAGTCTGATGAACACATCTACATACTTCACTACTCTACAAAACAATACTCTATACTGAATTCACCTCTAGTGAACACATGTATTGATCATGCAAGTAAGTCTGATGAACACATCTACATACTTCATCTCTAGTAAACAATACTCTATACTGAATCCACATCTAGTGAACACATGTATTGATCATATTTATAAGTCTGATGGACACACCTCTCAAGTAAACACTTCTTCCATTGACCATGTCATCTCTCTGAAGAACACCTCAAGAGAACTCATTTTCTCAAGCATGATTTTCCCGACACAATTTTACGGCACCTACCTGTCTCATGACTGGTTCCTTGGCCAGAGCTACACGTCCTAGCACACCAGAGTTTGTGGGGACAGTTCGCCATTTCAGAACCTGAAAATACAAATTTTTTTATAACAAGACAACTATTGTTAACATTAAAATTATAAGGCATAAGTTATTTAATATTTTACTTACATGGTCAATTTGAATTAAATTCACAAAGAGGTGAATATATAAAGTTAATATTGATGAACTGATAAAAAGAAAATTATTTTAATAATCAAATTAAATTCTAAATTACTTTCATATTTTGAAGGAGTTTCATTTTAAATTTGGTTACCAGGTTACTGTGTGTGAGTCAATGTTACATACTATAAAACAGTTACTTGACAAGTAAAAGTATTAAGTAAGTACCCAGCCCACACTTAAGCTATGTTTAACTGATCGTATCAAACACACAATCCATAATACACTTCTGCCCACATGTAAAATGGATAATAAATCTTGATTATTTAATGGAGTTCTCTCAAAAGGCTGCCATTTTTGCTTTTAGTATTTTGATAATTTAGTGAACAGATTCAGCAGACTCTACTATTTTTGTTGCTGTCTTACTCAATTTTACATTCCTCAAATATTTTTATTCAGGGATTTAATCAGCTGTAAGTGAATTGCATTCTCACTCAATCTCCAGTAATGCCTCCTTATAATATCTTCAGTACATCATCTGATTTAATCAATTCATATCAAATTTGATATAGTTTCAGACATGGGTAAGAAGGTTTCATTTAATGCTGTATCAAGTATGCGGATATATAAGTTGAGCAAACACTGCATCTACACTCATAAAACAGCAACTGATTAAGATGAAAGTAGACTAACTAGATTTATAGTCAAGCAGGTTTTTGTTAAACCACTAGCCAGCTTTTACCAAGGAGGGTTTAGTTTTTTGGTTTTGATCAGGGGGATTTGCTCAATACTCCGCTATATTCCCGCTATTACATCCCCCTACTCCATATGTTACACCATACCCTCCAAAAGACTTTTACATCCTCTTTTTAAAACAAAGTCTACATCCCCAGCCAACCCACATATCCAGAATACAAACCTCTAGTCCGCAGTCACTAGCAACAGTCTCAAAGATCTGCTCACACTGGTCAAATGTATCTCTGTTCATAAAGATGATACCAGTAGCATAACTGCCTGGTGCTGGCAGCTCAAGCTCATATTTGTCCCTGAAAACGAAAATCACAACATATTAGATAAATACAACACATATGAGTCTCATGAAAAATTCAAAAAATTAATACAAAGTGGATGTTTTCCCAACTCTTTCCATAGAGAGGTGCTCATCTAAGTTAAGTGTTCTCCACCGAAGAGATGTCTTCATTTTGAATACCTCTTCATCCTAAATACCTATAATATCTATCTAAAATACCCAAATTCCTGTTTCTGAGAGAAGTGTTTTTCTTACCTTAAGAATTTGGCATAAAGTTCATGTGGTATAGCTGTCATGACACCAGCGCCATCCCCCGTGTCATTGTCACATCCACACGCACCCCTATGTTGCATGCGCTCCAACATAGTCTGCGAGTCGCGCAGAATCTGAAACAGATAGATTAAAATATAACTAGAAGCTAGAAGTAGCAAATCACACCAAACAAAACAATTATCAAATCAGTCATCATTGACCTATCAAATGGACAGGAATGGACAAACAAAGAAAAATGGATGGACAGACGGATGAACAGACAGCTTTTCTATATCCCTACTAATATTCACTCAGTGGGATAATGATGGTTTTTAGAATACAAGAATCAAGAATTTGGGATAAGTATTCCTTATAGCTTTAAAATCCAAAATACTGTCCATAAAACTGACATATGTGATATTTCAAAGAATTCCAGTACTCAAATTCTTGTTCCCTCCATATCAAAGAAAGGGCTCAGTATGCAAAATCAGGTAACTTGTATGCATAAGCTTTGTCTGGATCAACATGGCTCTCTGGTTGTACATGACTTTGTTAATGTCTCCTCAAACAGGAAACATTTGCTCTTCAATATCAGTCTACATCTATATATCTGTATACAGTAAAACTTCTGAATATGTTAACAGTGAACACATTATGTTGAACAACTTTCTACTGTACACAGTGAATTCTTCTAACCGCGAACACTTCCAGTTCTCTATTATTCAGTACGTGTAGAGTGGTGAATCAACTCTCTACCACTTGGTTTCAATGAAAACCAGTTTCAAATCATTATTTTTCAGGGACACTTTCATTCTACCACTTTATTTCTACAGCAGTCTGATCCTACCATTAATACATATTTTACCGATTAATCTACTACTCAATATGTAAAGAATGTGGAGAACCCATCCCATTGACTCCCATGTTATCAGACCACCTCCCAATATTTAAAGTATAGATGGTCGCCACACAGTTCAATGTGGAAGGTTTTACTGTACCGAGAATCTTTAACCCAGAAAAGTAGACTGTACTTTAATTCAAAACTAGTTCAAATACAACAAAACCCTTAAGTCAACAATAGTAAAGAAGAGTTTCATTGATGATTGTGAAATACTGCTACGTACATGAGTAAATGCAGTAGGCTAGACGAAATACCAGATGGTGGTAGTATTCGTATTTTATGTCCTATATCAGTTGAGCTACGTGATCTATGCCACATCTTGAATTTAACCTTTCAACATGGTCAAAATATTCCATGCTTTTGAGAGAAATAACATGGAATAATTCCAACTGGAATTATGATAACAATCAATTTATCAAATGGTGTTTCATAACTCTTGAAGGTTATCTAATATAGGTACGTTCAGATGAAGGGTTAATGTTTCACTTCCTATAACTGGATGTGTAAATCAATTTCTATTCTTGTACATGTATGTAGTAGACCTGCTATGCCAATGATAATATATTGTGCAACTTGTTAAGTACATTATTGTGAAACAGTGAATATTAATGCTGTTAAGCTAGAAAAACCTCACAATCATAAATTAAGGTATTTTAGCGGAACAATTAACATTGGAGTCAATGGAAATTTAAAACCTTCATCCCCCTGGTTTACTCGTATATTCATTGATCATTTAGAACCCCTTCAATTAACATTTAAGTCAATAAAAGAAAACAATTTTTAAATTTCAAATTCATATCTCATTCAAACTCACAAAAAAGGACATACAAGATGAGATTATTAAGATCTATATCTGAATCAAAACTGTCCAAATATCTGTAATAGTAAGAGGATAATTTGGCTTGCCAGTTGCCAATGGCAATTCAGGATCACTTCAGTTATATTTATGAGATCATAAATTTCATTGATGGTTAGTTCAAATGATTGTCTGACATTGAAGTTTTATTATTGTTATCCCAATCTTACAATAAGCTCTTTTAAAAATAATTTTTTCATTAGAAATGCTTGCCAGGCAAGTCATTTTTATTGATTTCATATTATTCATATGCTTATTATAATCTTTTTTTTGTTACACACTCTAAAAAATATGATGAGCATTAAAAATGAGACCAGGAAATCCCCCTTCTCTGAATGCAATTGATAAAATTTTCCTTAAACATATAATTTGAACCAACACTGAACTATTGCACTGCAAACTGTTAACCTACATAAATACATTATCAAAACAATAGAGACACAAATAAATTAAAAATATATCACATTTTTATCACAATGACCATGCCCTTACATAAAGTTCAAGCTGCCTAACCCTGAACCATGTCAAGCTGACATCAAGCTGACATAGTCTACATTGAGATGTGAGAGAATTCTGACTGTGATCACTTTTAAATGAGGTAACTGAGTTAACATTATATGGTGTCACATAAAATTAAATCTTAGCCTTTGTAAAAATACATGTGACAATTGCGTGTAGAGGAAACATGGCCTTCAAGATGTACCTGTATTATTAACCCCTCTCAAATGATTTATAACACACCCCTCATGTCGAAGTTAAATAGGTTACAAAGTGTAGTACACGATGACCCTATCTTCATATCTGTGTAAAAAAACTCAAACACGTTTATAGGCATAGCCAAGCAAGAAACAGGCAAGGTAATTAGCATTAATGGCACCAAATCGTCAAAGAAAAATTAAGTGTAGTCATCGAATTATATTGCATTAAATTTGTTTTTGTCTAATCAATATTATTTTGCCACACCTATTTTTAGTTTATGGCTTTATCTGCTGGTCAATAAGTCAGTCAAAGTTACTAGATTAGTAGTAGAAGGCATAACATTTTACCTATTCACCCATAGTAACTGATATGGGGTCTCATAAGATAAGAGTGCAAACTAGGGGTGAAACAAATACTCAAGTATTCGGTTACAGGTCTGAGGTGATATTCGAATGGCATTTTGTGGTATTCGAATATTAAACGATTGACTGCGCATGCGCGCCAATTTAGTCTCCTGCCAAGACACACCCAATTCTAAGGCAATCCCGATATAGATTACCTCACCTAAGAGTCATCTGCAGCTCTTACTTGTAACGTCTGAGCACTGCTGATTAATCCAGTGGCATCCATAAGAGTAAAATACTTGAATATAAAGTTAAGAACACTTGTTTGTACGAGAGGCAATCTGCGCCAGATTCGTTTTTAGGTTCGGTTTTTAGCGCATGCGCTTGGAATAAGTATTTACTTCACATGCTCTTAGAAATCAAACAACTTATATTTACTTCCGGGTTTTTAACGAATATTCGGGGCCGAACAGGGATTTGCTGGTCGAATATTCGGTATGAGAATTTACTATTCGTTTCAGCCCTAGTGCAAACTCAGATGAAACAGAAATTCTGATTAACTTAACCCTTGTCTATCAATTTCAAATAAAGAGAATGTACACCAAGTGGGAGGGGAGGATATGATAATTATGCAACAACCCTGATAAGTGCAACTAATTATGAAAGACTGCATTTATAATGTTATCCAATACTGCCTGTTAACATCAATATGGATATACAGCAATCTCATGTGATGATGAAACATGTGGTGAAAAATCTTATGAAAATTACATATCTGTTAGAAACAGTTTGAAAATATGATGTACTGGTACAACTAGATTTATGATTCTTCTTATGAAAAGATGTAAGCCAAATGAAAGGTTATCTTGCTTTTTTCCAGACCATGTTTTCTATCAGTAGCCTCACTCAATGAATAATTTAATAGGCTGACATGACTTGATTCATGTATGGTAAATCTGCTTGTTTTAACATACTTATGTTAACTCATATATGTAGACTATGAGCAGTGGCGTAGCCAGGATTTGTCAGGGGGGGTTCTAATATTTTCTGCCAAATTTGCCAAATGTGCTTAAATTTTGCCAAATTTGCTTAAATTTTGCCAAATTTGCTTAAATTTTGCCAAATTTGCTTAAATTTTGTCAAATTTGTTTCAATTTTACCAAATTTGCTTAAATCTTGCCAAATTTGCTTAAATTTTGCCAAATTTGATGAAATTTTGCCAAATTTGCTTAAATTTTGCCAAATTTGCTGAAATCCTGCCAAATTTGCTGTATGTTTGCCAAATTACCTCAATTTTGCCAAATTTGCTTAACAGTTTTCTTAATTTTGGTCTAATTTAATTAATTTTTGACAAGTTTCTAAAATTTTACTTAAATTTTGCCAATTTTACTTAAATGCCAATAATGGATAAATTTTGCCAAAGTTTCATTGTTGCCAAATTTTCATAATTTTTGCCCATTCGCTAAAATTTAAAATGTTACCAAATTTTCTCAAGTTTACTTAAATCTCAAACAATATGCAAAAGCAAAAAATAGGTAAAATATCCCAAAACCAAGTTCATTTATTTGGGCAGATTTTTTTAAATTTGGACCCAACATACGCATCACGGCCCAGTGTCACTAAACATTCACATGTTCAAAATTCTCTGCTGATTTATATCAAAAATTAGACAATTTTGACGTTATGTACAACAATCAGATAATTTCAACTTGGTAGGTATGCTTTATTTGTGCATTTGAATTCATTTTGAAGATATTACTTCAGTATTTCAGGCCTAAAGTGCAATAAGAGCATACCTATTATCGCCCATTATTGATTAGAAGTTTTTTGTTTTTCTGTTTTTTTTAAATCTTTTTTACTCAAAATGAAGCTATAAATCTCACATATTTCCATCTTGACATATAACTCAATTGTCTTTGGGTAATCAAAAACGATAAATTATTGAAAGACTGCAAAAATTTTACTCAAAGTTTCGAGGTTTGCATAATTGCCAGAAAGGGTGGGTTCGAATTTTTTTAGGCAAGATTTGGGGGGGGGGTTCGCACAAGCCCTACGAACCCCCTCTCCCTACGGCCCTGATGAGGATCATAAATAACTGCTATTCCAGCAGACCCACTGAGTTAAGGTCTCATGGAAGTTAACAGGAAATGACAAAACAGGAAGTGACAATTTTTTGGGCATTTTTAGACATTTTTTGAACAAAGATAACAGAGTTCTGGTTTGACCTCCAGTCAATTTAACTGTTTCCACATATCATCTACATGACCAGGATCACAATGTGCATGGTCAGAATGACCCTAAACATGATGAAATAACCTTTTTAGTCCCTTGAAAGTGTGACTGAAAAAAAGCTAAAAGTAGGAGCTAGGGAAGGTCACTGAACAGAATTTTTTGAATTTTTCAGAAAATGTGCCCAATATAATGCTCTTACTGATACAATCTTTGAAATTTTAGAAAATTGTCGTAAACAAAAATGGCGGTCATAAAAAGGAAAATAGATCGCTTTTCAAATCAGTTTTTTCATTTTTTTTTCTCTTTCTATGAATGATATCAAATTTTCAAAGATTGTATCATTTAGAGCAATATATTGGGCACATTTTCTGAAAAATTCAAAAGATTCTGTTCAGTGACCTTTCCTACCTCCTTCTTTTAGCTATTTTTCAGTCACATTTTCATAGGGCTGAAAAGGTTATTTCATGATATTTAGGGTCATTCTGACCATAAACATTGTGATCCTGGACCTGTAAATGGTATCTGGAACTAGTTGAATTGACTGGAGGTCAAAAGTGAACTCTGTTATCTTTGTTCAAAAAATGTCTAAAAATGCCAAAAAAATTGTCACTTCCTGTTTTGTCATTTCCTGTTAACTTCCATGAGACCTTAATATACCTGTAAGGATCAGCAAACTGATTTGAAGACACCATAACATAAGTTAGGGCCATATTATTACCAAAATTTCTGTTCTGGATGTACTGTACAGATATCCCAGGTACTACAAAATGTTATTCATTTTACTTTACCTTGTGTGACTTGACTCCATCAATACTAACAACAAAACCAACTCCGCAGGCATCTTTCTCGTTGTTGGGGTCGTACAAACCCTGCTTTATAGGCAATCCCGTGATATCAGTCTGCATTTTGTCAACTGGCACGAGATGCTACATAGAAAAGTAAATGCAAGTGAAATATTACGTAATCATTTCAAATCATAGAGCCAGAATTGCGCAAAAATATTGATTAGTACATAGTGGAAAATGTAACCTTTTAATTAACATCAAAATAAACCACATTTAAAATGGACTTTGAGATATTTGGGTTCTGTTTTGGTCTTTTACCCCCTCCCCCTCCCCCTTAGACTATTCTTTCAAAACAGTTGTAAACAATCAAATATTTCAGCCCTGTGAAATATCATGAAGACATTCCTTTATAATTCTGATTGTAAATCAGAGATTGTTGAATAAGATTTCAACACTATGCACTAAATACTTCATATTGGAATAAAATAATGTAATAGATCTAGTCTACTTTTACTTGGAAAAGAGCCAGCATTGCATTTGTATAAGTTACATGTGCAAGTTTTGCAAATTGTTCTAATCCAAATTTCAAATGATATGAGGGGTGACAAATAACACACATTCTCCCAACTTGTCAATAAATACATGATGTACTCACCCGGTTACTATACTGATGATTAGCAAGCCGCTTAATGTAAATTTCCGGTGAAAGATGTGGAGAATTTAGTGCCCTTGGTTCATTCAGAATGACAACGTGTTAGTACGGTACATAGCCACCAGATGTCATGAATGCTAATTGGCTGTTCCATTCAATACGCATACTATAAAATTACCTGACGGAATTTAAGGTTTTAGTGGATTCCATAAATTCAAATCTCATAATTTGGGATTGGCATCAACATTCAACATAATTACAAAATATTCAGAACCATGGTATCTCATTTTATTCTGAATTGGCCATGATTTTATTAAAAATATATAGGAAACACTAGGGCGACATTTATCATCTAGAAAATCATAAACATTTCTGGTATACAGGGGTCAATCCATATGAACCAATCATAGAAGGGCATTGTATTTATCAACATGGCCATGTGAGAAACTCGTGAACACCTTTGGGATCGTATTATTTTTCTACTTGACATCAAGAGGACTTTTTCAAGCCTGAAAATTTGAACTAAGTAGGTCAATAGAGACATAATTTTATTATGTTTCATTTGGTTTCTGAATATTATGCCCTCTCATTTCATTTTCTTGACATATTCTTCTTTTTCAAAGACTCATTATTGTGTCTGGAAATTACACCGATTTTACGAGCACGGTGCTTTCACGTGAACAGACGAATTCAAGTTAACCAATCAACATAGTGGAATTTGACCTAAATTTACCAAAGGTCAATATTAACCAATCAGCGTTAATTAATTTTCCATTCAGTACTATACGAGTATACTTACTAAGCGCCAACGCATTCCCTAGACATCTTGTGCAAGCGTTATCGTCTCTACGGAATTTTTCCTTGGATTTACGTAAGTTTCTCACAAAAGCCAACACATCGCTCTCTAAGCAGCAAGGTTGCACTCCATAGACACCAATATCAACTCTAACAGAAATACACAAGAATTTTACAAAAAAAGGAACCGGCTTCGAATTCGTTGATTTTGTCCCTCAATCAAATGGAAACAGGATATTTCTCAAGAACACAGAGCATCGAAGATGTCAATCTAGAAATAGAGACTTTGTTTCAATCAACAGACTACCGTAAAGATGAAATTCTAGAGCCTTTAGTTTCTCACGTTGGAGATGAACATGGTTGGAAAGAATGGCGGGCACTTGGCCACGTGAACGGTAAATCTGGTAGAAAAGCTCGACACGCCGCCCATGTGCGACAGCCAAATAAACCGGGACTTAGTCGCATTGCCAATGCAGTTTGGCGAGAATGGTACAAACAACAAGCGAAAGAGGATTCAGTCCTGGAAAATGAGGAAAGTTCCTTCCAAGATTCACCGATTACCGAAGAGGACGAGTTCACTTTTGAGAGGGATGTCACGGTGTTCGGAGCTGATAACGGAGAGGCTCCCACAGAATACACGCTTCATGGTGTTAAATCCTACGAATTGCCAGTTATTGGTAAGTATTTTGAGGATAAATAATGATTTTGGTCGTGTTTCTTCATTTAAATATTCACGTTTTATGTCATCCATTGTTTTTGTCATTGGAATTGATTTGACTTAGCAACTTTCCAATTTCTGTTTCATAATTATCATAACATGACTAGATAACATGAAGAGAACATGAAATTATCAATCTCTAGCATGTTTCACTTATGTTTGATTTGAACCTTCTAACTCCTCACAATAGTAGCTATTGTCTCACAATAGTCGCTATTGTAATAACATCAACATATCAATACAATATTTTTTGTTTTTATTTTCAGGTACCTATGTTGACAAGCGAGTGGTTCCAGGGTTCAAGTACAGTGTGCGAAACCTGGAGTCCAACAAGTTGCTATTCAAAAGCAGAGCACTGCCACTGCAATCCATCGGCCAGGGTTATGGCAAGAGAATCACCTTCAAGGGAGATACGTTCAATGAGAACACAAACTATTTTTACTCAGACACTAATAGCGAAGGCTATGCATTTAGTATTAAAGCAGTTCAGGAGGTCCAAGAATTTATCATTTGCGACAACTCAGATTTGCCAATTGGACGCGCAATTGTGCAGAATGCATCCATGCCACAGAGAGAGATCAAGATGGAAAGTAAAGATGGAGCTGTTGTGAAATATGTTGAAGTCAATTTGATATGTTCTGTGATATATGAAAGTAATGCTCATGGTTTGATGTCCCTGCATTCATCCGAAGATGGAGTTGAGATTTCTGGAATTGCCAAAGCTGTAAAGCATCGTAAAGCCAAGGAAGCAATTGTAGAATGTATTGATGGAGTAAGCATCCCAGGATTTGGTATCTGCTCCCTTCATGCGGAACTATAAACATAACCTGAATGATTTTGGATGCTTTTCTGGACAATGCAACGCTGCAGGCTCTTGGAGCTGATGATATGGATAGTTTGAATTGCACTGTGTGGGGTCACAACATGGACTGGAGGTACATGTACACACACAAGAACACAAACTTTAAATCTGTATAGTGTATATAGCTTCCATGTTCCCCAAACAAGTTGTGCTAAATATGTTATCCATGAAACAACAATGCAAACTACAATTAATGTCAAAACAAATTTGTTATATACATAACGTTGAACGCACAAATGACAATGTACATCAATTCGTTTTACCAATTCACTGCTTATTCACTGCTAATTTGAGATACTTGCTTATAATTAGATACCTACCTCAATAGTTACAAAGTTATGTATGTTCAATACTCAAGTGTTCATAACTTCATTTTATTGTTCCATAAGAGATAAGACCTCATCAATTTCTACAAGACTGTTGTTTGAGAATCTCTGTTTGCCAATAGTTTTTACTTTGCCAAGATCTTGACTTGTTTTTAACTGAGGAATATGTTCTTGCATATTTGTGTATTTTCACAACCTGTAGTTTTGACAGAAAAGTGTATTATAAAGCAAGGGGTTTCCTGAATTCAGTAAATAGGCTACAAAGTTTTCATATTTATATTATACTAGTATTTGAATAAATGAGGCTTTAATATTGAGGCTTAGTAAAAATCTAACCACAGAAAACTACAATTCAAATTCATTTGAAAGGACCATTGTCAATCTATTTAAATGTTCAACTATTATTTTTCTGTTTCCCTCTTTTGGAGATAACGAGACAGACAGCATTGTACAAATGCATAACATGTTAATATAATATTACTTTTGTATGTTAAATGACTGCCATTTATAAGACATTTTGTACGATATTTCTGGTGCTAAACTGGTTTATGAATTATGAAACATCTTTACTCAGTCAGTTTTCTTTAGAAAATGTACGCTAATCCAGTTTTATTTGCAGATATTGTATACTACACCTTGTCAGCATTGTATTTTATGCAGAAACTACAATTAATTTCATTATATTTAGTATATTGAATATTAAGTTAACAATGAAACAAGCGCTCTGGCCACATAAAATATGACAATGTCGTCAACCATGCCAATATCAAGATTCACAGTACTGGACCAGAAATTGTAGATGATGTATTTGTAAATTTATTTTGCCATAGTTAGTTGTCCTTATGTATTCAAAAGTTCACAGCTTTATGTACTGTAAGTACATTCATTTTTTTGCTGAGCTTTAGTAGAGTATTACTCTAAATCAAGTATTATTGATATATCAAAGTTACAAATACTCTAGCTTTCAGTGTAACATGTGTACCAGCATCTCTTAAGAATGCATTCCTATTCATTATCTTAGGAATTTCTGAATCAGATAGGAAAGGTATTTCTGAATATAGGCTGAAATCAAGAACCTATGAAGAATAGCCTACACAAAGTTAGTATTAAATTACATTTGAAGAATAACATGTGAAACTTCATACAGCTTTTGTAAGTTGTCTATGTCAACAATCTGCAAAAGGCTAATAAGCCCATATAAAGCAGATATATATTGTTCTCTATATACAACAATATACTCGTATATATATCTGACTAAGTCACACTTTTTATCCCATATTATGTAAAAGTTATGATGTTAATGTTGACTCTTAGTGGTGTTAACATTTAACAGGCCTGACAGGCTGACTTGCTTTTATTTTGAATTCTGAATCCACGTCTGACAGTTTTCGAGTTGCGTTCTCAGATGTATTTGTGAAAAGTGTACTATTATATTTTTACACTATGGTAATAAGTATATTACTTTTATAATTATACTGTTGGTTTTTCCTACCTTTTAAAGAGTACTTTGTACAAGAATGTTAAATATCTTATTCAAATTTTCATTTTATGGAAATAAAAACAATTAAAACAATTTGTTTAGTTTTCTCTTGATAAAATGAGGTTTACTCCTCACAAAGGAAAACATTTTGAAATACGAGTGTAGTTATATAATTATTAAATACCAGAGTTTCTCGTGAATAGGCACAGGGGTGTTTATTTGAAAGAGGTGTGTTTGAAAAACCAATCTAGACCCGTGACCACGATGACCCACCCCATTTGGAAAAAATAAACCCTCTTGATTTACCAGAAACTCCAGTAAGATTAAAATAAATTGATGGTTGGAATGGAAAACGTTATGGGTTGAATCTCTGACCTACACTCCCCTGCCCTAGCATAAACTTTGTGTTCTCTTGAAAATTGACATTTTTAAACCACTAACTTTAAGCAACTGTGTATTGAAGGAAAAACAATTTTAAGAAGATGTCAAGAGTTAAAATCTTCTGCGCCGTTTCACTACTTACTAGAAGCATAAAGCTGGAAAAGACTTGCATACGCATATGACAGAGTTAATCTCCTTATGGTAATTGTCTCATAGTGATTAACATTATTAGATATAATTAAGCATTATACTAAAGATCGTACTATAAGATTAACAAAACCTTGAAAACATTAAAATCCCATCTTGCATACGTGGCCTTGGAAATATCATGCAGTATTAGAGTGATCTCAAAAGTGCAAGACGTCTCGCTATATCTAGGTTAAGTTTATTGAATAAAAGTCACCCGCTGTAAATATTTACATTAATTTAGTTATTTGTGTTCATTGGAATTGTCTCACGTTTAGGCAATGACATCTTTCGAATGATGCTGACACGCGTGGCTGAAGCAAGCCACTCTATCATGTCTTACCTTTACCTTAATTTGGTGAAATTGATATGTAATTAAGGAGTTTCTTACTTTGTGTTTTAAAGATCGTACTTTCGTACCAGAGCTTACCAGAACATGTGTATAAACTATCAAATGAACTTTTCAAAAATGAAATGAATAGATGTTAGTAACACAATTATGCAACGCCTAATATTCTCAACTTTAGCATTGTCAAAACAACAGACAACGTCATGGCCGTCATGCCTGACTGAAACCTGCTTTGGGGAGGTTGCATCCTAAGAGTAGTGGGAGTTTGGGCCTGCATGCTTTTCAAGATCTCCGACCTTGATTCGAAAAAATGGTGTTGTATGTAAAAAAACATTTTTGGGGGAGGGTATCTAAAAAGCATTATGGGCATTATGAAATGCGGTTCGCTGCTAAAAATTCATTGGGATTTAAATTATTTTTATATTTATTGATAGATGTCATTAAGGTCGCAAGATCATATCAATATAAACGCATTTGATGAGCTGACGACATCTATAAATGTAAATTGAATGTGAATACATGCTTTCCATTATTTTATATCATCAAAGGGTCTGAAAACAATGGAGAAAAAGCTAACATTTTAATCAAATCTGCTCGGTGATATTAATATATATACTTGTTCGCTTCGCGACACCGGCTGGTATCGAAAAATTTGTCTGCTGTGACGGAGCGTGTTATTTTGCATCACAAGGACACAAGGAAATCCACGCAATTTACTTTTTTACTCATATGTTTCGCTATATCAAAAGAAAATTACCTACTTCATGCAATGGATATATCATTTTCGGGTAACCTTAACTTCTGTTTGAAGTACAACAACGGTTAGAGTAAAAGCTATTGAAATCGGCGCCGGGGTATCATGCTCCAGAATGTACCATTTGTTTTATTTCTTTTAAATGGTACAATATAGTGACACGATAATATTTACATATATTTTTTCAGCATAACTCTAAAGGAATTAACGAGATATTGATGTATTGGGTATTTTTAATTTGTTTTGTAAAAAATAATGTTTAAATTTTTTGTCCGCTCTGACGGAGCAGTTGTTTCAAATCTGAAATACGCTAAGAATTCAAGATTTATAATATATCTTTTATAACTACACTGTGGAGGAGCGAACGCGTTAAATCTCTTTCGTAAAGTATTCTGAAAATGAAACGTAATAAAAGTACACAATTCAAATTTTGAGCTTTAAGCTTTTTTCTCAGTTTGTACTGCAATCCAATTAACTTCCCTCTATAGTCCCTCTATCTGTCTATAGTCGTTCCAAAAGGTAAGTGGAGTGTATCTTGGTATACGAAAATGCAAAATTTAATTTTAAGATTGTTCTTCATTTGAATAAGAGTTAGGGTTATCTGATGCAACTACAGTAAAACATGTGTACAGTGAACACATATGAAGCCCCAAAAATGTGTTCCCAGTTGGTAGATGCAGTGATGTTCACTCCATAGAGGCAACTTCATACAGAAGTAGCTTAAGAGGAATATGTGATAGGAAGAGGTGTTCACTAGAGTATGATGATCATTGATACAGGTTTACAGCACGTTTACCAAGACTTTTTTATATTTTCAGACTATGCAAAACAATGAGGCATGAATTTAGTAATTACATATTAAATCTGTTTTGGATCATCTTATATACAGTAATATTACGTGGTGAAAGGTAATACAACTGTCGGAATGCAGGATGTCTGTGCGCTAATTCGAATTTCATAGTTAGCCCTATTTACACTACATGTGACATTCCACGACGTCTTGGCGAAAACGTATTAGAAATATTATGTTGAGTTTACACCATGTTGATTTATGTTGATTTCAGTACTGTGAAGGATTTACACCCCCCCCCCTTTTTTTTAGTATCTACACCTTCCAACTCCCAAGTACCAGTTTGTATCTCAGATCCCAAGTCCCAGTTTGTAACTCAGTACTCAAGTCCCAAGTACCAGTTTGTATCTCAGATCCCAAGTCCCAGTTTGTAACTCAGTACCCAAGTCCCAAGTACCAGTTTGTATCTCAGATCCCAAGTCCCAGTTTGGTACCCAGGTACCACTCACATGTCATGAGAGGTATAAATAGTGAGACACAACGATTCAACCTGCTTCTTCCTTCACACTCTTACTTCAGCTTCACGTTTTACTTTAAGACTTCTAAATTATATCAAGTGATTCTTTAAAACATAACTGTAAAATACATCTTATACTGTAGAATAAAGAACTAGAACTTAGACTGTTATTTTGATATTTAAGAACCCCTCACTGGTGGCTGGCGGTGGAATACAGACTTTAACACGTTTTGAATTTATTTTATTGGATTTATTATCACGCTACCACAATATTGGACTTAAAACAGATTTTGAATTCTAAAGAAAATATATAGAATTTCATTGGTTTATTATTAACAAGATGCCTAACACACGAAAAGGAGATAAAGAAAGACAGGGCGATGAGTATATTGAGATTGATCAAAATGTTGAGCCTGAAAACCAAGGAGCTGTTGGTGTAAGCCAATTACCCAACCTCAATCCAGGGATATACAAAGTGTTATGGCAGAGCTTGAAAGGCTTAAGATGAGAAACTCTGATCTTGAAGAGCGCAACCAAACTTTAGCCCGTCGACAAATCGCTACCGAACATGAAAAAGAGGGACTCATTGAGGAAAGACATGTGCTAAAACAAAGTCTTCAATCCAAAGAGGAACAGTTAAAGATAGCGAGCGGTAGCTGTAACTCATCTACTGTGGAGGGTCCGACACAACAGAAGGATACGAGGCCTAAATATAATGTCCCATTAGCTCGTCAAATGCTTTATGATGGAAAAGAATCATGGGAGTGCTTCATACAGGCCTTTAAATCACTGTCCAAAGGTGGTGATTGGACTGAAGAGGATCGCTTGTTTAGATTGCAGAGTAGCCTTAGAGGTGATGCTGCAGAGTATGCCTTTTGCCAGCTTGATACAGCTGTACTGGATTGTTACGATCGATTAGTAGATGCATTGGCATTAAGGTTCAAGGAGACACGCACTCTTGCATCATACCTTGCTGAACTGGAAACAAAGAAACTTTCTGGTCGAGATCATATGTCAGAGTACATGGCTGACATAAAGCGACTAGTCCTGCGTGGATACCCAACAGCGGATAGCACAACACGTGAAATCATTGGATTACGCTATTTCCTTAAGGGATTATCTGATACCACAGCATCAGTTACCGTGGGAATGCAAAAGCCAACTACCATGGAAGAGGCCAGAGATTCACTGGAGGTATATTTTAGTCTCCGTGATGAAGTAAAAAGTGTGCCCCGTGTTCGTTCAGTGGGAAATGGAAACACATACAAGCGTAGAGAGCGGGACATGACCAAAGTAGAATGTTATGCCTGCCATGAATATGGGCATTATGCACGTGATTGCCCTTCTAATGAGAAGAATGGCGCAGCTGGATCGAAGCAGGAAAACTAAGTGGGACCAAGCCGAACAGCCAAGCTTGTGTCCGGACCAAGGAAAACCATAGGATTGTTAGTGTAAAAAGTACAGTAGGTGAGTCTCCTGTTTTACCCTTGGCTGTAGGGGGAGTAGAATGTAGTTTTATTATAGACACAGGAGCAGTAGTAACTATCATAGGAAGTCATATATATCATAGTATAGATAGAAAGTGTAGGCCAAAGCTGAAACCATGTTCAGACAATATTGGGTTTACTGTTGCAAATAATTCAAATCTGCCAGTGGAAGGAATAATTAATGTGGAGTTTAAATCAAGTGGTCACAAATTTAAAGCAAAAATGTATGTGTGTGACATCCAAGAAGATGGGCTTCTTGGCATGGATTTTCTCTCTCAACATAATTATATCCTTGGAAGGGAGTTTGGATTGCGTCTCAATGGTAGAATCATGGACTTGAATTATGATAGCAGAGTGAATATAGTACATAGAGTAGTATTGAGCAAGGATTATATCTTACCTGCTTCAAGTAGGATAGTGGTAGAGGGAGAATCTAGAGGACTCAATGTTAATCATAGTAGCTCAGTCCTTATAGAACCAACAACCAATGAGATTGATGGCAATGAGGCCATAATAGCAGGCCGATCAATTGCTAATGCAAAACGTAAAGACATAGGATTACCAGTATGTCTTATGAATACTTCACCAGAGAATATATCGCTAAAAAAGGGTACACTAGTGGCATATGTAAGTAATCCTGAGAGTATTTTACCCTCCGAGAATAAAAATTTGAACGAAACACATGACGTCAATAATACATCAAGCCAGGTGTTACCTGAACATTTGGATACACTTTACAATGATACAGCATCAGGATTAAGTGTGAATGATCACGACAAATTGTGTTCTCTACTCTCAAAACATGGTGACTTGTTCGCTAGATCTCCAAATGATCTAGGAAGGTCATCAATAGTTACTCATAAAATAAATACAGGAAATTCAATCCCTGTAAAACAATGTCCTCGTCGACCCCCTCTAGCATTCGCAGGTCAGGAGAAGGATATTATTCAACAACAGATAGCTGCAGGTGTTATACAAGAATCATCATCACCATGGGCATCACCTATGGTATATGTACGGAAGAAAGATGGGACAACAAGACCCTGTGTTGATTATCGAAAGTTGAATTCTTTAACTATTAAGGATGCCTACCCCCTCCCACGTATTGATGACTGCCTTGATAGCCTAGGGGGCGCTAATATATATTCATGTATTGATCTCCAATCTGGATATTGGCAATTAGAAGTTGATCCAGCTGATCGTCCTAAGACTGCTTTTGTCACTAGAAGTGGATTATATGAATATATCACTATGCCCTTTGGATTATGTAATGCCCCTGGAACATTCCAACGTTGCATGGAGCTTGTCATGAAAGGCCTCCAATGGAAAGAGGTCTTAATATATTTAGATGACATAATAATCATGTCTAAGGATGCTGCCAGTCATTTTGAACAGCTTGAAGAGGTCTTTACAAGACTTTCAAATGCAGGGTTTAAGCTGAAAGGTTCAAAGTGCGAGCTATTCAAAAAAGAAGTGAAATTCTTAGGTTACATGATTACTAGTGAAGGGATTATGCCAGACCCTGATAAAATTGAGGAAATATTGAATTGGAATACTCCAAAGAATACTACAGATGTCCGTGCATTTCTCGGATTATGTTCTTATTATAGGCGCTTCATCTCGGGATTTTCAACAATAGCACACCCAATGAATAAGCTGCTGGAATCAGGTCATGATTTTAGCTGGGATATAAATGCACAGACTTCTATGGACTCCTTAAAAGATAAGTTTAGGGGTAATGATATAATGGCCTACCCTATGGACGAGGGACTATACATTTTGGATACCGATGCTTCAAATACAGGAATTGGAGCAACCCTTTCACAAATGCAATGGTCTGAAAAACTGAAAAAATCAGTTGAGCGACCAATACTGTTTGCTAGCAAAAGCCTCACTAAGACTCAGAGAAGATATTGCGTAACAAGGCGTGAACTTCTGGCTATAGTAACATTTGTGCAGCAACTGAGACACTACCTCTTAGGACGTAAATTTCTGATTCGTACAGACCATAATGCCCTTCGATGGGTTATGTCCTTCAAAGAACCCAATGACCAGATGGCTCGTTGGCTAGAGGTTCTCTCTCAGTATGACTTTGACATAGAGCATCGCCCTGGAAAAAAACATGGGAATGCAGATTCGCTCAGCCGGAAATATTGCGACCCAGACGATTGTGCGTGTTATGACGGTCTTACCATCTTATCTGATCTACCTTGTGGTGGATGTGAAGACTGTAAAAAGAAACACCAAATGTGGTCAGACTTTTGGGAAACTGATGATGTGATTCCAATCAAAGTGAGATACATCGGGAAGTACTCTGTAACCTCAATTTTCTCATATCTCATGGCAATATGGACTATGTTTGTGACCAACATTGTGGCCTTCTGTAAACGGCCAGCACAAATATTACGGCTTAAAGCTACAGAGAAGGATCATCGAGATGATATCACTGATCACTTTGACCCAAAACTAAATGACAAGGGCGTCCAATCACAAAACACAACTACCTTGTCACATGATCAGATTAGTGTAATGCCTACCACATCATCTAATAATGGCCTACATATTATTGGAAGTTGGGTCTCCGATACCTCAAAAGAAGACCTAAGGAAATCCCAGAGGTCTGATTTGGATTTAATCCCTCTAATAAATGCCATGGAAACAACACATTTACGGCCCAAACGGGATGACATAGCCATTGAATCTCCAGCTACTAGGCATTTGTGGCTCTCTTGGAATCTGTTACACTTGATAGATGGAATACTTTACAGAAAGTGGATCACTACAGATGGAGTCAAGGAAACATATCAATTAGTAGTCCCATCATCAATGAGATCAGAAGTTCTGCAACAAATGCATGATACTCCGTTATCAGGTCATCTTGGAGTACGCAAATCCCTAAGTAAATTGAGACAATCCTTTTACTGGTACAAAATGAAAGATTCTATTAAAACCTGGATTAAATCTTGTGCCAAATGTGGAGCTAGGAAAAAGCCGTTTCAACCTAGTCGTGCTCCAATGGCTCTTTACACTGCAGGCAGCCCAATGGACCGTGTCTGCACTGATATACTTGGACCATTTCCCTTGTCTAATTCCAATAACCGCTATATACTTCTTGTCATGGACCAATTTACCAAATGGGTTGAAGCCTATGCTATTCCAGAGATCAGTGCTGCAACTGTTGCTACAAAGATTGTTTATGAATTCTTCAGTAGAATGGGTAATCCGTTAGATCTCCACTCAGACCAAGGGTCCAATTACGAAAGTAAGCTATTCACTGAGGTGTGTAAACTCTTGGAAATCAATAAAACTCGTACCTCTGGATTTAGGCCCCAAGGAAATGGTATGTGTGAGAATTTTAACAAATCACTACTCAACATGCTATCTGTATTTTGTAACCAGAAGCACCAAAAAGACTGGGATGAAAAATTGCCCTTGTTAACCTCTGCTTATCGCAGTTGTAAACACGATACCACGGACTACAGCCCAAACATGTTGATGTTAGGGCGTGAACATCATACCCCCATGACATTAATGGTGGGCGGACCACCACGTAACGAAAACACGGATAGGACTGAAACTCAGTATGCACGGGAATTGCATGATACTCTGACAGAAATATATAGTTTTGTTAGAGTAAATCTAAAGAAAAACATGGAACGTCAGAAGCGTGACCATGACACAAGAATTGCATGTAATTCCTTTGGCCCTGGTGATGCTGTATACGTTAGAGACACTACCAAGACCGTTGGTATAAGTCCTAAATTGAAATCAGATTTATACAAGGGTCCCCAGCTGATTATCAGAAAAAAGAGCGATCTTTTGTACGAGGTGCAGTCATCCATGAAGGGAAAGCGGAAAATTATTCACCACGACCGACTAAAGCCATTTAACTCGGACATACCACCTTGGATAGTTCGCTTAAAAGTTGCCTTAGGCAAGGACCCACGGGTCAAGACAAAGACAATGGAGGTGTCTTGCCAGACCCTCAAAACAAGCAAAAAGCATAGCAGGAACACTCAGACGACATCAAACACCGTTGTTGGTAAATCAACACAGACAGACAAAGTGGCAAAAGTAGTAAGCAGCAGTACGGAGGGCGGATTAAGAAGGGGAAAACGTGAACGTGCCCCCGTGGATCGCTATGGAATTTAATGATCGAATTTAATTCATGTGATTGACCAGGTGAAATGTGGCACATATAGAGAAATCACACAGGGCACTTATTCTAGTGAACAGAAGTCTGGGAATTCTAAAATTACCCGGGAATTATTTTTGAATTTCTACTTCAGGAAGAATCAATTCTGATGCATACTGCTTGCTCGGGTTCAATTCCAGTGAGACAGGTGTTTCTAAACCTTGATTTCTTTGCTATGATAAGCTGGGTCTTATGTGCCCATAGCCAGGGTAACTGTGTGTTCATAAAGAGCAATGGAGTGCTTAACAAGCTAGATGCTTTTATATAAGTTATAAGGATTTGCTGATCTATGAATAGTACTGTTGTCTGTGGTCAGACGGAATAGTAGATAGTAACATGTGCCAAATGATTAAAGAGTAACATTCACTTGGAATTAAAGCAACATCAATTTACCCCCTCCCTTCCTTACTGAATGATAACTTTACATTTTTATGTAAAAAGAGTGCCAATTACATGTATGCCAAGCCGTGTCTGTGTTGTGTCCACATATTGCAGTATGCCCAACAGGAGCTGCTCAGCTGATCTGAACTTATGCTAACATTTATACTATTAGGATAGAACAGTATATTCTGTATATCACACTTGTAGAGCATTGATGCCACAAGCTATGGGACATAGAAGTCCCAAGTATCAAGTAACAAATTGTTTAACAATTTTATAGTACATTCCTCTCAAGTCCAAAATTGCTGACTATGTTTAAGGAACAGTCTCCTTTTGTTTTTTAGTCTTGATTATTAATGGATATTTAAGGGCATAAATCTTCTCTAGGAAAAAAAAGCAAAAAATAAATAAAAATGGACTTTGAGTCCAACCTTGAGGAAACATTCTTTGACAAAACTCTATGGAGACCAGTTCTAATTCACTGCATTGTCCTATCTGCCATTTCACTTGCAAGACTTCAACTTATACAAATCTATTGAGACATTTAAAAACACATTTGCCATGGTTTTTCAATAAACATTTATGTTTAGTATGTAAAACAGGATTCGGACATCATAAGAAAAGATTGGAGAAACATGTAGAAAAACATACTTCTGAGGAAATAGTCCATGCATTAAGGACGGTGGACATTATTGCTAAAAGAACAGAATATTTTGACAGTTCCAGTCCGATTACAAACCGGAGTCTTATATCATTACTAATTAACGAGGATTATCATGCGATTTTGAACAGTAAAGAGCTACAGGTCCAGTCTACAACTAAAGACACGGGATCACCCAATTTACGGGAATTAGACGATTTAGACACCAGCATCCTTCAAAGAGACAAACCCAATACCAATTGCTCTATGCAGATGTCAAGTTCCATGTCAACACCACCTGCATCGTCTTACTGCGATATCTCCGAGACAGAAGGCAACGATATGGATCAAGTAAACATGCCTCAAAAAACAGATTTTGTGGCCTCGTGTGCCCCTAACCCCCCACCTGCAACTATAGACACTTCTGCTAAAACAATTACCTCCATTGATCTGGCAGCATTATCAGCAAAAATAGCGAACTTAGAGCAGAAGCTTGATGCCCGGTAGAGATTAAAAGGTGGATTGGATCGAGTGGATTGGATTCATGTAAAAGGTGGATTGGATCGGGAATCTTCAAAATGTGGAATTTCTTATAAAAAAATTCTGTTGATCTCCCTCTAAACAATTTCCCTCTACAGTATTACAGGTCCCTTTTGAGAAATCAGAACAAAGCAATGACAAATACAGCTCCAATTAGTTCATGGACACTCTGAAGTATTTAACCGCTTTCCCTTGTAAATCAACTTTTGTAAGACATAGATCTTTAGAAAAAGAAAACCTGTCATTCAAATTGATGTGTGAATGTTCACAAAACATTTCTGGTATGTTCAGTTTGGATTGAAAACAGATGATATGGATCTTCAAACCAGTCTGACTTATGATTTATGAAATGTCTCAAATTACACTTGGAATGAATAAGATCGTGTATCAGAAAGCGGGTACCAGGTCATCCTTCTAGCCCACCCAAGCAAGATAATATTACATCTATTATTTGACATTGTGCAAGTGAAGAGAGCACCAATCTTCCTAAAGGGAGATCAATAGAATTTTTAAGGGAAAATCCATATTTTGAAGATAGCCAATCCAATCCACCTTTTACATGAATCCAATCCACTCGATCCAATCCACCTTTTAATCTTTACCTGATGCCCAGACTTCCTCTATTATGCAAAATCAAGCCCAAATCATGCTGGCCGTTCAGCAGGGAGAGATCAATGTGAAGGAATATCAAAGGTCACTAGCAGACATTGTACTTAAGGATATTGGGAGAGTTTTGGCCCATCTCCAAAAACTGTTTGAGCAGAAAACCCAAGGGGGGCGAGAGATCGATGCTGCCCTCATGGAGCCCATCATGAACTTAGCGTCTAAAGCATTTACTGTTTACGGGGAGATGCAAGTGAGGCAGGGACAACAGGCCCCCACTACATCAAATGACTCTACATAACTTTTACCTTTTTCTAATCTCAGCTTGTTAAAAACACTTTACTTCCTTAAGCCTTGGATTAATGGAATATTATTTTACATCCATCTACATATTTTACTACTAGACTCCAGATGTTTAATGTTTAAATACTTTTGGAGTATTAATCATGTTGTGTGGATTTACATTGTGAATTACTTGCATATATATGGGACTTTAAGTGACCATACAATATTTACTTGTGTGATACTTAGCAGTATAAACTCTGGAGAGACATTTATCTATTCATATATTATTGACTTTTGATATTATTTTTCACTGGAGTTCAAGCCAGGCAGGGAGGAGTGTGAAGGATTTACACCCCCCCCCCTTTTTTTTAGTATCTACACCTTCCAACTCCCAAGTACCAGTTTGTATCTCAGATCCCAAGTCCCAGTTTGTAACTCAGTACTCAAGTCCCAAGTACCAGTTTGTATCTCAGATCCCAAGTCCCAGTTTGTAACTCAGTACCCAAGTCCCAAGTACCAGTTTGTATCTCAGATCCCAAGTCCCAGTTTGGTACCCAGGTACCACTCACATGTCATGAGAGGTATAAATAGTGAGACACAACGATTCAACCTGCTTCTTCCTTCACACTCTTACTTCAGCTTCACGTTTTACTTTAAGACTTCTAAATTATATCAAGTGATTCTTTAAAACATAACTGTAAAATACATCTTATACTGTAGAATAAAGAACTAGAACTTAGACTGTTATTTTGATATTTAAGAACCCCTCAGTACAATCCTCCGAAAATGTGAAAAGAGTGGTCGTTTTTATATCTCAGATTTACATTACCACAGATCTCCGAGACTACTTGTCATAATTTAGGAAAGTGATTTGAGACGTTCTCTCCTCTAAGGGTACTTTTAAAAGATATAATTTGAATCTTAAATTCTTAATGTAGTTCACAGTTGAAGCTGCTCCGTCACAGCGGACAAAAAAATTAAACATTATTTTATTAGAGTTATGCTGAAAACATATGTAAATATTACTTTTAAAAAATTAAGTATTTAGCTGTTTGAGGACGACTGTGCATCGAAGGGTATCCCAGGGACCTGAGGGGTTGGTGCCAAGTAGATGTGTTAAAAACAAAATAAATATATTATGGGTTCTCCAGGGCTTAGATGAGACCTCTTTGCTATGTCTTGTTGTCATGGAGAAAATTGCTGACGATAATAAAAAGTTTACTTAGTTCTTCTAAAATGTCTCGTCACCATATAAGAGAAAATTAAGTTTATCATCCATGTTTGTTACTCTTCCATAAGGGCATGCCTATTAATTTGGCATGTTAAGTCGATCATAACTACTAAAAGCGTGAGACAATAAATCATAAGTAGATTGAATTTTAGCCAAAATAAGGAACTAGGCTACATTTGTTTCTTTTGCTGGAAGTTTTAAATCCATGAACAGCATTAAAGGTACCCTTGCCCATGTTGACTGTTTGGAGACTTCAAACGGATGTTACCCGCAAATGATATATACATTGCATGGAGTAAGCTATTTTCTATGGTATAGCGAAACATATGAGTAAAATAAATTGCGTGGGTTTCTTGGTGTTTCTATGCAAAATAGCACGCTCCGTCACAGCGGACAAATTTTTCGATACCAGCCTGTGAGGATATCCTATAAACAGTTTTATTTTTTCTAAACTGCCAACTCTATTTTATGAAATTAATGAGGGTCAATCTGAATCTGAAAATAACCATAGTCTAAGTTGAAGTATCTCATACTTGAGTGGGTTTGGGGTAGATATCACCCGGGAATATATGTCGTATCTGAGGGGCGGGCAGGATATATTGTATATGTCCCGCTCTAGGCCAAATGCGGGCAGATATAATATATCCATCCCGCTCCCGGGAATTTTTTCAAAAGTTTAAAAATTTAAAAAATTTAAATTTCAGAAGTTTAAAATTTTTCAAAAAGTTTAAATGTTACAATTCTATTGTAACTATTGAACTGAAGGAATATTATGAAAATATAAAATATAAATTGTGCGTTTACAGTAAAGGCCTATCTTGTCATTTGAAAAAGGTGGAACGGTTACCCCAAAACCACTCAAGTATGAGATACACCAGTTATGTACGGTCGGTTTTGGATATAGGGTTTATCCCTCGGGAAATATTCATATCTCCCCTTGGTCCCTTCGGTCCCTCGGGGAGATATAAATGTATCCCTCAGGATATACCCTATATCCAAAACCTCCCAGTACATAACCCTTATATATATATAGACTGTATATTATATTATATATACTCTGTTCTATTAAGCTTGAATGTGATATATCATGCCTTATTGTGTTTATCAGGGTACAAAATGGAAAATCTAAAGTTATATTATAAATGTGTTTTAAGGTTATATTATATTCTGTTTTAAGGTAATATTGTAAATGAGTTTTAAGGTTAGTAAAAATAAGTTGTTCAGATACCTATTCCCTTATCCTCAATTATATATTCAGAGTTCCTTTTATGGAATCTCACATACATTGATGTGTGAGGATCTTGAATAGAAGTTTAGTTTGAGAACTGGGAAGATGTGAATAAATATCTATAAAAACATAGTCCCATATATGGTGGATCAGAGCTGAAGACGATCAATGGGTTCCTCATCAATGAATGGAATCAAATTATAATCTCCGTTCTAGTCATCAGAGACAAACAATCATGGAAAAGGCTCATATTAAGTTAAATAAAAAATGTGATGGTGTGTCTGATGGTGTACGATGGTTCGAAGATATAATATCATTCATTAGATTTGACGTTAGAAAGACAAAATAAGATATTGGTGCAATTATTGAAACTGGAGAAACAAACGTTCTGAATTGTGGTCCCATTATACAGTACTTCTACGGGGCCTTGTTGGACTTGAATGACGTATGTTGCCAGATATAAAATGTTTGGTATTAAAAAAGGATGACGATTTCCTCATCCTGGTAGTACTGGTAGAAATGAGAGAAAAAGTTTCCGGTCCTTACTGAACTGTCAGTTTGGCGTGTGTGTACTGAAATGTTCTCCCTTTGCGAAAGTTCTCATCTAAGAACATCCATTGCACGACCGTTGATGTTTGATTGAACCCATTGTTGGCGGGTACTCTGTACTCATTACGTTCTTGAAGTTGATCCATTCTTCTCTGTGACTCGTTAACAGTATTGTATATATCTGGGACGCTGCTTTTAAACACTTGATGGAGTTGGCCATCTAGAAAATCATCATCATCTTCATAATCTTCAGTCGGTGACAATACGTTCGCTGAAGATATGAAAACATTGGCCAGGTTTACCGATTTTAACGCTTTTGACCATCTGAGCAGTAGGCTCATCAAACGATCGGCCATGAAGTCGCGAGTATGTGGCGGGTTTGGTTCGATGCCTTTAGCCAAGCTCCAGTAGTTACCGTCCGGGTTAGTGATCAACTCGTGTAAGAACAAGGTTTTCAGAATATATGAAGACGTTGCGTACCTCGGTAATTTTCCCATGCTAAAGACACTTGTGGCCTGCTTATCCCGGAATGCACGCAGGGTAAGGTACGCACTTTTGATCAAATGAGGCATTCTTTGAAAAATACTTGTCACAACGCTGGCTAAATATAACTTCAGTTTCTTGTTTTCCACCAATACGAAGATCTCGGAGGATCGCAAGATGTCGACAATCATGTCATACATGGGATGGTCACGTGGCATCCTCTGAAGGATGTCAATTTGAGTTGGAAAATGGCGAGCTGGTAAAGGGATGCCTATGGTCAGGTTGATTGTAATTGGAGCAGGCTTCGGGCACTGTGGAAGCTTCACGGTATATAAAAGGGAGACAGAGGCGCCATCTATTATAAAGCTGGATTTTAGAAGAGTGTCCACTCGTGGTACCCAACCTTGCGGAAGTTGAAGGTTATTTACAACCATTTCCACATCTTTCCAAAATGCCCCACTGGCTTCATCTGCTGTTGATTTGGTAAGTGCATTGATTATGTTTTGCATGGAACCACCAGCACTGTTGCCTGTTTCAAGATCAATGTCAACGAACCCGGGCTCTGGGGCATTTTGCAACTTTACGATAGCCTTCCCAACATCTTCCAATCCGATGATGTATTTAAACGTGTATGAATCTCCCCAGGTCATCCCTTCATAGAAACTACCAGATTTCGAGATACCAATGCCTGAGCCATATTGCCCCTTTTGCCTCTTCAACAAGCCAATCAGAAAACACTGGACCACTTCAAATGCTCCTTCTGCGTACTTATTGTCCACGGCGGTGAGACCATTGTCCATTCGACCACGTATTTCTTCACAGATTTTGGTCAATGTCGAATCGAAGTTGTTCCTGTACGAATAAGGCGTTCCTGCAGATTGTTGTGCTGGATTCCCAGGCTGTTGTGCAGGTTGTGTAGGTTGTTTAGGATACCCCGTGTTTCCTCGTTGATGCTGTACGTTTCTATTTTGGGGAGGAGTACTCTTGCTTCCTTTTTGACCCATCTTATCTGGAATCATAGACGTTAAAAGGCATGATATCATCATTTGGACACTCTCCCTCCTGTACAAGGGGCATAGCCAAAAACAGACGAGGTAAACCTATTACTATTAAATTCTGAATTCTATAGTTCTAAAAATTGTTATTTAGGAATTTAAACTGGATGGGATTTGGTCGGATGCTACTTGCAGGCCCGTAGCCAGGGGAAGGGGGGGGGGGGTTCGGTGGGTTCAAGCGACCCCCGCCTCGGCCAAAAAATCTTTCAAAATCATGCAGTTTTTTACCATTCTGAGCACTTTTTAAGTGATTTTGGCCAATGTTTTGAGCAAAATTGTGACACCCCTAAAAAGTTTTCAAAAAGTATTCTTGGCAAATCCTAGCTACGGGCCTGTTGCCTGCGAATTTCATTTCGTTTTGCCATGTGTGAAAGCGATTTCAGCACCGGAGGATTCATTGCTTTGCGTGTGGGTGTGGTTTATATCGGGTGTTCCAAAATGTGAGCTACTTTTTGACAAGAATTTTCTCAGCAACTGATTGACCAAATTCATTGAAAATTTGTACAAAGTGGCCTGAGAGTAATATCACTGCAAAAAATATAAACATAAAAGATCACAGGGAGATATGCCGAGTACTAAAATAGTACTCGTGGCATTTTAGCGCTAATTGAGTACTCATTTCAGCAAATATTAGTACTAAATGAGCACCTGTGACATGAGTTAACTGATTTATTGCATGTTTGAGTACTAAATGAGTACTCATATGATGAGTGATAAAATAGCGCTAATTTCATTGATTTTTCATTACTCAATGGGCACTAATTAATTGCATGTTTTAGTACTAAATGAGTACTCATATGAGCACTAATTAATTGCATGTTTTAGTACTAAATGAGTACTCATATGATGACTGATAAAATAGCGCTGATTTTTCACTACTCAATGAGCGCTCATATTATGAGTACTCATTTATTGCACATGTTTCATGAGTGATAGAATAGTACTCAAAAATTAAAATGTTGATATTTTTTAATTTATGAAGTAAAATAATAAAGAATACGTAATAAATTACATTTTAACTATAAGAAAACATGGATAAATATATCATTAAACTTTTCCCAAAATGCCCATTCCTGTAGCTATTTCATGCAACGGGTTGAAGCTGGGAAACAAAATGACAGACACCATATTGTTCCATTCTTGAGAAAAGTGCATATATATATACACTGCTTTGTTACTTAGAATAAGGGAAAGGTAAGGTAAGTTGTATTAAATGAGAAATTATTGAAATAAATAAATAAGTAAAAGTGAGTGTTATATGTGTTACAATTATAAGCTGATACGGGAGTCTAAATAACAAAATTGAAGGTTGCATGAGAATTGAATCATAGTTAGAATGACACCTCCTTATTGCTGAAGAATGATACCTCCTTATTGTTTATTAAATGAACAATATTTTAGTGCTAAATGAGCAATTTTTAGTACTAAAAGAGCGCTCAAGTAGCACTATATCATTACTTAAAATATCGTTACTAAAACGGTACTAAAATAAACACTTATTTTTCACAAAATTAGTACTAAAATAGCACTCAAGTAGTAATAAATTAGCACTCTGGCAAAAGTGCACTCATGAGTACTCATGCCACAAGTGCTTATTTAGTACTAAATTTGTACTAATTTAGTACTTGGCATATCTCCCTGTGTATTCAGTATGTATTATGCCTGTACTGACAAAAACAGCATGTAAAAAATTAAAATCAGAGCTGCAATGAGGCTAATTAATTATATCATGCCAGCTTTCAGGTGTTGGCATGTGTTAATCAGACGATGTCTTTTAAAAAAGCTTGTATTGGTGTCAGGCTTGTTTATTTCTTTCATTACATTGTTGTCTGTATCCAAAATATGTTTTGTTCAAAGTGTCAGTTTTGAAAGAATAACGATGACTTTGAGTGAAAGTGACAAGGCTGAAGCCTTGAAAGCTGTTTCAAGGAGGAAGAATAGGGTGGAAGAATATTCATGAAGGAAATTTTCAGGCAAGGAGTGGAGCCATACAACGGCAAATAGACGTAGAAATATGCTGGTGGATTGGGTGGGGGGGGGGGGTCAAAAAAATTTATTCATCCAATGCTGAAAAAACGCTTGCCAAAATAAAGCGGCTTACATTTTTGTTGACACCAGATATAGTCGAGTATATTATGCTAGCTTTAAACCTCGACCTTCGTCTTGGTTCAAGAAAGCAGCAATTCACTTGTGATATATTTTACAAACAAAACACCCGGGGTCAAAACATCGACTCCGTGATTCCTAATTTAACAGATTACCTAACACTACGTAACACATTATTTTCTCAGTACCACAAGACTGTTTTTACAGTATACATGACATGTAACAAATACTACAGGCAATGGCTCGCAGTATCACACCGGAATAGCCTGACAACGGTAAAGCCAGATACCGCTGTCACAAATGGCGGACATAACCGTCGCTTCAACTCTTTAATCACTTATTCCTCATTCCATGGGACTTTATCGTCGCTAATTCTGTGCATGTATTAAGCTCTTGTGATGATGTATCATATGAAATGGGGTCGTGAATCGCCACAATATAGCGTCTTCGATATCGTCAATGACAACGGAGTCTGAATTTGAAATAATTTACAAAGATAACGGCATATGGTAAGATGTGACAACGGACTATGGTGGATGTATTGCATTGGAACATAGGAAAATGACAATGGTAAAGAGACACTTTGCCGTTGTCTTTACATATACCGTTGTCAAATATTACCGTTGTCACCCTGATTTTACACCACATTTGACCCACATCTACCGTTGTCATTTATACAGTATCCAGTAAAAGCAGGAAGTCTGGCTTCAAGCTGAAAAGTAGAGGTCTTGGGTTCAAACCCAGGTCACAGCACTTCTTGTGATTTGTCTTTGACCTATGACTGCTGACCTATACCGGCGATTACTAGAGTGCTGCTAACTCGATAAAAGGCTGGCGCTGGCTAGAATTGTCTATAGTTCTAGCCAGGATAAAGATACCAGTTCTTCAACTCGACAATGGGAAAAACTGCTCTACCTAAGTGACTAATATGTCATGATATGACATCTAAAGAGTCGATAAAAGATATATATCCGTCATCATGTGTTATATTTCGATCGGTGAAATTAAAGCCTTTATTTCGATGGTAGAACATCTGAACATATTTAACAATATGATCAGTAAAAAACACTTTGAGTGATTGCTGTACCAAAGGAATTTAATCTAGTCGCTCTATTAGACATACAGTTCATGAAAATCTAATTGAAGCGACGGTTATGTCCGCCATTTGTGACAACGGTATCTGACTTTACCATTGTCAGGCTATTCCGGTGTGATACTGCGAGCCATTGCCTGTAGTATTTGTTACATGTCATGTATCTGTGTTCTCCCTGACTGGAAAATGCGTGGCGCTTGCGCCACGCGAATTTTGGCTGCGCCACCCTGAATTATCTCGCACCACCCATAAATTAACAGCGCCACGCATTAGACTTAGACTTACTCACGTCGAGAGCTACCATGTTAGATTTTGAAAGTATAGCTCTCCATCGTGAGGATCTCCAGCTGAAGAATTGTGACATCTAAATTTGATCAGCGCCAGTCAGCGGCTTACTGTTTGTCTCAAACTGTAGCCTACATATGGGCTCATATGTGTCTACTTTACCCGTGCATGTAGGATCGCGGATGTGCTTCTATGGCGATCAGGAGTTCTAATCGTTTTTTGTTCGATACCCATTTCCAATATGGCGGTTAAACGGAAATATTATCGACGCATGCGCAACTTGGGAAACGTCAAGCCGCCATATTGAATATACCTGGCCAAAACTTTTGACACGACCAAAAAAATGAAGTCCTGATCGATACATCGGGCAGTGAGACGTTCTATAGTTGAGCTGAATGAAAGATGGCGATGTAGGATACATTTTCAGGTATATAATGTGCAACATGAGTCAGCTGAATTCCCTGGAATTTTCTTTGAAGTCAGGATTCTTAAGCTTGATTCTAGCGATAGAGAGCTATACTTTCAAAATCTAAGTAGCTCTCGACGGGAGTAAACTTAGACTAAGTCTAGCCTGACATCAAGATATAGCGAAAAATATTTTCTTCTTCTTTGAGGCTGAAATATGTAGTCAAATTAGTATTCCCGATTCCACTTTCATGCCGAATACTTACCTTGTTTATTCTTTCGATTCTAATCTACTTTCAATCAATAAATATAAGCAAAAAAACACTAGAAACGATCTTTGTTTTGATTCTTAAGGTGTCACTCCTGTAAATAGCACTTCCGGGTAGGACAGTGTTTTTTAATACTTTAAAAACGAAGCCATGCCAACTTCAATGGTGTGTATAGTAGGTTTAAGTGTATGCAATGCGGCCATTTGAGGTATGTCTGTAAAGCTGAGGCCAAGTACTTTCTAAATGTGCCATTTTAAGAAAAAAATCGCAAGAATATAGTCCCGTAAACTGGAACTACTTTACTCGTTAATTTTCATCGGTGAAGCAGGGATTTTACCTAAAAATGAGTCCCTATGTTGGCGTAGTGATATCTAAAAATCGAGACGCAAACCCTATGTTAAATATAGTGTCAAGATGAAGGTTATGTACAGGGGAACGCAGAAATATAGTCATTGTATGGGCTAGTTCGTTCGAAAATGGCGATATGTACCCCATAACTTGAATTTTGTGATTTTTTTCAATATTTTTCAATGATTTACCGTAGTGACACCTTAATACCCCCGCCTTAGATTGGCTGTCATTTGCGCAGAGACCGTGGATGTTGTAGAATTTCAAAATAGAGTCGATATTAACATTCAGGCTAGGCCACACAATGCTTTTAATTCACATTTAAACATCCTGCGCCTATCAGAATGGCCAAACAGGGGCCCAAAGGGATCATAAATGGGAGAAAATCAACTGGAATTCCATCAAAATTGCTGGTCATTTCTCCATAAATTACATGATTTTAAGGTTCCATACCTCATTTAAATTGCTACAATGTAGCAAATTATAATTTTTACAGGCTTAAGAAACACGCCAGGTGTATCACAGGAAGAGTAATCACGATTAATTTGTAAATTGCTACATTGTAGCAATGGTTTGAGTATGATGTCACAATACATTGGGGCCTAACTGGCGTAATTAGGAGAAAAAGGGCAAATTTTGCACATGGGGACCACATTTGACTCAAAATATTTGCATTTAGCAACATACATTTCAGTTCATTCTGTGTAATACTTGAAAGGCATTGCTATAATGATTGACAAAATGAAATAATCTCAGAGATTTTGCGTCTAAAATTTGTGCATGAGATCTCTGAAGTTGATGACCCAATTTTAGGTCATTTTGGCCAGTTTTTAGAGACTCAGCCCTCACCCATTTCCCCAAATATGGCTAGAATTTGTAGAAAACGTGTTAAAAGTTTGGAAATGCAGCTGTTTCGAGCATGAAATAACTCAATTGTTTGAAAAAATGCTAAATGAGCAAAAAATATCATAGTCAAATTTTCCCGTTTGGGGTATTAATTTTGACCGGAAATGAATCTTTTTCAACAGTTCGTTCAGTGCGATCGTACTCTTCCAAGTCCATGAATAATTCCCGGTAGGAAATCTGAGAGAAGGGCTTGGATGCTTTTATATCGCGGTTATCAACACTAACATTTAACAATATTCCCAGAGAATATAAGATTGGCATGGATTAATGATATCTGAATACAAATTCAGCTAAGTTACATGTAGTTACTTAATCTCATTATCCTGTCTTATTTTAAATACAGTTGTTAAAACATGTTTATGATTATTTTTGTAATTGTTGGTCATGGAATACATGACAGGAGGCTTTGTAGTCTTTGAGATTATCTGACTGCTTATCTGAGTACTGAGAGCTTGAAACTGTAATGGTGCACTCTGTTATACTGTTTGTAATGTCCTATGTTTAGCAGATGTTTAATGTGAAAATAAAACCATAAAGCAAGTTAAGTGTACATGGATGTGATTTTATGTTAATATATATAAGTTGTTTCATATGTTAACAAAGACACAATTCACGTATTTAGTCCCTCGCTTTTCTTACACTGACGATCGGCATTAATATTGCCAATATTACACTGATATTGGTCGTTCCGGCGTCAGTGTAAGAAAAGCGAGGGACTAAATACGTGAATTGTGTCTTTGTTAACATATAAAACCTAAAACCATCGACACATTCTCAAACTAGACTATCTTCCTTAACTTCGAGCCAAATTATTATCCACAACGTGACTTATAAGTAGATGTAAATCGGGTAATAAAAAAATCTTACCGAAACCTAGTCCCGGAGGAAGTTCCGCCATGATACACCGACGATACGTCTGTGTAATTAGGTGGGTAGCAGTGGCTATTAGGCCAAAATGCCCTAATACGTCACTTCCGCTGAATAGAAAAAAGTAGTATTCAAAAATAAATGTAGTCCCAACACAATTGTGATCATGACGAGTCAGTAAGCTAGTATGTAGGCACAGTTGTCATCTTTTTGCAATGACAACATGCCATTTCTTCTGAAAATGCGTTTATTTGGGTTATCTGAAGGAAAATTTCGAGTCAAGTGGCGTATTAATTTTGCCTTCATTTTGGTGAATTTAAATTTGTGTCGGCAGAGAGAGGGGGTAGTGTCACAATTGACCAATTATTTTAAAAAGTAGATGGTTGGCCCCTATTGAGTTTAGTGTCAAGATGTAGCTTAGACATAGCTTTAGAACCTCAGATAGGCCAGTGAGGCCATATAAATCCATAACTTGAGATAAAAAGTCAGGCGTTTGCCCTTTTGCCCATTGACTAGTATGGTGACGTGAATTAGGGCAGTTTTGCCTATAGCCTTCCCAATAATATTGCTTTATTTTTTTGAACAGGGCCTGGTGAAATATTTCAATAAAAAAGAAGGGAAGAAATGTCGTCTCACAATTAATGTATAGTTTTATCACTGTAGTACTATATCTAGCATAAAGACAGAGACTTACCTATCTTAGCTTCCAGTAACGTCTGATTCGATTTCAAATGTTTTTGTCCTCGATTCAATGAAAAGCTCCACCACGCTCATTACAAAAGCATACACAGATCCAACACAACAAGTTCACTTCCTTGTCTGCTGCCGAAATCTGGTACGGTATATTGCACGTATCCTGCCACTAACAAAATGCTTTTTGTTGTTATTCTACGAAAAGTTTTTCATAAATTAATGTCCTTGTCCTAATACAACTTAATATTTTCGATGAAATCAATATTTGTCAGGTCTAGGTCATGCCACTTGATATTTCGTCATCTTCCTCAAGACTCAAGAGACGATATGCAGTCTCCTTATGTTTAATAATTTAGAGATGATAGAACAACGATCTTTACCATATTCTATGGCCACTAAGAATTGGCTAGAGACTCGAGTAAAACGATCTAACCAAGGGCGAACGTGATACCCGGAACGTTCCTCGTTAACAATAATTTCAATGTATTCGGCGTTCGGCCTTTTACCTATCCGGATGTCGTTTCGTTTGGTACACAACTTAAGCCCCGGGTATTAAATAAACCCTTGATCTAACTAATATTCCGATCGCTGGCGATTCAAAGGAAATCCACAAGTCGGTATACTGAGGGTACATTGCGCTCCGTTCAGTGTATGAGCTGCTCGCCACACGCATATCTGATAACACGTTGCAATCCGTGATGTAATTTTATTACTTTTTTACTGTTATAATGTAAAATAAACTAGCCTAATCAAGTTAAAAATGAGCAAACCAAGCAAAGGTCATGTCGAAAAATGTTTCTCAAGAAAAGGCAGGTGGACTGGCGGATCCAGGGACAAATTCAAAATCTGGGGAGAATTTTTTGCCCCCCCCCCCCTTGTTAGCTTCTGGATCCGCCACTGAGGTGTCGCCTAGTCTTGTTTCATTTCGACAATGCGATTGCTCAATGCACAATAACCTGTTTTATTTTATTTTTATTCTCTCGCATACACCACCTCCCCCCTCCTAATTTCTGTAGAAGCACAGAAACATGTCATGAATTTCGATGTAAAAAACTTTTCCTCGACACTTAAAAAGTGAAATCGGAATGGTCCACACTCACCTTGGCTTCGTCTTGTTCGATTTGAAATGATGAACTCACTGGTTAATCCTTGTAATAGCGTTGAATCAATGAATTAGGTTTATGATTTTTTGACGACCACACTTCTTGATACTAGAATGTGTACATCCTTGCTGCAAGGGTATTTTACAAGTATATATGAATTTAGGCATAAATGAAGTCCTTTGAAGAAGGATGGAATGTGTATTGTAGACTACTCTTCCTTGTCGCGTTTACTTCCCAGTCAACGTTAGAAGCAAACACGTAGCCATAATTAAGCCACGTATGATTTGTTGCGAAATTATTTTCATAGTTCTTCAGATATCAACAAATTTCTACGAAGAAAAGTTAAAGGTAAACAGGTAAATAAGTCATAATTAAGCCATTGCCCAAATATGGCTTCATTCACTGTGTACCATAAACAAATGCATTCAGTGAAGACGAGCCTATCCTAACACATTTCATGAGTAGATTATAAACAGATTCAGTTCCCGAAATTTAGTTACATTGGAAATATATAATGTGTACTCAAGGTCTGGCACAGTGGCACTGCTGTTGGATTATCTAACAGGGATAGGGATGCGTGCACCCCTGTCTACCGTGATGTCCAAGGTCACGGGTATCAATGACTTGAATTTTAACGTACAGTGAGGAAAATAAGATGTTGAACATGGACGAACAGTGAACAAACATTCTGGTATAAACATACGAACGTACACGTAGGCCATCCTTGGTCCACGGGTATTTCACTCTTAACTAGATAATGGCAACTCCGCGGAGTAGCAAATCCCAACGAACAAAATATCAATTACCGAATTCCAATCAATTATACTCATTACTTTGGTTGAAAATGAAAAAATTAGATTTTAGAATTGCGAATTCCTGCAAAGCAGCCATTTTGAATTTTCTGAGGTACAAATCTGAAAAATAATACCATAATTGTGATCTACTCCAAAATTCCTTCAATTTGAGTATACTATAGCCATACTTTGAAGGGATCGAAAAATTATTGCGAAATCGTACATTAGACGGCCATTTTGAATTTTACGAGGCTCGAATCAGAAAAAAAGATACAATATTTGCAATCTACTCTTAATTGCCTTTCATTTGAGTATAATAAAGCTATACTTCAGAAAGATCTAAAAATTAGCGAAAATTTCTGTTTTCCTGTACCCCCATACATGGCCCCTGGGGGTCAGGATGAAAAACACGGAATATATGTGAAATAGATAAAGTGAATACACTACCAAAATTTCAAACAATAATATTAATTACTTTGGTTGGTTCAGAATGAAAAATTTATGATTTTTGCGAAAAAGTCCCGTCATTTTTAAAGCGGCGGCCATCTTGAAAAAATTTTTTTTTGCGTAAAACTATTCACCAATATACATCTTTCCACTAAATATGAAGAAAATCTGTCAACTAGTATTTGAGTTATCTTCCGGACAGACGGACGGACTGACTGACTGACGGACTGACGGACTGACAGACTGACGGACAGACGGACGGACGGAGGGCTTCACTATATCCCTAACGAACTTCGTTCGTTGGGATAATAAATGAAGTCCTCTGAATTAAGGATGATGTAGGCCTACATATCTTTTATCTTGTATTACAGACAAGGAAAGTTATACGCGTGACTTGGTCATTGCATATTAACTATTATCAATTTATGGAATGTATGAGGCAAGACCAAATGTAGATTTTTGATTAGTTAACCATAATTTTTAATGAGATTTGGTTTGATAAATGATAGGTGGACAATATCATATTGTAGCTAAAGGGTAATAGGTAAAGTGTAGGTTAACTGATGGCGTCAACGCGGTAGCCTGACGTCCGTCAACGGCAAATATTAGGTGGAGAACTTGTTTTTCTTATTGCATGAAACAGATAGTAGTAACTTGACGGCGTCAACGCGGTAGCCTGGCGTCCGTCAACGGCAAATATTAGGTGGAGAACTTGTTTTTCTTATTGCATGTAACAGATAGTAGTGACTTGACGGCGTCAACGCGGTAGCCTGACGTCCGTCAACACCAGGGATTGGTTGTACATAAACATTTTAATTGTTTTTTTCATTATTGTATGTAACATAATAATCTCAACCCCTTATGTAATATTTTAAATAACACATGTAAACACACCAATTCTGGTGGATAAAATAAACATAAATAAATAAATAAACTAAGTTAAAACTTCCGTTTCGAATTATCCTCAAAAAATCTGCCATATCAAACTCATAATAAAATGGCCATTCTCTTTGGTTTCATTTCACTTTATAAAAAGAGAGCTTCTGGGTGAGGAGTACCCATCATTTTGATACGTTTATACTTTTAAAAATCAATCCATATTTTAAAAAAAGACTTTGTCCAATCATCTCAAATTTTTTTCATGTCTTTAATAATTGTAAGAGAAAATTGTCGTCGAAAGAAAAAAAAGTTTTTGTTATTTTCAAATCAGTTTGAATTTTCCGCTATTTTGACAACAAAATCATTAAAGTTTACCACGAGAGGTAATTAAAATATTCTTAGGCTAATTACTCAGATGCGAGTAGGTAGTTACCAGTTTCGCCACCAGGTGGCTGATTCGGGGAATTAACATGGCACGGTATTACAAAATTCCCTTAAAGAGATCAGGTCTCCTAAAAACACAATTAGAGTAACCCCCTGATTTTTTCGTGTTATTTGTTGTAAAACAAGTTTGTTTATCAACTTATCAATTCTGAGGCTTGAATTAATTCGTTAACAGTATCAATTCGATGATTGTTCCTAGCCATGAATTTCCACTTACATCAATAGAAATTCAAATTAAATTCAAAAAGCCCGCTCAAATTTGTTCCAGTCTGATTGGCTTTTTCCTTCAGATTATTTTGGCTTAGAGAAGCCATATTCATTACTTCTAAGGGGTTACAATATAGATAAATCCCCAAAAAAACATTGTAGTCTGTTTTCGACTTATTGCGTTCAATTTTGACAGTTGGTTGTTCTTTTGGTTGTCCTGTTGATATCCTCAATATATTGTCGATATCGTGCTTATGATTTGGTCTCAAGATATATCTCAGGTATATATGATGTTTTATGAGCAATTATATTGGGACATTACTGATTGTCCAGAATAGAAATCTGGACGACTCGATCTCTTTAAACTTGAATATGCATCAGTTTTAGTGGTTCACTTTTCTTATTGCCCTTATGTATCTGATAGTTTTACAAATTAAAATATGTCCAGTAAAAGAAAATATTATCTGCTGAACACAAGAAAAGATATTTCACTTTTTGTGGTTTTACAACATGGGCTCTATGGGGAATCTCCCCGACCTAGAAGTCCCATTTTCAAAGAAAATTTTCAAAGTTGATAAACTCTTTTCAAAACCACATTTCTAAATTTAGTTTTACATGTGCATTCCAAATATGACATCAGTTTGACTGAATTGTGAATTTTTAATGACGTAAATCAAGATTATTTCTACTCGCATCTGGGATATTGTAAAAAACGTATGGAATCGGTGGCATTCATATATTGCTCGCATCAAAAAGTTCATCGAAAGATCTTCAAAACATATATATGACACATGATGCAACTATTAAAGCCTATTGACAAAATATGACACATGATGCAACTATTAAAGCCTATTGACATTGTCAAAGTACAAAATATACCTGGGGCCTTAGAAATATACAATATAATAGGCCTACGCATTTTATTCAACATAAGAATTAACATAATAGACTCAATGTAAATCCCTTTATCTTCAACAACACCACGAACATATTATAGCGGCTATCACTGATAAATGTTCATTGTTCAACAATTTGTCCCAACTTTGACTTTTCATAATTCATAGCCCCAAACATGTGTAAGTGAGATAAAATGAAATTCTCCAGATATAATAAATGAAAATTGTGACGCGACAATAACTAATCGTGTTCAGGGCCTATTGTTGTCGTCCTTAGAAACCATAAGTACTTCCATTCAAAATCTTTGTTTGAGTTAGTGGCTTTTCTATCCAACAATTGAACTCTTTCTATAGATTTGTCTGGATTACTATAAGTGAAATCAGGTAATCAAACAAAAGCCTCGACTACGGGGTTGGGGGGCTATAATAGAAGACGATAAGCGCAACAAAGACGGTCGCCGTAAAGCAACAACCACGAAACGGCTTGGCCAAAAAAGTTGGCTCCAAAGTCTAATCAACACCATGCCATTTGAAAACCAAAGGATGCCTACTTGGCACTCAGATGCTGGTGAAAAAATGCCACAATTCAATCCGAACACACATACGATTGCGTGGCAGAGGCTGGAGGATTTGCGCTACAAGTCACTTGGATTACCAAAATATTCCCGTCACTTTAATGTCACCAGGCGTTCTGAAAAAGGACAAAAGGAAGCTATTCCGATGGCCTTGAATGGTCACAGTTCCAATTTTAACTCCTTTAGC